TTGACGCCGCCTGAGCAGTGTGTCCAATGAGCTTCTGGCTCTGCGGGCCTTGTGGTGGGCTCCAAGGGACTACAGCTTTGCCATGGCCGGAATGCAGCCACGGACCACCCTTCCGTGGAGGACCGGGGCCAAACCTGGGAGCACTTCATTTATGGAAACGCAGAAATGTCGGTTTGCCGCCCCCTGGACTAGACGGGAAAGGAGCGTCTGTGGAGGATGCCGGGCGGCTGCAGTGGTCTGCGAGCAGGACCGCCCAGCAGGGAGGAAGCACGTGAGGATGACGAGCGAGGCCACCCTTGCCCCTCCCTGAGAACACTCGTCTGCTGTGCGGGTGGCAGCAGTGTTCCTGGCCGTGGCGGTTTTGCTGTGGCCTGCTCTCTCTCCAGTATAATCTGCCCTGGTGACCCCATTTGCACTGCCCAGCACTACCACGAGCCACACGTGGCTGTCGAGTACCTGAGATGTGGCTAGAATGTCAGAGGATGTGAACTTCGAGTTGCCACATGTGGCTGTCACCTGCCATTCCGGATAAAGCCACTTGAGCCCACGTTCCCTCCCGGGTTTGTCAGAGTGGTTAGCTGTGGCCTTCCTGTGTAAAGCACGAGCGCACTGGGGCGCTCATCTTCCTGCTTGGCGTGAGCAGAGCCTTCAGGGATGCTCACATACTGGATGGGAACAGAGGCAAGGATCAAGCGCCCCAGTTCCCTGCACCTGGCACTCCCGGGGGGCCGGGAGTTGGCGCCGACTAACCCTTTCCGCCTTCGAGGGGCTGTGAAGCTGGGTCCGTGGCCTTCAGGAGAGTGGTCGGGCGGATTGTGTGCAGATTTCAGGGGACGGTTCCATTCACATTGAACTGCAGGGACCACTGACCCACACGTGAGGCCAAGTACCATCAGTGGGTAGATCCAGCGTGGGCTTACGGGTGTTGACCCCAAGATCCTGCCAACTTTGATGTACCTTTTAAATGTCTCAGTGTAATGTTTGGATGGAAAAGCCTGCACCCTGAGCGCCTGTGAAGCCCAACTCCGTGAGTGCTGCGGGCCTGTCCCCTCCGACCTGGTGAGGAGTGGCGCTCAGCCCTTCCAGACTCCTTTCTGCAGTCGTCCTTGTGGTGGCAGAGGCTCAGGGTCAGCTGCGTCCACTCCCCGCAGACGTAGGGTTGGGGTGAGAGTTAGACAACCGTGGCCCCTCCCGCCCCTTCCTCCCACCGGGCATTGCTGCTTCCTTGCCTCTGTCCACACAGCATAGGCTTGGCTTGAGGTGACAGCCACGGAAACAGGTGTCCCAGGTGGTGACAGGCGCACCAGCTACTATGTGCTGGGCTGGGCTGGGCGGCCAGCGCCACACCCTCTGTACGCCCGTGATAAGGGAGGTGGGTGTATGTCTTGTGTTGGCCCCGGCCTGGGGTCAGCAGTCTTCAAACAACTCGCCACTGAGTAAAGTCATCTCTGTACCTGGCGAGGCATCTGGGCAGCCGAGTGACAGGGACATGGACTTGGGAGGCGGCAAAGTGCAGAGCTGGCCTTGAAATGGCCTCACTGCCACCGTGCCGTCCTTTCTAGGTGCCCCCGCAGCCCTTGATGGGTGGTAGGAGGGCTGCTCCCCTTGAGACCGGAGCTGGAGGAGTCATGAGCAGGACGCTGTGCCCCACTGTCCCTCCCAGACACTGTCCAAGCCACACCTGGCAGCTCCCAGGTGGTGCAGAGACGAACCCGGAGCATGGAGAAGCCAAGTGAACCTTTTGGGGAAGGTGTGGGCAAGAACAGCTGCGACCCCCGCATGCTCCAGCCTAGTTGTACAGTGAGGCCGGGACGGGAGAGCCAGGGGCGTCCAAGGCAGCGAGTGAAGTCCCTGGGGATGATGGGGACTGCGGGGGCCGGGGCTTGGGCCAAGGGCAGACATTCAGGCTGACGGCCGCTGAATGTGGGTCCTGTGCAGCTGGACCTCCAGGGTTTTCTTACAGACACCGAAGTCTGGATCTTCAGTGCAACTTTCCCAGTTTTTACGAGTTGACAAACGACATTTTCTTAACGCTGGGCCGTCTGATCAGAAAGGCCTGGGGATTGGTCCCTGGCTCAGGGAAGGGTACAGCCTGGAGCTGGGCGGGAACTTGGTGGAGGTGCGGACCTGGGACACCCGCTAACGGTGGGCAGAGGCCGATGTGCTGCGGTGGCCCTGCTTTTGCCATGGAAACCGCTGCTGTGGAACTAAGGGTCTGGGCCCGCGGACCTCTCTGAGGGCCTGTCCAAACCAGCCAGCTGCCTGGTGAGTGTGGGGTCCCTGGTCCCAGCTTAGGGCGGCCAGGCACGCTTTGTGAGTGACCCGAAACCTGACACCTCTGCAGAGGTGTGGACTTCCTCCCAGACGACGTTTGGCCAAGGCACAGGTCAGCACTTCTCCCTCTGGGTAGTGGTGGCCGGTGGGCCCAGTCCGACCTCTGGGACTCGCTCTGCCTTTCAGTACCGACCCGCACCCTGTTTGAGACAGCATAGTCTCACCTTAATTTTTTAAAATATATTTTAAATTTTTTATTGATTTTTTTTTTTAAGAGCAAGGAAGGAAAGGACACACACTGATGTGAGAGAGAAACATCGATTAGTTGCCTCCAGCACATACCTCAAGTGAGGATCAAACCTGCAACCTGGGGATGTGCCCTGACTGGGAATCGGACCTGTCACCTTTTGGTGCACGGGATGACACTATCCCACTGAGCCACACCAGCCAGGGCTGGTCTCGCCTTTAAACACAGAACCAGGTAGTGTCCACCTGTCTTGTGGGCCTCAGGCCTTGCCGTCGCCCTGTGTTCAGTTGGCACCACTGTCCTGCTTTGTTATAGATGAGAGATCGGCTCCCAGGGACTGGGGGCCGAGCGACTCTCAGACGTGTCACCTTCTGTAATGCTAAGGTCTCATTAAAATGGGTCTCTGGATGTGGGAATGGGGACTCACTCAACCCCCAGTGTCTGTTTGGAAGTTGGTGCTCCCCTGGCTCTCCAGGGCACTTGGAGGTGTGGGAGATGGCGAAGAGGCAGCTGCTAGGGCATCTTTGTGGGGCACATTCAGATCCGGGGACACATCACCCTTCCCCTGGCTGGTGCTATTAGCGCTGTTACAGCAGGTGTGGCCAGAGTAGCTCTCCCCCCGACCTGGTCAGACGTCCAGGAACCTCTGCCTGCTGAGGACAGCTTGGTAGAAGGCCCCGTCACGCTTCAGTGCCTCCACGACTTCAGCTCTGCACACGCGTGTGCGCAGACATGCACGTGCAGACACGCACGCACGCCCGTCTTCCTGCCGCTGTGCCTTTTCTCGCTGCTGCGCCCCGTGCATCTTTGGTGGACAGGTGAGTTCCGGCGGCTGGTCGGCTCCTGGGCCTGGACGGCGCCTCCGGGCCCGGGTGTCTGTGCGCAGGATGGGGGCGCCGCACTCCCAGGTGGCAGTGGGCATTGCAGCCGCCACCTGCCACACTTGACTGAGATGAACATCACAGGCCCTACCTGTTCCTCTCTGCCCCCTAATCTCTTTCACTTCCCTTCTCTATGAGATTTGTTTCCTTTGAAAAGATGGGTGGAATCTTATTTTTGGCATTTTGCCAAATAAAAAGACCCTCAATTGTGCGTGGGTTTTCCTTTAGCAATACCCACACTCGACCTCATCCCCAGGCAGACCCCTTTTTACCCACAAGGGATCCCGTTCCTAAGCCATATACAGCTCTAAGCTGCCAAGTTCTTGCATGGTCGTCTCAGCAGCACAGGGTAGCTACTGTGCTGTAGCCCTGAGGGAGTTTTAGGAATTAAACTCCTCCTTCGGGGTGGGGGACAGATTTGGAGAGATTTGCTTCCCGCTCCCAGCTCCCATGAACGCACCTGTCCCCACCAGGTCCTGGCAAAGTGACAGACCCAAGGATGCTGGCACTGCTGGGCCGGGCTGCAGGAGGTGGGAGGAGGGCAGGGCGCCGCAGAGGCTGCAAAGGGAGGCGTCCAGGGCGCGGTGCGTGGACAGCGCAGTCTGTAGGGAGGCAGCCGCCAGCTCACAATGGCCTCGGGTGACCCAATGTTAGAAATGTGGGCTCAGCCCAAGGAGGGCGAGTTGTAAGCAGTTGTCTGGCATAATCAGAGCTAAAGTTACTAATTCTCACCTGAGTTCATTGAGCTTACTCTGTGCCAGTCACTGGCCAGAGGGAGCCGGCAAGATGGCTCAGGGAGGCCCAGCGGGCTGGTGCCTTCTTCAAGGAAGGTCAGGGAGGGAAAGAAATGGTTGTGGGGCAAAAAGGACAGGACTGAAGGGTGGTCTGAGGGACTGGAGGGGTGCCATCCCCAGCCACCAGGGCCACATGAGGTGGGAAGAGGGAGTCACTTTGAGGCCTGTTGGGTTTGCAGGACCCCCTGAAGCATCCGAGGGGAGGGCGGCGGGAGGCAGGTGGACAGAAGCTGCAGGAGTGATGTGAGCAGAGACCCGAGTTGGGGCCGTAGGGGGCATCAGCAGGACAGGGCGTCCTGAGGGCACCCAGGCGGTGGCCAGGGCACTGCTGCAGTCCGGGTGGACAGCAGGGTGAGGGGCAGGGGCTGCAGAGAAGGCAGGCAGGTAGGCGAGGGGGGAGTGTTTGGTGGATAGTGAGTGGCAGGAGGATGTGACAGGAAGTGCAGGGGTAGTCGTGTTGCTCCCTCCCCGCTGGAGATGCAGAGACAGTTGCCAGTAGAAGCTCAGGCTGATGGGAAGGAAGCAGGGGAAAGATGGGAGCTGGTCAATGGGTTGGTTTCTAAGAGGTCAGAAGAGGGTGGACCCTGATAAGGGAGGGCTAGGCATCATTCATCCAGTGCTTACTGAGCACCTACTATGTGCCTCTGCCAGTCTGACCTATGGAGACAGGAGGGCAGGGGAAGGATGGCTGGGCCCTGCCTCAGTCCCTTTACAGCCCCCTAGGCAGGGGTGGGGCGGGGGAACCCTAGCAGGACAGACACAAGCAGGCAAAGGTCAATTAATTGGCATTTATTTCATGGAGGTTCACGGGCGATGGTAGCGGAAGAGTTCATTCCGGCACACGGGGCACGAGTGGCTCACGTCCTGGAGGCTGTCCACACAGAAGGGGAGGAGACAGCAGCCCAGGACACACCTGCAACCTCGGGGGCAGTGGGCCGTGGGCCGGGATCCAGGCTGGGTGTGCTGGACTGCTGGTGCCAAGCCCGAGCACCCCCTCCAAACTTGGGCCTGCCCTGGCCCCTCTGCCCGGAGCCTGCCCGCCCCACCCAGCAGGCCCTCCCCGCAATGGTCAGGGCCCCACTCACCCAAATACGAAGAGGGTTGTACACAGCATCCAGGTGAGGATCCCTGGGACCGGGGTGGTCACCGTGATGATGTAGTTCCCGCAGTACGGACACTGGTAGTGTACAGGCATGGTAGAGGCCATCAAAGGCACGCCTTGGAACATAGCATGGGGGCCAGGAAGGGGGAGGGTCAGACCTCACACCCTCTCTTCCCGCTCCCCCATGTCCACTGCTGGGCAGGCCCCCGCAGGTGCTCGGTGCCCCTGAGCGCCAGGCTGTCCACATGAGCCCCCTGCCCCTTGCAGTCTCTTTCCCACCATCCACCACCCTGCGGGGCTCAGGGGCCTGCCTGACCGAGGGACCCAGGGAACAGGAGCATCTCTGGGTTTAAACTCAATACACTTCAGTGTGTTCCCAGGACATCACGCCCACACAACCCCTTTTAACTCAGCCAGAGCTGGTTTATAACCCTGCAGTTAAAACTCCAACTGACACCCTTGTTAAAGCAGGTGCATTAAAAAGAAACAAAACCCTACCACCACCACCAGAAAACCCCAACCCTTCCCAGTGGCATTCTTCTTGTCCCTCCCTCTCGCATTTGTACAGAAGGACCATAAAAACTGTGTAGTCCTCGCTGGTTTGGCTCAGCAGTTGGAGCATTGGCCACACACGGAGGGGTCTCAGGGTTGATTCCCTGTCAGGGGCACTTACCTGGGTTGTAAATTCACTCCCCAGCCCGGGAGGGGGCGACCAATGGATGTGTCTCTCACACACTGATGTTTCTCTCTCTCTCTGCCCCCTCTAAGAAAATTCAGTGGAAAAAATATCCTTGGGCCAGGATTAACCAAAAAATAAGTGTGTTTAGCTTAGCTCTCTTAAACATCACAGCCATGCCTCCAGTCCTGGGTGATTTCACACTGGATGGACGTGCTCATGGCCATGGGCAAAGTGGCCACTGGCAGCTGTGGGGGCAGGGAAGGAGGGCTTCCCAGAGGAGGTGCTGTTTGAGCAGTCTTGGTGAGCGGTCAGGGCAAGGAGAGGAGGCAGCGGCACTCACCTACGTGAACAACTCGGGGGCCTTCGGCGTACACTGGGGGAGGTGCTCGATTTCCTGGGTGCGGAGGAGGAGGATACGGCGATGGCTCTTTGGGAGAGAGGAAGGGAAAACACACTCAGATGTGAAGGCCCACTATGTGGCAGACTCTGAGCTAGAAACTAGGTCGGCCTGCGAGATACACCCATTTTACAGGAGAGAAAGCTGAGGCCTGGAGGAATGCATCAAGTTCCCGTGGTCGTATAGCTAGTGGATGGAGGAGCTGAAAGGTGAGCCCAGGCGTTTCTGACCCCAGTTGTGCCCTCATCGTCCTAGGATGTCAGACCTTCCTGGAGGCAGTTCCAGAGAGTTGAGGATGCAGAATTAGCACGGGGCTCTAGAATCCATTTTTTAAAACATCCGAGGCATTTCTTAGGTGTCAAGCTCTGCAGGAAACACTTGACATCCCTTGTTCCATTTACTCTTGCCAAATCACCAGCGAGGTAGCTATTGGCATTATTCCAATTTTGCAGATTTGGAGACTAGGCTCAGAGAGGTTAAGTAACATGCTTGAGGGCCCCCAGTAAAGAAGTATCAGAGTCAAGGATGGAACTCAGGGTGCCTCCAGAGCACCTGCTGCTGTGTGTGGTGCCCTCGCCTCTGGTCCGGGTAGCTCCAGAAGTGCCGACAGTCCATCTACGCCTTCCGGGGGGGACATTTTGGGCCCCAGGTCTGCCTCCATTTTTCCCAGCCTTGGGTTTTTCCTGACCCACAGTGTGCGGACACCGAGCTCCACCCCTCACCAGTGCCTAATAGTCAGCTCTTGGCCAGCCCTCAGGGTCCAGGATGCAGGGAGAAGGCTGTTTGGACAAGAAGTACTGGGGTCTTGGATCCCCAGAGGGTGGTCTGAGAGAGGAGATGATGGGAGCCCTATAAGTGTGGGTGATGGATGGGAATCCCCTTGTGTTTCACTGGGAACCATATGGGTGCTTTGCATGGGAACCTGACCCTCCCAGGAAAGGAGCCTCATGATTTGGGGGGGGGGGGGTGGGTTCTCTCCACCCACTGCCTTTCCCCAGAGGAGGAGCAACCAGGAAACAGCCCCTCCCCACTTTCTGCCCACAGTCTAGACGCCTTGGGACAGGAAGAGGTTTCATACTCACCTCCAGCAGCCCCACCATGGGCTGGTTTTTGTACCCTTTTACAGATGACAAAACGAAGGTCACCAATTAAGTATCTGGCCCAGGACTGCCAGCTAGAAAGTCATTCTGATCTGTCACTGAGTTAGCAACTGCCCAGCCCTTACTCAATCATCTCTTTTAATCCTCTCAACCATTTTTCAGATGAGAAAACAAACCCAAAGGGTTTCTGTGATTCACCCAAGCTTACATCAGCATGGCCAGAACCCCCACTCCTCTCACCCCATCAGTCTAGGTGTCTCTGGCACACGGGCTGGGGGAGGCTGGGGGAGAGGAGGCAGGTCGTACCTGGCATGGGGAAATTGTTAGCTTTGTTCCACGGCTCTCTTGTGACACTTTGGGAGAAGGCACAGGAGGTTGAAGGCCCCACTTCGTCACCATTGGGTCATATGGTCCCAGGTTGGCCAGGGACAGCAGGACTTGGGGGTGGTGAGGACGGGAATCACCCCCCAGCTCAGCAAAGGGAACACAGTCTTCTCTCCTGCTTCCCGCGGGCCCTGCCCTTGGCCTGTCCCCAGCCTCTCCCAGCCCCGACCTGAATGGGCACGCTCACCCTGGGGATGGTTCCATCTTGGTACCCCGGAGGTCCTTTGTTCTAGCAACGGTATCCGAGCAGGGTCGGGTTCCGCGTTCTGAGCGGCAGAGGGCTTGTCTCCAGCTCTCATGGCTCCTGGCCCTCAGCAGGAGTGCAGGTCAAGTCCAGCGCCTCCGGCGGGGCTGGCTCTGTGGAAGAGCCATTGTGAGGTGTGTCCTCACCGTGCAGAGGGGTGGGGCCTCCCAGGTGCCCAGCTTGGGGAACCTCTGAACATGGTCCCTCGCCACTGTCCACGGCCCCACGCTGTGGCAGAGTGGAAGCCAGCGCTGTGGTTCACGGGGCGGGGCGGAGCTGATCGGAGCCTTCTGTAGAGTCTGGTTAGAGCCGGCGATTCTGCCTCGAGGAGTTTATCCTGCTCTGTGCGAGCTGTGAGGATGTGCGTGTCCTCTTATTTGTAGGTAGGTGTATATACATATACACACGTATATATGTTTTTATCCTCACCCGAGGACATTTTTTTGCTTTTTGTTGTTGTTGTTCAGATAGAGTGGGAGGAAAAGAGAGGGAGAGAGAGGGAGAGAAAGAGAGAGAAACATCGACATGAAAGGGACACATCGAGTGGCTGCCACCCACACGACCCAACCAGGGCCGGGGACAAACTGCAACCGAGGTACATGCCCTAAGCGGGAACCAAACCCAGGTCTCTCTGGACCACAGGCCGATGCTCTAACCGCTGTGCCAAATTGGCCAGGGCTATGCATGTATATATGTATATGCATATAGCAAATATGTATATACACGTCTATATGTACAGATGTGCGAACATATGTATACACACATATATGTACATGTACACACATGTGTACACCTATACTATAGGTGTATGCACACATTGGTGTGTGTGTATGTATCACAAGGTTAACTGCCTCTCCTGCTTGTTTAGCTGTGTAAGTTTGGGCAAGATCCTCACTTTCTCTAACCCTCCACCTCCTGACTTACTCATCTTTAAATGGGTATGATAGCTACTTTATAGGGTTGTTATGATATCAAATGATATAACGCAGGTAAATGTCCAGCCAGGTGCAGCGGATGAAGCCAGCATGGTCATTGAGAAGTGATTAGTGGCCTGAATAGCCCAGAATAGATGCTCCCAATTGTAGGGGGTGGCTTCTGTGCGGGCTGGCTCAGTGCCTTAGCTGCGGTCACAGCCAGGATCTGTGTGTACAAAGGCACGCACTTGGCCAGTATTCTATATGGCTTCTCATAATGCTGCAAAAGTTTGGGGACTGTCCGGGATACCTGCTCGTCTGTCAGACTGCAGCAACCAGAGTTATGCGCGTCTGGGAGAAGTGGGATTTGGTGATCTCTAACAGAGTTACAGATGTGGGGCCCACTGACTCAGCAGTACTCTTTCTAGAAATCCACCCCCAGGAGAGACCAGCAAAAATGCCAAATGACAGAGGCGGAAAGCTATTCAATGCAGCAGCAAAAACGAGACATGAGCCAAATGCCTATATGTCTAGTTACTCTTCAGCTGCCAAAAATACAGGGAGGGAGGGGAGGGAGGAACAGAGAGAGAGAGAGAGATGGAGGGGGGCTAGGGGGAGAAAGAAGGAAAAAGAAGAAGAGAGAGAAAAGATAAAAGAGGAAAGTCTCCTTATATTGCTGTGATGTAGTGTCTCCAGGATATATTGCTAAGAAAAACAAATTATATATACATACACACACACACACACACACACACACATATCTTCATATATATATATATATCTCACTACATTCTGTATAAGGAATCAGGGTGGGAGCAAATGAAGAATTAATAAACGAAAGGGGTCGATGTTGAGGGACACAGATAAAAGTGGGCCCTCTCTAAATAGACTCTGCTTTATTGGTTTGACTTTGGGACCATGCCATTATTTTTTTCCTAATTACAAAGGAATTATGTAAAAAAGAAAAAAGCAACACTGAAAAATGAAAAGCCACCAAAAATAAACAAATGTGACTATATATCAAGATGTCTTACAGGGGACACAAAGCACAGGCCATAAAAGAAAAACCTGAAAGACGACCTCATCAGCGCTCAGAGCGCCAGCTCTTTAAAAGACAAACAGGTGAAACAAGAGGCTAGCCGCGGCCGGGAGAAAGTATGTGGTCTGTACGTGTGCCAAAGCGCAGGTATCCGGAATGTAAAAGGTCTCCTTCCAACCAATCATAGTTATTTATAAGATGCAACATTAAAAGTGGGCAAAAGACCTGAAGAGACACTTCATAAAAGAAAACAGGAATGGCCAATATACAAAAAAACAACAAAAAACAAACTACCACCTCATACCTGCTCGTATGAGTGTAAAATGGTGCATCGCTTTGGAAAACAGGCAGTTTGATAAAAGGCAAACATACGCTCTCCTGTGACCAGTAAGTCCACACCCAGATTTTTACCCAGGAGAAATAAAAACATATGTTCAAAAACAGACCCATATGGGAATATTCATAATAGCCAAAATTTAGAAACAACCCAATAAATACAATGCATTATTGATGTACTCAGCAAGATAAATATATCTCAAAAAACGATTAAAAAAATTTTTTTATTGATTTTTAGAGAGACAGGAAGGGAGAGGAAGAGAGAGAAACAGCAAAGCATGGATGGGCCGCCTCCTGCTTGCCCCCCACTGAGGATTGAGCCTGTAACCCAGGCATGCGTCCCAACCAGGAATCAAACCAGCAACCTGGAACAATGCCCAACCAACTGAGCCACACCAGCCAGGGCTCGAAAAATGATTTTAGCAAAGGAAACCTGACCTAAAATAGCACGTCGTCTGTGATTCTTTTTATCTGAAGTTCCAGCGCAGGCTAAGCTGTGCGGTCTGACCAAGGGAAGGTGCCATCTGCGAAGGGAGACAACCAGGGTGCGGGCAGGTGTGGCCGGCGTGGCAGGTGCCGCTGACATCACAGGCACCGTTAAAACCGCTTTTCAGCTGGGGGGGAGGAAAGTGTCCCGAGGAAGCCCCTTCCTAATTCCCACAAAGGTGTTGTCTTCCTGGAGAATAAAATGCCTGGTTCCAGCAGCACCCCTCTCTCAGCTCACCCTCTGACCTCTCCACCTCCTCATTAATACCCACGGTGTCCACGCCCAGTTATGTACTGGTGTCTGAGATTTGGTGCCTACGGTTTCCCCCGGCGCCGGCATGGAGAAGGTGCTCCATAAACATAGGTTCTGTGTGTGAATGAACGAAGGAACCAGCTGCATGATGCACTCATCACTGGCCCACCCCTTTCAGCGTCAAATCCCTGGATATCACACCCCAGGGCCCGAGGTCCTAGTATAGACTTGAGGTTACACATGTTGGGATGGGGCTGGAAACTGCCTTCTTTGGGGATTTTGAGGATGATGGTCCTCCGGACCCAGTGTTGGGATGCTGCCTGCCGTGACTGAATGGAACACTGAGCGTGAATGAAGTGGCTGATGGACGATGCGCTTGGGCGCCCGACCGTTCCAGATACGGCCACCAGGGGGCAGCACCAGACTGCGCGAATCAGCCTCGCCTCATCCCTTTGGGGTTTGAGAGGGTCCCATCTTGAGCAGGGATCCAGTCAGCAGGGCCTCTCCTGTCCCTCTCCCTTTAAGGGTGTCCCTACCCTGTCCTGAGGCTGAGGACTTCTGTTTCACTCAATCACCTTCAGGCCAGGCTGGAAGAAGTCAAAAGAAGGCTTGAGGCCAGCATAAAGCCGCACTGCAGGAGTGTGGGGGAGCCAGGTTAGACCCCGGTCTCTCTGCACCGAGACGCAGGGCCTTTGGGGAAGCCATGAGACCTGACTGGGCTCTTCCTGGGCCTCTTCTGTGAGGATCAGTTCTCGGAGGCTCAGGGCTCCTGGAAGACTGTTTTGTTGTTAACTGTTTGTTTTAAACCTTTGCATCCCCCAAATAAGGCCTGACATAGAGGAGAAAGAAGTTGGTCTAAGCATGGGCTCTGTCACCCCCAGCTGCGTGATCCCAGGCAGGCCTCAGTTTCCTCCGCTGCCAAGTGGACCTAAAATAAACCTTCCTACTTAGAATGTTATGAAATGTAATGAGAATTACCTTGCTGGCTGATCCTTCACACATGCCTACTTTCTGTTTGTTCTGTTCTGCCCCTGGGCATTTGCACATGCTGTTCCTGTGCCAGGAATGCTCTTTCCCAAGATAGTCCATGGTTCATTTCATCGTGAAACTTCAGCTCACATGCCACTCCTAATGGAGGGCTGGTGCAGATTTCTTGGCAAGAGGAGCCAGCCATACTCTACCATACAAACTGGTTCAACTTTAACAACAGTTACTTCTGTCTAAAATTAACTGGTTCATGTATTAGTTTACTCGATTATTGTCCATTACTCTTAAAATGTCAGCTCCATGAGGAGCAGACCCTCATCGATTTTGTTCACAGCTCTCATCCCAGTACCTAGTACAGTGCTGGGACATAGAAGATGCTCAATAAAGATTTGTTGAGTGAAGGACGAGTGAAAGAAATCCATATAAAGCACTTAGCCCTGTGCTAATGAAGACTCTGAAGCTGGGCTGCTTAAGGAAAAAATGAGATGGGACATTTTTTCCTTCCTGCTCATCCTCTCTTCCCAGAAGGGCCCAGCTCTGAGGGAGGCGATATAATAAGGGGGAAGGAATCCAGAGGGATGACTTGTAACTGTAATTATTGGGCAAGTGTGTGGCGAGGGGGGCTGGGTGGCTGAGAGGCCTGGGCTTTCTCCAGAGCCTTCTCTTCCTTCTCTTTCTGCCCATCAGTGAGATCCCATCTGCTCCAGGTGCACGGGAAGCCTGGAGCCCTGGGCGGGGAGCTGCTGGGTCATGCTCAGTGGAATTCCCAGCTCTGCCAACCCACCCTGCCTGCTTTCTCCCTCCCAGCTGTGGTGAGCTGGGAGGGGCCGGTGTGGGAGGCATTGGCTGCTGCAGGCTCCTCACCCCAAGCCCCACTGCTTGCTCAGGGGCCAGGAATGAAGGCAGTTCTCACTCCTGGGCCATGGAAGCCCTCTCCCTGGACAGCAGGCACCTAGATGGAGGAGGGTGACAGTTACCTCGTCCCTGGCAGCTGCAGCCCATCCCCTGCCCTCAGAACTCTCGGCCAGCGCCCCCAATCAGAACTCTTGCACAGCACCGGGGAGGGGGTACTGTTTCTGGACTGGGGAAGCCCTTGGGGTCTGGGGAGGACCCGGGAAGCTGTGTGATGGGAGGGTGTAATGTTTCCACCTGTGGTGTTTGCATGGGGGCGGGTACATGTGTGGGGAGATGTGTGTGTGTCCATGTGGGAGGGATGTACAGGGGCAGTATCTGTGTGTGGTGTGTGTTCACATGGTAACTCCTGGGCCCATCTTTTCCCAGCTTCAGCCAGCTGCCCAGAGGGTAGGACCCCCACCCCCTGCCCCCACAGGCCTCCCCACCGGGCCCAGGGTGACGTTTTCAGCTCCCTCTCCACTGTAAGCTCTTCTAGAACCATTCTGCAGAAGGGGAAACGGAGTGATTTGCCTGGTCCCTCATCAGTGATAGGCCCTCGTTTCCTCAACATGTATTTATTGAGCACATAGCATGCGTCAGGCATAGGAAACCAAGCGAGGCAGACGAGGTGCCTGCCCTGGGGAGCTCACATTTTAGTGAGGGAAGCAGATGCCAGACAGGGTCATACGGGGAAGGGTGAAATGATGACAACAATGGGAGATGGGTGGGACAGACAGATTGGAAGGGCACCACCTTTGGCTGGGCAGAGGGTCCCCTGAGGCATCCCGGGAAGAGTTCCCCTGGATCTGGATGTTGGTGGAGCCTGTCACTCGCCGTCTGTCTCCAGAGCCTGCACACCTACCTCAACACAGCTGGATGGGCCCCTCCTCACCACCGCTCACCCGAATATGTTCCAGAAATACAGTGGCTTCTCAAAATGATGAAAGAATTAGAAGGAAACAGGAAGTGCCCCAGAATATTGGTCCAACTTAGCAGCAGGGCAAAACCCCCAGCAGCTGCACAGGAAGCAGTGGAGCAGGTGGGCCTGCCTGAGGGGCCGGGGCAGGATGTGTCGGTGTGGATTCATCCACGGAAGCACGTGTTCCCGTCTGGTGGGGATGTTGATCACGGGGGAGCCTGCGCCCACGTGGGGCAGGGAGACAGCTCCAGGACGTGTTCCACTGCGAGTGTAGGGAGGGGTGCTGGAAGTGTTTATGTGTGAGTGATCCTTTGTTAAGTAAGACTGCCCAGCATTGCATCACCCTCATAACCATGGCCTCTTGTTTTCCATGCCAGGAGTGCCCCCGAGTCATCTGGATGGCTATGGAGGCCCGATCACATTGCAAACACGGCCTTGGGGGTGGCATCACCCTCTAGCTGGTAGGGAGGAGGGAGGATGAGAGGTGGGCCTCAGTTGTGCTGATCCCCTGCCTGGAATGCTCTTCCCACCTGTCAAGACCCCATTTGGCATTTCCTACAGGAAGCCCTCCTGGAAGTCCTGGGGCAGGGCAAACTCACTCCCGTTTCCCACATCAGCATTTCTGTGTGTTTGGAGAAGACGAGAAAAGGGGTCTGTGAGAAATGGCCTCACGCACCCATTCATCTCATCCGTCCGTGTGTTCAGTCACTGATTCAAGACTGCTCACAGGGACTCTGTGCAGGGCTGGGCCCTGGAGGTACATGCTAAGCCCAACAGTTTTTTGTTTTTTTAATCCTCACCCGAGGACATTTTTGCATTTATCTTCAGATAGAGCTGGAGGGAGAGAGGGAGGAAGAGAGAGAAAAAAACATCGATGTGAGAGAGACACATTGAGTGGTTGCCACCCACATGACCCCAACCATAGCCATGGACAAATTGCAACCGAGGTACGTGCCCTTAGTGGGAACCGAACCTGAGACTCTCTGGTCCACAGGCCGACGCTCTAACCGCTAAGCCAAACTGGCCAGGGTACGACAGTTTTGTATTCCCAGAGTTATGGTCTACTGGGAGATAGAAAATGAACTGGTAGACGAAATAATGAGAGATTTAGATGAGAACTCTCAGGGGAGCCCCGAGAGCGGTGGGGCTCCTCTAGACAATGATGTTGAGACTTGAAAGATGAGAAGACACTCTTCTGCCTCTCCCCACTCAATAAGCATGCTGGTGTGTGATGGCTGGAGCTCCAGCAGCTGTTTTGGCCCCATAAGACAACCCTGAGGCTAGAAGACAAATGTTAAAGGATGATGGAACATGAATATAGGAGACATCAAGTTTTGAGGACTACAGACCCGTTGTATCAACTGAGACATAGCAACTTCAGTTTTCTTATACATGACAGAGCTATAACTCTCCAATTCACATAAGCTTCTTATTGGAGTTTTCTTTTATTCAGTAGTGTTCTGCTGAAGTGTTACAGCAGAAGAGTTGGGATTTTATTTAGAGGCAATAAGTTGTCACTGCAAGGTTTTGAGCACAGGAGGGACATGGTGACAAAGTTCTCTTTTCTTCTTTTTTAAAGAATCTCTCCTTGACCAAACTTTAGGCAGGCTCCTCTGAGCCCTCTGCTTGACTGGGCTTGACCTTGGGCTCCTGTCTTTGTTCTGGTAGAGTCCGGTTTTAGCAAGAATCTTGTCAAGTTGGTTTGGCCAGAATCCCTCACCCTCAATATCTGATCACCCTCGATATTTGACCAAATTCCTCAGCTCCTACGGCTCAGCCCCCAGGTGATGTCTGATCACCTTGGCCCGCCTTCTGCAAGAATCCTGCTAGCCCAATTTAGCCAGAATCTTTCCTCTTAGTAATCCCCCCACCCCACTGCTTGGGTACAAATCCCCACTTTTCCTTGTTGCGCTTGAGTTGAGTGCAATCTCTCCCTTACTGCTAAACCCCTTTGCAGTGCTCCCTACACCCACTGTGATGGTCCTGGATAAAGTCTGACTTACTGTTTAATAAGTAGCATAAGTATTTTTTTTTTTCTTTAAACGTGGTGGAATTTTGAAAGATCATTCTAGCTGTTACACAGAAAATTGGAGTCTCGGTATGAAATTAGGGGGAGGCAGAGGGATGAGTGGAGGCCACTGCCCTTGGTGAGACAATAGAGGCCCAAGTCACAGTGAGAAGTGAGGACAGGACGTTGATGGGAGATACACTTTGGATGGAGAAGTCTCCATATCATGCCTGTTATCACTCTTCTTTTTCATAATTTTTTTTTCTTTATTGATTCCTAGAGAGAGTGGAAATGAGGGGGAAAAATATCGATGAGAGAACATAGATTGGCCGCCTCCTGCATGCCTCCCACTGGGAGCCTGGCCCACAACGTGGGCATGTGCCCTGACCGGGAATCAAACCGACCACCTCTTGGTGCATGGGTTGACGCTCAGCCACTGAGCCACATTGGCTGGGCATGCCTGCTATCACTCTTAAAGATGAAACTCCCTTATTGAGTCCCATACATTTAGCCCATTTTGGCAACTGCCATCTCATCCTACATGGTCTCTCTCACCTCAGGGCCTTTGCCCATGCTCTCTGTAACCTCTCTTGGGAATGTCCTTTCCTTTGTTTAACTCCTAATCTTCTGGAAGATCTCAGGTCAATTAGCACTTTCTAGAGAAGTCTCTCCTGGCTCCTCCAGCACCATGATTGTCCCTGCTGTGAGTACAGTGGGATTTTATACCATTGTGTGATTACTGGTTTAACATCTGCCCTCCCTAGGAGTGTAATTACTCCAAGGCACAGGGCCAACATGAGTTTTGTTTCGTCCAGGGCTTGGAACAGAGCTCAGGTGCAATAAATATTTGTCAGATGGCTGGCTGGCTGACTGGCTGATTAATCCTCATTGGGCAGAATATTTAGGCCAGATCTCTTCATAAGCTGTTGGCTTAAAGTCTTGCCCTTGGCCAGTGCTATCAGATAGGGCCAACATGGTGGACTCATGTCACTGGCTACAGGAGGCTTAAGCCATGGCAATTTGGGAAGAACTCCTCCCTGAGACCAGGCTTGTCTGATGGGCCTGAGGGTGGGACACTCATGGAGCTATGCAGGCTTATCCAGCCTACCACATGACACCCTGGTTATTGGTTATCAGTTATCAACCTGTCTGCCACCTCACCAGGCTGCAACTCCCCTAGGGTGAGGACTGGGTGGGCACTTTTTACTTCTGGGTGCTCAGTGCCCAACACAGAGCCTGGCATGGACAACACACCCAGTGAATGATTGCAAACCAGTACTGAACCAAAGAGGGTGTGAAATTCTGAGAGGCTTCAATTAGTTGAGAAGGGATCTGGGGGAAGAAGGAAGAAAAAGGGATAGCCTTAGTTCCTTCTGGTTGCCACAACAAAACAGAGAAATGCATTTCTCACAGTTCTGGAGGCTGAGAAGTCCAAGATCAAGGTGCTGGCCAACTTGGCTCCTCTGGAGGGAGCTTGTAGACAGTTGTCTTCTCACTTTGTCTTCAGTGGTCTGCAAGTTCCTGAGGGGGAGGGAGAGCAAGGGACGTGAGTGGCAGGCAGAGCTGGTGGGCTCCTGTAGAGACCCAGTGCCATCCCCACTCCTGCCTGTGGTCCCAGGACAGTTACAGGCTACCTCCCCACTACCCTGCCCTTGCTTTACCAGTCTAGGCTCAGGGCTGACTGCATTCAGGGGTGCTTTGGACTTGCTGTGACTGGGGCTAGGACACCTCTTTCTTTGTGTTTCAGTTTCCTCTCCTGTGAAACAAGAGTAACATCATTTATCTGCAGAGACAAAGGACTCATGGACAGAGTGGAAACTAAGAACAAAACGAACCAAAAACAACCACAGAAGAAAAAATCAGCGGTTTTCCCTCGTTTTTTTTTCTTTGAATTTTCTATTTTTGTTCCTTTCCCCGGAACCCTCTTTTCCTCCCTTCTGTTCTTTGCTTGTTTGTTTTCCTTCGGCCTCTCTCTTCATTCCTCCTGGTCATTCCTTGGTCTCTTTCCCAGAGCGCCCCAGGCTCATTCGGATTCGGAAGCGAAGGTCAGGTGGAGGCCGGGCCGGACCCGGTGGGTTAGAGGAGGGTTCTGCACGGGCGCGAAGACCGGATTTTTCCACTTTTCAAGGGAGTTTTCTGCCCGTGGGTGCTACACAGGCGGGCCCTGCCCCCGCCCCCGCGCCGGGCTAGAAGCCGTGTTCCCCTCGGGCCGTGCGCTCCCGCCAGTCCTGCGCGCGTACACAAAGGTCCGTCGGGGCTGTCCCCACCCGCGCCGCCCGCGCCGCCCGCGCCGCCCCCACCCCCGTCGTCCCCGGCTCCGGCTCCCGCTCCATTGGCTGGAAGCTCGTGGGGCGGGTCCTCAGCGGGCCCGCCCCTCGGGCCACGCCCCCTCCCCTGTGTAGCTGGAGCAGTCGGAGCCAAGCAGCTGGCGGAGCGGAGCGGATCGCGGGGTAAGGACTTTCTCCGGGGACCCCAGGAAGGTGTGGTGGGGTGCCCCCGACCGTAGGCCCGGAAGCAGCCGGGATGGGACCTCCTGTGCGCCACTGCTCCCATTCAACCCCCTGTTGCAGGGTCTTCCAGCTCGCCGGCAGGGGGCTCCGGGCCGGGACTCTAGGCTCCTAGGAAACATCCCGGTCGCCGAGGCCTGTTTGGGGAGAGCGAGTACTCCCCCAAGGGGAGGGTGGGTGTGGCAGCAGCTAGAGGGATTGGGAGCGGACGTCCGGCAGCACTTCCCGCCCGGCCACCTGTTTTCTGCCTGCAAGGAGCCTACCCTCGCCGCCTTATCCCCTCCCCTCGCTTTCGTCGGTGCGCTGGAGCGTGGATGGGGCGACGCGCGGTGCGGTGGAGCGAGACGCGGAGGGGCGAGGGCGCCGCTCCGGAGGTGGAGCCGGCCGCGCCAGCTGTGGGTTCGGCTCCCAGACCTGGGCCAGGCCCGGCGGGGGCGGTGGGGGAGCCCTCCTGGCGCCGCGCGATTGGCCGCCTCTGGGGGAGGAGGAATCACCAGGCGCTCTTCGAGTATGTTTGCGCCGGGATGGGGAGCCCCCAGGCGCAGCGGCAAACTTCACCCGCGTCCGCAGCCTCCCTCCCTGCTGGCCTCGCTGGCAGCCGGTTTGCAGGCCGGAAGTGAACTGTTCTGTTTTGATTTAAAAAAAGAAAGCCCCTGACCCCCACTGCCTTTCTGGGGTTGGACTGGATGTGTGTATTGGGGTGGGGGTAGCGCAGATCAGCCCGCTCCAGGCAGGGCCTCCGTTCTCATGGGGGGGGGGGTCTCATTGCAAACTAAGAGGCCACTCTGAGCCTCAGTTTCCTCTTCCGTGGACTGGGAATATAACTTTTCCTATAGTAACGCGTCGTGTGAGAATAAAGGGACATGGCTGACTCAGTGCCAGGAGAAAGGTTAGCGACTGTTACCATTTTTACTTGCTATTTTGATATTTCTCAGTCTCTTAGCTCCCAGTCTTGCCCCTCCCGTCCGTTCGCCAGGGGAAACTTGTGAAAATCTGTTCAAATCAACCCCAGGCTTAAAGTCGTCCACTGATGTCGCCATTGTTGTCTAAGTGCCAAACTTCTCAACAGAGCTTTCTGTTGTCTTCCACCTGGATTTTTCCCACTTCTCTGTGTCGCCTGCTTCCTCCCTGTGGGCCTTTGCCCCTGAAGTCCCTCTGCCAAGAATGACTTCCCCACTCCTGAAGTGATCCTGCCAGGCCAGGGGCCTCCCCACCTCTGCTCCTCCCCTACTCCCAGGGGTCCTTGATGACCTTGGGTTCTTAGTGCTGACCTTTCTGGCCTCCCCCCACCCCTAAGTGGCCCAGAAACCCCTCCAGGGCAAGACAGGGTCATGGAACTATGGCCTGGTAAATCCTGGGGTGGGGGGTCCCAATGAGTTGATCTGAGCCCAGGTTGTGCCCTGGGGTCTGGGGGTGGGTTTGAAGATGGGTTCCCCTGGGAAGGGACTCGTTTTTTCTTTGGCTGAATAACAGAGTCAGGGAATTTGGTTTGTGTCCCATCAGCAGGGACAGGAATGGGAGGGATCATTCTAGATGGCCCTGTGCCTGATATTTCCACCATGTGTGGTTTAACTATTGTTGACACAGCCCATTATAGTTGGCACCGCACCATCAGGTCTCCACAAGGTCCCTGGGCCTGGGAGGCTGCCACTATTACTGTCCCATTTGACAGATGAGGAAGCTGAGGTGTGGAGGAGTGAGGTCACTTGCCAGGGGTTACAGAAGGCGTGAAGAGCAGTCAGGCCTGAAACTCAGGTCTGCTGCCAGGGCCCTGAGGCAGGGATGGAATACGCTAGTGCTTGCAGTGGGGGTGCTGGGGGTGCAGAGCCGGCTTCTAGTTATCAGTAAGGGCTTGGGCTCTCCCGGAAGGGGCCGTCAGGGCTGAACTGGGCTGTGCTGGGTCCCAGGTGGTTAGGGAGATGGGTGACCATCTCCTGGAGGGTCTGGGTGGGAGTGCTAATGGGGGATGGTCAGATGGCAGTGCTGGAGGGCCCGGGCTTTCAGACCTCTTCCCAGCACTCGGGTCGGGGCGGCAAGCAGTTTCCAGCTGGGCTGGGCCTGGAATGGGGCTCAGCTGCTCTCATCCACCCACCTGACACGGAGGCTGGCGCTGGGGCTGCACCCTCCTGCCTTATTTGTATTTTTCTCCATGTTACTCCATCCCCCTTCCCCGCTCCTCCCCTTGACTCCCCCATCCCGCTTCTGCCTTTTCCTCCTTTCACCCCCTCCATTCCTCCACTCCGCCCCTCCCTCACCAGAGTCTGGCTCTCTTTGGAATAATGGAGGGGAGTAGGACTCTTTGTGGGCCTCTCTGGCTTCCTGGGCCCCTCTGTTCTACCTCAGCTGACCACCCCCCCAGGCCTTCAATCCCTCAGTTCTGCCAGGCTGGGGCTCATCTGGGCTGGAGGTGGGGAAGAGAGGGGAGAGGAAGGAGGGTATTTCTGCCTCAGTTTACAGGCCAGGATCTCAGGTACACCAGCGTAATTTTGTGACTCATATAGAGCTTCAACCCCGCTCTTTCCCCCACCCCCATCTCCCTTCCACCCTCTTACACTGTCTGACAGGTGGTAAAATCTCTTAACCCACCCTGCTTTGTGTTCCATGGTCCAGCAGCATCTGCCTCCCTGGGAGTGCAGACTTTCAGGCCTCAGCCCCGGATCTTCAGAATCAGAGTACGCATTTTATCATCCCCAGAGATTTGTGGTTTGACTAAAGTGTAAGAAGAGCTGGCTTAAATCATTCCGACTGTACTATAGATTCCTTATCTGTAAAATGGGGACGATAAAAGTGCCTTCCCTGTGGGGCTGATGTGGGGTGAATCTAGTTAATGTATGTAAATGCTGGTACAGAGCCTGACACAGAAGTCAGTGGAGAGTGGACATCATACTTTCAATGCCCTGCCCCTCATGACAGGTTCTCCAGTGCTCTATCCCCTTCCCTTTGTGTAGGCTACTACTCATCCTCACTTGCCAGCAGTGGCTTGGTCCTGGGGCTGGGAGGTATCTGAACATGATGCCCAGCCATGGCCCTCCTTAGCCACAAACCCATGGAAGCCTCGAAACACTCCCACTTTTCAGAATGGGAGCTTAGAAATTAAAAAAAATAGGCTTGGCCCTGGCCAGTTTTGCTCAGTGGTTAGAGTGTCAGCCCGTGGATCAAAGAGTCACAGGTTTGATTTTGGTCAAGGCCGCATACCTAGGTTGTGGTTTGTCCCTGGCCCTGGTCCGGGTCATGTGGGAAGCAACCAATCAGTATGTCTTTCTCACATTGGTGTTTCTCTCTCTCTCTCTCTCTACCCCTCCCTCCCATTCTATCTGAAAATAAATGGAAAAATATCCTCAGGTGGATTTATTTTTATTTATTTATTTATTTTTCATCCTCACCCGAAGACATTTTTCCATTTTTTTGTTCAGATAGAGCGGGAGAGAGAGAGAGGAGGAGAGAGAGGGAAACATCGATGTGAAGGAACACATCGAGTGGCTGCCACCCGCACGACCAACCAGGGCCGGGGACAAACTGCAACCGAGGTACATGCCCTTAGCGGGAACCAAACCCGGGTCTCTCTGGACCGCAAGCCGACGCTCTAACCGCTGAGCCAAACCGGCCAGGGCTCCTCAGGTGGATTTTAAAAAAAAGGCTTGGAGAGGTTTAACTTTGGTGAGAACCATGCTAAGAATGAAGCTCCCAACTTGAACCTAGCTCTTGTTCCCCTATTTATTGCCCTGAAGGGTTATAAAGCTACCAAGAATGGAGCCTTGTGAAATGAACTGCTGACTCCCTCTCACTAAAGTGTGAATGACTGACAGCACTATTACCAAGGCTTTCCTCCCTGGAGCTCTCAGAACTGTCCAGGAGGACCTGCATGGCCTGTGGAAAATTCCCAGGCTATTTTGGGCTGAGGCCCCCTTCTCTGCCCTTTCCCAGGGTAAAGGCCCCGCTGACACACCCTTCCCTGGGGACAGGCAGGGTGGGAGTGGCTTCCTAGCTTTCCCACCTTTAGGCCTTGGGTTCTCTCTCCAGGCTGGGCACTCTTCAGAACCTGGGGGTACTGACTGGGTAAGGGGGAGGATGGCCAGCTGCTCACCTGGGAACACCTGCTTTAAAAATGCAGCCCCTCTCCCACACTCCCTTCCCCTGCTTGCCTTTTCTCTGTAGCTTTTGCACTGTTGGGTGTACTGTGTGTTTCACCAGTTTATTTAGTAGATGTGAGGCCCAGGCAAGTCACGTGATACTCTGTGCCTCAGTTTTCCCATCAGTGAAGTGGGGATGAAATGAGCTGAGAACACTGCTGGCTCCAGTTCTCTGCTCTTGCTGTCCTGGTGGCTGTGGGTCTCTCCCTCCCTGCACAGAAGCTACTCGAGGGCAGGAATTTTGCTGTCCCACGGTGCACTCCTGTTACATGGTGGTGCCCAGGAACCCTTAGTTGAATAGGAGGCAACATTCTTCAAGGTCCTCTGGTGCCAGGGCGGGCACCCTGTGTGCTTGGGGGCAGGGCGCGGCCCACCCAGCCACTGGTGTGCACACACTGGCAGCGACAAGCCTGGGCCACCAGCCAGCTGTATGCCTGTGTTCAGTGCACAGATGGCTGCAGTCGTGTGAGCGCACAGACCTGTGCCCACACACCACACACGTGCACAGAGTCAGACACACCCATACTATCACGTGCACACAGAGACACACCCACAGTCATGTACACACATGTTCACAGACACACAAACACATGCGTGCACAGCACGGCTGCTGTGACAGGCCTTGGGCATGATATTTGGTCTGAGTTTGCTGCAGGCCAGAGGCCCGTCCCAGGTGTGGCCTAGAGCTTCCTGCATCTGTTTGCAGACTCCCCCCAGCTGCAGGGAGTTGGGGGGTGGCCAGTCACAGAGGGTGGGGCTGAGGCCGCCCCTGGTGTTGCTGGGAGAGCCTGGACTGTGACAGTGGATGGGGCTGGGGTTGCTGCACCCCCTCCATCTGTTCGTGTGTTGCGGGAGCAGCACCAGGACCCCAGAGCTGGCTTTGGGTGACTGGCTAACCCCTCCCCAAGCTGTTTCTTTACAGCTGGACTTTGACCTTGACTGAGGCCTCCCCCACACAGGCTATTCTCCTCCTCCTCCTCCTCCCTACCAGGCCTGTGGTGGGGGGGTAGTGTACTGGCCCTTGGCCAGGCCTGCTCCAGCTGCCCAGCTGCTCTCCAGCTCAGATGGGCCACGAGAAGGCGGGCAGGGTGGCGGTGAAGGCTGCTGGGTCTCCCAGGCCAGCACTTCGCTCACCCCACCCCTTCCCAAGTCACTCCTGCTGCCAGTGCCTCAGTGTCTTCCTCTGCCAGGTGAGCATGAGGCAGCCACCTTCTGCAGACTGTGCAAGGGGACGAGCACACGGCAAGTGCAGCCAGGCCTTCGGGGTCTCATGCTGGTTAAGGAGCCTCTGGGTCGTTCCCTACATTGTCTCTACACCCTGCTCTGCGCAGCCTCAGTGCGGGGCCCAGGACCTAGAAGGACCCCATGCTGCCCTCACGTTGCTCACCCCACAAGGTCATGGGCTTCTGTTGGCATCTCTGAGGGACTGAGTGTACTGGGGGAGTCGAGGGGGTGGTGGGGAGAGAGGAGAGGGCCCCAATTTGGGTCTGCTTCATTCACCCAGGGGGAGATGGGCATGGCAAGGGGAATGGAGACAGACAGACAAATTGGTGTGAAGAAAAGAAGACACACCTGGTGGTGATCTGATGCCATGCCCAGTACTTCCTGAGCTGGCCCCGCCCTCCTCTCCACCTCCCCTGCCGCCTCTGACCCACTCCATCCCCAGCACCCTCCACATCGTCTTTGCTGGCCTCAGTCATGTGGCCCTTGCCAATCAGGACCTTTGCACAGGCATTTCCCCCTGCCTGCAAGAGCCTGCTTCTGTTTTTCAGATAGTCGACTCTCTCTCACTGTTCAGGGCCCAGCTTGTACCCTCATTAGGGAGGCACCCCCACCCTTTTATCTCCTGTGTATTTTTACTAGCCCTTTTGGAAATCTGCAATGATCTTGTTCATATAGTGATTTACCTGTTTATTCTCTGGCTCCAAATTTATCCCTGTGTCTCTAGTGCCATGAACAGGGTCTGGCACTGGGCACACATCTGTTGAATGATTTTATGGTGAGAACTAGACAATGATAGCTGACACTTAATGCTCACTTTTCCTGGGAGGACGGGGTGCTGAGTGCTCAGCATGAATTCTTTCATTTCACCTTCACGATCACGGTGTGAAGTCAGGACTGCTGTGCTCTCCATTTCTCAGACATGGAAGCCAGAGGGTAAGCAACGCGCCCACGGTCACACAGCTGGTAGGAGGTGGGATCCGAGGTCGGACATGCTGACTCCGGAGGAAAGGAGGTTAGATCATGTGTAGAAACGGGGAAGGCAGTTTCCACCTCACCCTGGTGTCACAGCCGCTGTGGCCCCACCTGCTGTCCTGGAGGCCTAGGCGGGGCCCTCCCTTCTCTGGGCTGGCCCCTTCCCAGAACCCCATGCGTTGGAACATTCCAGGACTCTATGACCTGTGCTGGTGGGTCATGCTGGAGCCCTGACCCCTAGCTAGGCAGCCGGGGCCTTTTTGAGGTGGGGGCTCCCCGGACTCGCGGTCCTCCTTGGCCGCCGATGCAGCTGAGAGAAGGGTCAGGAGGTAGCTATGCCCCTCCGTCCAGAAGGCCAGCTGGCCCTCCCTCACCAGCCAGGCAGAACTGAGGCCTGTGGGGACTGGGGGGAGGGGTCGTGGAGGGGGTGGTGGGGAGTGCCGGGGCAGAGATCTTGTTTTTGCGGGGAAGGAATCAGGCCTAGATCTTGGGTGGTTTGGTTGGGGCAGAGACACTGCTGGTGATTAAATGGAAGACCCGGTGCCCTGGGGCCACAGAGTTACTGTTAAAGAGGGAAGCTGGGTGGTGAGTTGGGGGTTCAGGATTGTCAGAGCTGCTCGCGGAGACCTGGATTTTGAGGCAGACTCCTGGGGTGTTTAAAAGATAGCTTACATTTCACATGGGAAAACCCTATGTGGGGTGCCGATGCCCCCAGGGGCAGCTTCTGTCCTTCCTCACTGTGAACGCGGCTGAGGGCTGAGCCCAGGCCCTACCACAGCCCAGCAGTGCTCAGCGATTCCGCCAGCTGCCCCTCTGCAGGCAGCACGCTGGTCCCAGGGAGGGGAGAGCATCTGCCCAAGGCCCTCTGGCTCCTGGGCTGTACTCTTCCCTCTTGACCTTGAGCCAAGGGAGTTAGACAGGCCGCCTCTGTAGCCCCAGTGTGGTGTTCCTTGGGTACCTCGGCCACGTCCTGCCCTTGGCAGAACTTCCGTTTTCCTCCCCGTCCCCCTACCCCTGTGCTTAGCAGGCTTTAGAAAATGTTTCTTGAGTGACTTGGTCCCGATCTGGGGGGCTGGCATTAAAGCAAAGGCCCGCCCCGCCTGCCCTGTCCGCCTGCCGCCCTCGCCGGCCCCCTCCCTCCCTCCCTTTCACAAGTGTTCACGAGGTGCCCAGGTCTGTGCTGGGCACTAAGGACCTATGGGGACCGATGGCAGCCTTGTCGTGGGTGTGAGCTGGCACAGCGGTGATGGAGGCAGGCCCGGCTGCTGCAGACCCCAGGGGAGGCGTGGGACCCTGCTGGTCAAGCCAGCGTGTTGATGGGGACGTGACTGTGACCCCCACGCTGAGTGAGCTGCAGCCTGCATTCCACAGAGGAACGAGTCTCTGATGTGGGGGTGAGGATGTTTCCGGGGGCCCTCCTTGCAAGGTGTGAGCCTCTGAGAGCCCCCCCATCTCTCTCCAGGTCAGCCATGTCATCTGAAACTCCTCCGCCACCACAGCCCCCCACCCACCAGGCTTCGGTCGGGCTGCTGGACACCCAGAGGGCCCGAAATCGCTCACCATCCCCGCTCCGGGGCAATGTGGTCCCCAGCCCGCTGCCCACTCGCCGGACGAGGACCTTCTCTGCGTGAGTCTCTGGCTGGCTTGGGGGAGGCTTCCAGAGACTGGCCTCTCTGTGCCTCAATAACCCTGTTTGTCAAATCGAGACATTTGGGGTTGGGGTCGGGGTGAGAAACTGAGAAGGCACTTTGTGATCTCTGGAGGGCACTGCCCCAGGGCCACTGGAACCTGTCGTGGGCTGGGGGCGAGGGATGGAGGTCACAACAGCTGGGAAGACGCTGGGGTCTTAAATCATTGATCTTTAACCGCACACAAGCCTCTTCCCTTGCGAGACCTCAACTTCCTCAGCTGCAAAATGGGGACAGTAGCAGGGTTGCCACAGTGTTGCAGAGGGTGCACAGGGCACCTGGCGGATGCAGACCTCAGGCCCAGCGAGTGGAGGCTGCTGCTGCTGTTAGTAATGTGTCATCAGAGGTGCTCAGAGAGCTTTTAATCTAATACTCTCTTTCCAAATGGGGAAACTGAGTCCTAAGAAAATTTGCCAAGGTCATCCCAGAGGCACTGTCCCTGGATTCTGTGTGACTGTCTCCATGGCTGTCCCCGGTGGCCTAGCCGGGATGAGCCGGATGTGTGCCCCAGGGGAGGGTGGCCGTCCTGGAGGGCTGGTGGGGGCCTCACACGTTTGTTTCCCTCTCTGCAGGACGGTGAGGGCCTCCCAGGGCCCCGTCTACAAAGGAGTCTGCAAATGCTTCTGTCGATCCAAGGGCCACGGCTTCATCACCCCCGCAGAGGGCGGCCCCGACATCTTCCTGCACATCTCCGAGTGCGTCGGGGGTCTGGGGCAGGCGGGGCACTGTCGGGGCTCCTTGGTGGCAGGGAAAGTATGTGACTATGCCGGGTGCTGCGGATGAGGGTGTGAGACCAGGCGTGTGTGACCTGGGGTGACTGTGTTCAGGGGTGGGGTTGTGAGACGGCACTACGTGGTACTGGTCTGTCCGATGCTGCAGGTGACTGTGTGTGTGTGCACGCATGTGTCTCTGTGCGTGGATGTCTGTGTGTTTGAGCCAGTGTGTGCATGTGTGTGTGCACGTGTGTATCTGTGTGTTTGAGTGTATGTGCCTGTGTGTGTTTGTGCGTGTGTGCGTGTATGTCTGTGTGTTTGAGTGTATGTGCGTGTGTGCATGTCTGAGTGTGTGTATGTGCCTGTGTGTGCGTGTGTGTGTTTGAGTCGAGAACCCCGGGGTGGGGTGAGCGCCCTATGTATCTGGTGGATGGGGAGAGGCACCCCCGTGTTGGGCCTCAGGGTGGTTTCCTGCCCTGCTCCGGGAAGTGGCCTGATGAGGCTGGGGGCTGCCTGGCCCCTCTGATCCGGGAAGTCAGAGCTGGACCCTTTCTCTAGTCGCTTGCTCACTGACGCCCTTCCTTCCTGAGTGTCTGGAAGGCCTTAGAGGACCCAGGGTGGGGCCCGCACACTGCAGCCCGGTGTCCTGCCGCCTGGGCTGCGCTTCCGGCCTTCGGATGTGGGCCTGATCTGGCACCCCACCCACCCCATCCTTTGGCCTCAGCATCCCCTGATGTTTTATTTCAGTCTATGGGGAAGTCCTGTTCTGCAAAGGGTGGGGCAAAAGGAGGTGTACAGTTGTGAGGACCTGAAATACAGGGCTTATTCTTGTATTATTATTAATCATTACATTCTTTTCCCTACGAATAACTAAACCTACTTTTGCTTCACCCGGTATATAGAGACCGTATTTTTGAAAATAGGGTCCTATTGCACATGTCTGCCATGGTGGGAGGATTACCCTTTCTTTACCCCCCACCCCATTCTTACACATCAGGCCTTAAGTAGGCCCCTGCCCAGTGTAGACCTAAGGTGCTCAAGCAGTGATTTGATGTCTGTGAGTGCGTGCGTGGTGTACTGCCCCTTTCCAGCAGGACTTGTAGTGGTTTGCAAGGGACTCGGGGCACCGTGAACAGTAAGTAAAGAAAACATGGGGGTGGGGCAAATAAGAAAGATGGAGACAGTGGGGTGCCTGGTTCTGCTGCACATTTATCCCTGAGCTTCCTGGCAGCCAAATCAAAGAGGGAAGCCCCATTTGGGACGAGATTCTTTAATCAGGCAGGAGGTGTCACAGTTCTGGGGAGCTGCTGGCCCTGGCATTCAGGATCTGAAGGGGATTTGTGGGGTCTCATCAAGGGGGCATCAAGACAGGCACACCACTTCTATGGGTGGGATGGTAGCTCATGTCCTGTACAAAGTAAGGGAGTCTCCCGGGGGCGGTCCCAAGGGAGAGGACCCTTCCTGGAACGGGCTTTAAGCACAAAAGGGTCTTACTTGAAGTCTCACCAGGTTTCTGGGGATTGAAGAGCTGGGGTCCAGCCTGGGTTCTGGGACTCCTGGACCAGGGTGGGTGTGCTGCAGACACTCAGGAAACCCCACTCAGGCCATCTTTCAACCCCCCATCTTTCAACCACCTCATTTCTCTCGGGCTCAGGCTGGCTCCCCCTGCTCTTCTGTCCGAAAGGCCCATGGTGCCCACGCTTAATGTAACGTGTGAGCACTCCCAGGGGGCCCCCGGGAGGCAGCTGATTGGGCTGGGGGCTCCTCAGCCACGACCTGAGGCTGGGGCAGCGGGCAGCGTGGCACCACTGAGCATGGTGGCTCCCTCTGACGGCAGGGCGGGAGGGGCAGGCCCTCTGAAAGGGGTTGCCCTCTGACCAGCGGGTCTGGTGCCCTGGGCATGGCATCACTCGGGCTTTTCTGAGAGCTGGGCACTGAGTGCTTTCCCCCCACCCTGCAGTGTGGAAGGGGAGTACGTTCCAGTGGAAGGCGATGAGGTCACCTATAAGATGTGCTCCATTCCGCCCAAGCACGAGAAGCTGCAGGCCGTGGAGGTGGTCATCACGCACCTGGCGCCGGGCTCCAAGCACGAGACCTGGTCTGGCCACGTCGTCAGCTCCTAGGAGAGGCCGGAAGCACCCCTTCTCCTGGCTTGTGGGAGACTCTGGGGGAAGGAGGAGGCAGGACCAGACTGGAGATGACATTCCACTGCTGGAGATATGGCTTCAAAGGGGGGGAGCCATATCCTGGAGGAAGGGGTGTTGGGGGCAGGCACAGGGGTGTCTGGGCCGCCGGCACAGTCTTGGACCATCACAACAAACACCATCTGAAAAGTATTAAAGGCATTGAACAAGGAGAGGCGCCCGGCTGGTGGCTGAGTAGAGGGTGCAACCCTGGCCCAGGGGTTGGGTCAGGTGGTATTTCTCCAGCCCACAGAGTCCCCATCGCCATCCCACTGGGCTGGAGGCTCAGAATTCCGCTGGGTGGTGACACATGGACCCTGTTTGTTTCCTCAGCATGCATTCCCCCCAAGCGCCCCCTTCTTGTGTCTCCTTGGCCCTGGGCAGAGCAGGCTTTTTTTTTTATCCTCACCCAAGGACATTTTTTCATCTTTTGTTTAGACAGAGCGGGAGGGAGAGAGAGGAAGAGAGAGAGAGAGAAACATCGACATGAAAGAGTCACATCGAGTGGCTGCCACCCGCACAACCCAACCAGGGCCGGGGACAAACTGCAACCGAAGTACGTGCCCTTAGCGGGAACCGAACCCAGGTCTCTCCGGACCACAGGCCGACGCTCTAACCACTGAGCAAAACCGGCCAGGGCAGAGAGCAGGCTTTTTGATTCTAGGCTTGGTTGGTTCCAGGGGAGCTGGCTTCAGGAGGCAAGGGGTGCGAGGAGCGTGAGGGGGTCTTAGGTGCCTTTGCAGCAGGAGGTGTCATGGCTGAGGGTTGGGAAGAGTTTTCCCAGGAGCCCTTAGCCCTCCACCTGGCAAAGCCTTGCCGAGAGCTGAATTCTAACCCTCGGAAGCCTGGTCTTTTCCATCTGTCTTCAAGTTGAGTGATCATGGCTTAGCAGCTATTTCCCATCCGTCGTTTAGGTGGTGGGTGGGGGTGGAAGGAGGGTGTTTGTTTAAACACAGGCCTTTCTCCGGATCCATCAGACAGGAACAGGGAGCTTGCTTTCTGACAGCCTGATAAAGTCAAACGTCAAAGGAGAAATACACTTTCAGTGCAGGGGTTCTCTCGAAAACAGGTGTGAAGAAATGCTCAGGAGGTTTTGTTTTTAAACAACGAAAGCTCTCACCCGACATTGGGAACCTTTGTAGATGGTCCCAGGAAACAGGCCGTTCGGATTGTATTCGCTGTGCTTTGGTTTGGCTTTAGTTGGGGTTTAAAAATAGAAATGTCTGGGTAATATGTTTGAAATATGTGGCTTATATGTAGTCAAAAATCCATTTGTCAGCGCGGGGAAGTGAACCCTTCCAAGCTGGCTTCTGGGCAGACGAGGATATTCCAGACTCCGGACGGGACTTTGGATGCGGGAGGCCGGAGTGGCCTCATCAGGTGTCTTTGTTTGGGGACCGCTTCAGCTGAAAGAGGTGGGAGGCTGGAACTCTGGCTGACGGCCGCTGCAGTTGTTTTAAAACAGACGAATAAGTGTGTTGATGTGTGTGCAGTGAAACCCCACAGTTAAGTGACTTGATCTGCTTTTTCCTGGCCCATTGTGCCCCTCGAAGGGTCCTCTGCTTCTGCCTTTGCCTTCTGCTGGGTCCAGCGTGGCCTCTCCCCGCTGGCCTTGGATGTCGCCCAGGCGGCCCCTGGAGGCCTGTCTGCTGGGTGCAGACCACACTCTACAGCCACTTCTGCATCTTGTGTGTGACCCCACCAGGCTGCACCTGCCAGTGGGTTGGGAATTGGATCTGCTGTTCAGAGGTGGCCTGTGTGTGGAATCCTTTGTAACGGCTCTCGCAGCCCCTTCGGTCAGTGCGTGTTCTAGAACTGCAGGATGCTAGAGCCGGAAGCCCCCCGCCCCCCCAGCCTCAATATACACAAACTCCTTGAGGCTCTGGGAAGACTTTGGTGGTGGTGACCGAGTGGGGAGTAGCATCCAGGGTTCCTGAATCCAAACCTTTTCTCCCACCGGTCGGTCACCTTCCTCTCAATAAAGTTTGTTTGTGCAAGGCGGTGTAGTTTGTTAACGGGGAGGCTGGCTGGGAGGAAGTTGTTCCTTAGCCTGCGAGTAGGGGCGGCTCCCCAAACCTCGGGGACTGGCACTGTACCTCCTAGCCTGCTTGTTTGAGAAAGAATGTGGCACCGCCCCCTTTCCCGTAATTACCATCCTCAGTGTGTGTGTGTGTGTGTCGGGGGGGGGGGGGGGGGGGGGAGCTTGGAGGTAGAATGTGGCTTTGTGACCACAGGAAATGTCACCGAGTCGGTCACTTGTGGGCAGGTCTACTTTGAGGCATTTCTACGTTGCGCGGAAGCTCAGCCGTGGGAGTGTGGAAGGCAGTTCCTGGTTTCCGGGAGGTGGGGAGGTGAGGGGCTGGGCTGGGGGGAGGTGGGCTGCTCTGGGAGGGTGTGTGTCAGGGGGAAAGGTCTTCCGGGGCCAGTGTTTCCCTGCGGAGGTCGATAACCACCTTTGGTGGTGCAGAGGCAAACATTTTTATTTAAGAATACTTTGATTTTCAAAAAGAGTATTAGGAAAGGCTCTGGCCAGTAGCTCAGCTGACACATCAAGGCTATAGGTTTGATCCCCAGTCAAGGCACATATAAGAAGCAACCGGTGAATGTATAATGTGGAACAACAAATCCATATTTCTCTATTCCTTCCTCTCTCTAAAATCAATAAAAAAAAAACACCCCAATAAACAAAGTGCATTAGGAAAAGTTAGAAACCAGCCCATTGAATCAGTTTAGGGAGAGGCCAACGTAAGCATCTAGCTCAAAACCATGAGACTGGACTGTTCTGAGAAGTGACCGTCCGCAGGTGGAATGAGGGAGGCCGAGGCAGAAAACCAGGCGATGCTGGGAGCAGCCACAGGTGAGGGGGGGAGTGAGCTCCAGAACGGGAGTGGGGGGCAGGGAGGTGAAGGCGGCTGGAGGCCTGGCTGCCTGGCCCAGGTGCCTGCCAGGGCCCAGATCAAGGAGCAATTGGGGGAAGAGGAAGAGGAAGAGGAAGCAGTTCTTGGAAAGGAAGTGATTCAAAGCCACCTGGGCCCCGCCCTTCCGGAATCCACATCTCCACATCTCAGCTGTCACTCAGATCTCGAGCCTCCTCCGGTTCCTCCCTCAGGATCCAGTTTGGGCTCCGGCTCCTCGGGAGGTTCAGGAGGGCCTTCCCAGTGGCCTCTCACTCCAGGGGCCACCTGCTGTGCCCCCCCCCCCCCACAAGCCCCGCACAGGCCTTTCCCGAGGCTTCAGCCTGAAGGACCCAAGTCCCCATCAGCTTCTGTAGTGCTGGGATGGGACTCACTTTCCCACCAGCCCCAGGCTGCGACCTCTATGCTTCCCCTGCTCAACTTAGCCACCACGTGTACCATTCTGGTGCCGGCGTCTTGACTCTGCGAACTGCTAGGCTGAGAGGCAGACTCAGCTTAAGGTTACTTCAGGTGGGGCTAAGAGTCCTGCTCGTTGGGCTCCGGGGCGGTTACCAGAGCTCGTGATAGTTCACACACCCCTCTCAAAGGGCTTTACTGAAACGAAATCAACTATGTGGTAGGGACTGTACCCCATTCAGCGGAAGAGCAAACAGGTTGACGTGAAAAGTAATCAGAATGAGAAACAGGAAACAATTAATTTGCTACTTTTCGTTTTGAAAGGTCATTACATTATCATTTGCAAAAGACTTCAACAAGGGAAGATACTCCCAATGACACATCCTGAGAACCGCTAAGATACGTCAACCGTGGGGTCCAGGGGGTGGGCTGGCTGATTTAGAGCTGAGACAAGCCCGGGGCAGGTTTGGGGGGAACCCAGGTTCCTCTGGGAGGAAAGCAGCTGGTGGGGGTGGGGTAATGCACACGGACTCAGGTCAGCGGGGCCTTCGGCAGGGGCCATGCTGTGGACTGAGGCCGGTCCGGGCCCCTGCACCAAGCTGCGGAGGGCTTGCGGGTCTCAACGTTTCCAGATGCTAACAAGTGTCGTGTGAACCGTTGCCTTGGAAAGCTGTCTCCGCCCTGTTCTGGACCAGGGCCTAGGGATGCCTTCCAGTTTCGTGAGGAACTTGCAGAACCTGGACGGGAGGAGTGAGGGCCCTCGGCCCAACCATGGCTGCTCCCAGCCCTGGGTCAGAGTCCGGGTGAGGGCCGGGGTCCACGGGCTTACTTATGAAAAGACCCGCAGAGAACAGGGCAGCTTCAGTCTGCTCATCATCGTGGCTTTTCCGATCCCTGAGAAACTCGAGGCAAAGCAGGCCCCTGGGAAGCCCAGCCAGGTGCACCAGGAGGCTCTCTGGTGAGGTGTGACACCCAGGCTGTCTCTCTGACCTGGGCTTGGAGTGAGCACCTGGGCAAGGGCTGTGTGCTGATTCTCCATGGGGCCTGTGGGACCTGCTTCCTCCCTTCTCAATGGTTGGAGAACCAGCTCCTCACTGTGTAGTCAGTACTGAGCTAACCTGCGTACTAGCCAGCAGAGGTGCAGATCCTTCGGGTCAGTTGTCACCTGGCCAGCCAGCCATCCACAGGCCACACTGAGGTCTGTGGCTCTCAAACTGGAAGTGTAGTGGGAACAGAGTTCATGCGGTCACTTAGCTTAATACTGCCTGCCGACCACAGTGCCCTTGGTCCCAAAGCTGCCACTGCAGGGGCTTCATTTCAGGAAGTGTTTTTACATTTCTGTCCTGGCCTGGATGGTTGTAATGACCTGTTGGCATGGGAAGGAGGGACCTGTGGTTGGCACCGAACGAGCCCTTCCGGCTTGTCAGCGGGCCCCCCCCCCACGGGAGGGCATTAGGAGAAGAGCTCGTCACAGATCCTGCGTGTGTCCTCGGGGGCCTTCACAGTGTAGCCCCTGGTCCTCGGGTCCGTGAAGATCTCGTGGTCATTTCCACCCTGCGGAGACACGAAGCAGACGCAGCCGTTGCTGGGGCAGCCCTGGAGCCGGGCTGTCAGAGGAATGAGGAACCTGCCATTTTACGGGCGGGAGAAACTGTGTCCTCGTTCCTCTGGAACTGAGCCAGGCATCACTGAGAAAGGGCTCATCACCTTCCCCTGAACTGCGATGCAGCTGGGAACATGTAATTATGCCAATGGAAGAACTCATTGTGTTCTTGTGACGATCTAAGGCTTATTTTTCTAGAGAGAAAGCAGCAGGGCAGGTGACGGAACTCCCAGGGCCGTCGGTTTGTTTCCACTGTGCCCAGACTTTTCTAACGGGCCACAGGGAGTGTGGCAGGCCAGCCAGTCAGAGCAGCTCTGATGACGGACACGTCCACGTCTGAGCTGACAGGCCACTCGCCACGTGTGACTCTGGAGCACCTGCCGTGTGGCTAGTGGACAGAGCAACTAATTTGACTTGGATTCATTTACATGGAAACAGTCCCGTGTGGCTGGTCTGAGCCAGGTGGCCTGGGTGTGGATCCTGGTTCTACCACCGACTAGGGGGTTCTTTGGGCAACCCCCACCTGCAGAATGGAGGGTGGTGGAAGCGGGAGGACCTGGGCACTGGGGGTGCCGTGACTGGGTTCGCAGTGCTACGGGTCTCCGGTGAATCAGCAGGCTTCCTGCAAAGAAAGCTCTGGGGGAAAAGCTCCTGCTTTTCTGCTCATGGAATTTCCTGTATTTTTCTCATAAAACTGGATAAACACTCTAACTCAAAATCTTGGAAAAAAAAAAACCACTCACAATTATTTGATCATATAATGAAAATAATCACCAAGAAAAAGGGGTTTTTCTCATAAAGAGTCCGTAGAAAAACCTGACATCCTTTTAAAGGCTTGACTGACACCTGAAATGACTACTGCTCTCATCCTTTAAGAATAAGCCATCCCGAGCAGATGCTGTCCCGGAGGAAGCGGAGTGCAAGGTTTCCGGGGGGACTGTCGCCGGGGCCCACGGCGTGCTGGGTGGGGAGTGATGTTAGAGGCCATGACCCTGGAGCTGTGAATGCCCTTCTCAGTGCTGCTCGGGAGTCTGCTGTCCTCTGGTCATTCAGAGGCCCCGACTTTCATGCCCAGCATCTGCTACCTGAGCAAGTACATGTGGAACCACTTCTAGTAATTCCTGATAAAAAACGAGCCCGATTTCTCGTAGAAATAAATGGCATGGTAGGTAAACACCACCCAGGGTATGTTCAAAGGAAAAACAAACTCCTGCACCGTCCAGAAAGAGCACACATCTGTCTGGGACTGTTCACTGCCGATCACCCACAGCCTCAGGAGGGAGGAGTTAGAGTCACCTATCAACCCAGCACACCTGGTGGGGCAACTGCTCCCTGCCTGGCCTGGTTTCAGCCACAGTGGCGGCAGACAAACCCACAAAATGACAAAAATGCCTCCCAGCTTGCTCAGCCATGGGCAAGAGCTGCAGAGAATAAAGGGGAAGGGAACCGGGAGTGACAGGGCCCCTGGCGCAGAGACCTGAAGGAAGTGAGGGACAAGCTGCATGCCTGGCTGTCCTGGGCAAGGCAGCTCAGCTCTCAGAACCTGCTGGGTGCACCTCGAAGGGTCCAGAGGGTCTGGGAGATCATGGTAAGGACCCTGGGCTTTCTGTGAAGCCACCAGAAAGCTGCAGCCAGGACACCCTGAGATTCACCTACAGCAGGATCCTTCTGGAGAATGGGTGGGGGATGAGGACAGGCAGAAGCAGAGTGGAATGAAGAGGCTCCTGCAGCCAGCCAGGGTGCACTGTGAGGACAGAAGCCACTAGCTGGGGAGAGTCATCTCTGAAGCATGGGGAGTTTGCAGCTGCTGCGCCTGCCCCTCCCTGAGAGGATGTCACAGTTGGGGACAGGTGTGTACCTGACAGATGCCTCATTTGGCATGAGTCTCCCATGGTCCTGTTGGGGTGGGGCTGGGAGCTACTGGGTAACTCACCCACGTTAAAGGAAGACAGGCCCAGAGAATCTGGGCTGGGCTGCCAGGTCCCCTTACAGCTCTGCACCACAAACCCCGGCAACCTCTACCCTCTGTCCCTCCTGCCAGGGGACCCGGCCTCCTCTACGTGGGTGGCCACACAGAGCTTGCACACCAGAGTCAGAGGGAGGGGCAGGAGCAGCAGAGCCAAAACCGCTGAGAGTGTCGCCCTCTGAACCCGAGGCCTCAGACAACCAGTGTCAAACACTGGATCTGCATGTGCACCGAAGGCCACCTAACTGGCTGGGGAAGCTCAGCTTCCAGGAGCCAAAACAAAACCTGGTTCCTGAGAGGAGACAAAGGGAGGACGGGGCAAGGGCTGAGTAACCGAGATCATGTTCTCATTAGAGTGTATCGGGACCAGAGGCTGCAGCTCAGTGCAAACTGCCCATGAAGGCCGAAATCCCCACCAGGCCAAGGCCTGGGGACACACAGAAGGCAGTGTCTGCAGCGTTCAGACACCAGGGGAGGGGGCTAAAGGGTGTCCAGTCCCCACTCCACCCCTGCACACACTGTAGCAGAAGTGAACCCCGACGATCCTAACCTTGGAGACAGACCATGCTGAGGAAGCAGGACCGAGCTGCCGACCTGCCTGCCGCACAGACAGCCTCCCTGTCGCTTGGAGTTCAGACTTGTGCCGCCCATGGACGCTGACCTCAGGTCAGTTTACCCAACATTTATCAAATGTGTGGGTTTGATGGGTACACAGATGAGGGTTCCACTCTGAGAGAGCGAGGAGCAGGGGTTCTCCCTCGCTGCAGGTGACAGTCTGTGGGAGCTGTACAAGTACCTCCATGAAGTTGGGGAAAGAATAAAAGACACTGGGTCCAGAGGTCCAGGATGTCCTAAGAGCTCCTGGGAGATGACAGCAAGTGCTGCAAAGTGCCTGGTGTCCCCAGGCCACTGCAGGGTGTTCACTGGGGCACCTGCAGGACATGGGGAATTCGAGGGCATGCCGCTTGACGGCAACATGTGGCTGCTTTGTCGGTATGTGACAATCGGCTGCAGAGACATTCGGCACAGACAACTTTAATGTCCATTTAAAAATGCATGCCCTCTGTTCTCATTCTCCAAGGGAGCCATCAGTGAGATCTGACTCGGCCGACCTATGCTAGCAAGTCTGCCATCCTTCAGAGAAGGCAGCCCTTTGGGAAGGGTTCACTCTACCTATTCAACATTCCTTTTGTTGGTGACATTTGTGATTTTCCGTGATCTGAGTTTTTGGTGGCCTTTTAAATGAGCCTCCTGTACGTGAAGGCTGCTGCTGCAAAGATCTTGTGTATTGGCCCTGCAGGAAGTTAACCCTTGTTGTTTCCTATTTTGCTTATTGCACAATTGCTTCATGATTAAATGGATTATGTAAGACGCCTTGAACTTCTATCATACCACTCCTTGATGAGGAAGCTGAAATGTTTTCTGTCACTTATTCTTTAAGAGACTTAAATTAGTTTGGGGGTTCTTTTTTTTGAGTACGAACCCAGGACTCTCTGGTCCGCAGGCCGACGCTCCAACCGCTGAGCCAAACTGGCCAGGGCAGTTTGAGAGTTCTTAACGTTACTTTTCAGGCCTCTGAATGACATTAACAAGCATGAGGGGAGCCAGCATGCAAGTACCCAGAGGCCCCCAGCTTAACGACAAGAAAGGCCCGCCCCTCAGTACGGCTCTGCCCTTCTCACTCCTGCCGCCCTCCCCTCTCTCCTCTCCCCTGCCATCCATGGTCAGCAGCCAGTTAGAACTCTGTGCCCAGTCACTTTGTGTCCCACAGCATCCTCCCAGGACAGTCTCAGATTTCAAAGTGGAGACTGTTAGCTAATTAATTAAAGTGAAGTCCCTGCAGAGAGACTGCCCAAACTACTAGATACATTTATCTGAGAAAGGCTGAGAGCACCCCGCACCTGTGCAGTTTGCACCGCTTCAGAGTGATCGCGTTAGACTGGTCTTCCCTTTTGTGCTCAGGGACATGGGGATTTCCTGTACCTTCTGAGATGGAGTTCTTTAAGCGGGAGAGTAGTCCTTTTAAATACTGTCACGAGGGTCTGCAATATAACTAACTCTTACATATGCTGCGAATACTTCCTTAAGTTGTACAGGAAAATGAGCCAATTTCTTACTTCCTAACATCTTTGGAAAGAACTTTCACCGATGAGCAACTCTGTAACTCTATGGGGTCATCAATGCCACTGTTCTGATTCCTGAGAGAGAAAAAAATAATCGTTTCCTTATAACAAGGCAAGAAAAGTTTATTTTACTCCTGATAACTTATAGAACAAGAATAACATTTTTCTCTCCATTTTGGACATAAACCTGCCAACGTGTTTTGTACGTGAAAGATGCAGTTACTTTTGATAGAGAACAGTGCTTTTCAGTGCCTAGAAGGTGCGTCCCTAGGTAAGGGGGCTGGTACTGCAAGCCTCTGGAAGGCCAAGTGGCGGTGCCACGGCGCGTGTCTGTGGGCGCGGAGAGTGGCAGCTCACACTGTAAGCAAGTGGTCAGCAGTAAAATAAATACTTCTAGAATATTAAAAATAAATAAATGCCCCTAGATAACTCTACTAAATTTTCCTTTTTTAAAAAAAAATATTTCTTTTAGTGATTCTAGAGAGAGAGGAAAGGAGAGGGAGAGAGACAGAAATGTGGAAGAGAGAGAACATCGACTGGCCGCCTCCTGCATGCCCGCACTGGGGATCGGGCCCATAACCTGGGCATGTGTCCTGACCAGGAATTGAACCAGTGACCTCTTGACGCATGGGTTGATGCTCAACCACTGAGCCACACCAGCTGGACTAAATTTTTCTTTAAAAAAGTGGTAAACAGCCTGGCCGGTGTGGCTCGGTGGATTGAGTATCACCCCACGGACTGAGAGGTCCCGGGTTATGGGCTTGATCCCCAGTGGGGGTTGTGCAGAAGGCAGCAGATTGATATACCTCTTTCACATTGATGTTTCTCTCTCTCTCCCTTCCTTTCTCTCTAAAAGTATCAATAAAAACATATTAAAAAATAAAGTAGTAAACATTTATGCTTTAAAGAAAAAAAAAGCCTGGCCCAAGTCACAATGCTTTGAAAACGGTCAGGTGATTCTAACGCACTTCAGGGCTGAGCACCCGCAGCGTAGAAGCCAGTGGTGAACATGCCTGAGGTGTGGGAACAAGTGGGCTGGCCGTCAGGCGAATGTCCCTGGGTGGCCCTCGGCACCTGCTGATGGCTCTAGCACCATCCTCTCATGCACAATGGGGCTTCGAGCTGTGTGCGGGGCTTGGCATGGGAGGGCACCCAGGAGACACTGATTCTCCAGGAGAGAAGTAGTTGTACCAGGGGACTCTGGAAGCCAGCCTGAGGATGCTCCCTTCACAGGGCTTGCCCACTCAGCCACAGTCCTGTTCTTAGGACCAATGAGGCCATGGATTGTGGTGTCTAGGAGGAGGCAGGCCAGCAGGGACCCCAGCGAACACCAGCAGCCTGTGGTCTCTTGTACAGCATCCAGCTTCCCATCCTCCCACAGGGAGCCAGCGGGGTCTCCTCAGCTGGGCTGAGAACCTCTGATCTGGTCCAACCCAGGGTGGAAATGCTGAGTCAGAGTCAATCAGCGGTTCACAAACTGTTAGAATGTTTTCATGCTGCAACTACTTTAAGGCCAAGATGTTTTTTACATGCACTGGACAAGCAGAACTTGTCCTGCCTGAGTATTCAGAAAGGCTAGGGGTGATGTGGCTGGTACGGCCCCTGGAAAGCCACGCAGCGCAGTCTGGGGCGTCTTTCCATGCCCTGGCCATCTCCTTCCCCACAGCAAACCAAGTCCCCCCACCACGAAGCTCAATTCAGAGCTGGGTTTGAACAGACCTGGCTCCTGTGGCTGACTGGAAGGATGAGGGGGTTTCCAGGGCTGACAAGTACTTAGAAAAGTGAGGGCCAAGGTGTTGCTGCTGCTTTGCTCTGCTCTCTGGAGGCGCTCACAGCAGGCGGCACCCCTGTGTGACATCAGATCCCATCAGAGGAGGCTGTGTGTCTGGGAGACAGGAGGGTTAGCAGGCTCTGAGCCTGGAGTGCTTGGCAGGGATACGGCTTCTGACCAACAGCTCTTAGCTCAGGTGCCATTTCCCTGGAAGCCAGCAACAGCATTTGCCTGGACAGAGAGAAAACAGCTTCCAAAATGTCTACCCCCACACGTGAAGAAACATTTCATCTCTGCGCCTCAAGTTTCAAGAATCGACATGTTACGATTCTTTAAATGTTTAAATGGCTGGACTGTTCACTCCCATTTCCAGGAAACCACTGACAAGAGGGGTCAGAGGGGAGGGCAGAGCACGACCGAGAACGCTGACCAGTGTTAGTCACAGCACAAGAAGCCGTGATTCACCAGCACCTCCACCGAGGAACAGGCGAAGGGACTAGGCCCAAATGACGGATCGTTACATGGCCGTTAAAACCTTGTTTGCAAAAAAGACTCACTAACATGGGGAAATAAAATATGGTAAGAGAACAAGAGCATAAAATAAAACAAGGAACGTGCAGGGCCCCGTCTGGGGTCCTATCCGTGCAGAGAGAGGCCTGGGTGGCACAGCAGCGAGACTACGTGACCTATGCTTCCTCTCCGTGCTTTGTCTGATTTTCCATGGTGAACGCACAGTACCTAAGAATGGGGGTGAGGGGAATCCCTGCTGAACAGTATCGTGTTTAAAAGCAGTACGACGTAGAAAAACAGAATTTTTGATTGGTTATGCAGTGGTTAAACAGAACAGAAAGCGAATTCCTAAATGCAGAATTCCCCAAAGAAGCGCTTTCCTGACTCACTCAAGAACGACGTTCCACTGTGCAAAGTCCCACCTGCGGCTTCAGACGGCTGTTTACACCCAGCAAGAGCGCCGTCCTTACAGAAGGGCTTCCGCCTGCCTGAGAGCTCTCCCCTCGGCCTTCATGAAACGGCTCCAGTTGGGAAGGCCTGGGGAAGCTTCCGGCCATTCCTTAGGTCTTGGGTATAATTTCATGAGCTCAGTCTCTTCGGAGCCTGCACTCAAAGCACTGCAGTGACGGGTGTGGCTATAAACCAGCTCTCTGCCATTACAGAAAGGCTGACTGACACACCTCCTGAGAAGCGCCCTGTTCCTTTGGGAATTAGAACCTTTCCCACGTGCTGGAGAGAAGGTTTGCTGACTGGAGAGTGTGTGCATTTAAAGAGCAGGTAGTTTGTTCTGGTGCCACCAGCTCATTCATAAGTGGTGTGACCTTGGGTAAGTTACTTACCCTTTCTGAACCCCCATTTTATAATTTTGAAAGGAAGACACGTGATTTTGTATCCTGAAGCCCTATTCATGCTAAAAGGCAGAGGCATGTGGGATAGATCTTAGTGGAAAAAAGCAAGTATTCTGGACTGGAGGAGAGGGAAGGGATAAGACACTCTCTGCAGCCCTGACAACGTGCCTGCTGAGTGCAGTGTGGCTCGGGACGCCTGGTGGCAAGGTAACCACCGAAGGGCAGAGCCCAGACTGGGCAGTGAATACGTGCACTGAGCCTCCTCTCAGGCTCACGGTCCTTGGGGACCCACCTGTAGTAAGGAGAGCCTCGCTCTGCTGTCATGATGGCCCTGGGGAAATTCCTCCCAGGGGTTCCTTGGCTGCCACACCGGGCTCTGCTCTCTGTGGTTAGACTGAGTCCTGAACTAGGGATTTCCAACACCCTCCGGGACAGCTCCTGTACCTGCGTGTGAGGCCCAGACTGACCCCTCCCAGGTGTCCCCAGTGCCCGCTCCCCACTCCCAGACTTGGGGGACTCCTTGTCCTCCTACCATTCAGGACTCCTATTGCCCAAAGTAAATGAATGCCTCTGGGAAACAAAATGCTGCAGAAAACAAAGTAATGGCAAGGGCTCTGAAATGCAGAGGGTTTGACAACAGCCGGGTCAGGTGTTCTGGAAAGCGCTCAGGAGGGCAATATTTAATTCAAAAGCCAAACAGAGAGGCTCACCTGCCTTCACTGAGGTGTCTGGTGTCTGAGCTCGGAGGGGAGGGGCCTTCATCAAATACCTTCTCAGAGGACTGGAACATGCTCAGTTTGAGCTGGGCCAGTGGGTCAAGTGTGGGAGAAGGGAAAACAGCCCATTTGTCCACTTCCTCCCTTCAAGCCCAAACTGAACAATGAAACCGCAAAAACACTCCCATACTCACTGGCATAGTTTTGTCTCCAAAGAAGTAAATGGTCTTGAAGCCGTCATTTTCCACATGTCCCAGGCAAAACCTCTTGTCCCATCCATCAGGAAAGACATCAAAGCTGATCTGGCCTCCTACCAAATGGGGAGGGAAACAAAAGCTGAAGGTGAACCGGGGGTTGATGACCCATCACTGGGAAGAAGGTGCAGGTCGCTCGTCAGCGGCTGAATCGCCACGGCTGGTGTTTAATGCTCTAGTTTGCTACTTACCCTACTTTGGGGATGGGTTCTAGAAGTTCATTCCATTCTATGTGTTTTTCCAACATTATTTCACCTAAGTCCAAAAGTGTGATCTAGAGGACCAGCTGGGAATGCAGACTGCATTTGCATTAAGTGCCCCCTGGAGCAGGGGTTCACATGAAGCAGGGGGGGCGGGGCTGGGGACGGCCGCACTCCATTGTGCTCGTCTCCAGCCTGCACGCTCTCTGTGGAGAATGCCTGGAAGCGGGCTGCATCCAGCTCATCTTGCAGGAAAATGGAAACCACACGGGAGGTGATTTACAGGCAGCTTTCACTGGCAACAAAAGCCCTTTCAAGGCTTTGTCAGAAAGATGTTCACCTCACAGTTCACGACACTTCACAACCCACCCAGTCATCTATTATACATCACCCCTCTGCAATCCCAGTCTCCCCACAGCCCGCACATTTATTAGCGCTAGTAACACCAGAGGGCTTTCAGTAATGACTCATCAGCACTGACAGGGGAAATCAGCTCGCTTGAAGCATCTGACAGGCAAGTGCTACCAAAACACAAATCTGAGACATCGGTGTGGGAAGGAGCCTGCTGCAGCCACCAGAAACATTGTGTGCTGGCCCATCACAGTGAATAAGTCTGGGGAGCCTACGCAAGTCCCTTTTCCTTTGCAGAACCAACCGAGCTAACTTCTAACTCAGTCTGATTTATCTAAGAGGCTCCCATCCCATCTTTCTGCTGTGGAGCTTACTGTTGTGCCTGTTTTCTGCCCAAAGGTGTAAGGGTAAGTGCTTACTCTTCATTAAGCAAGATGCTCTTATTTTTGACCAGGAGGAGAAATATAGGGAGGAAGGCTCCTGCTGGGTAAGAATTCAGGACCAAGCCCAGTAGCCTGGAAGTCATTTCCTACCTGGGCAAGTCTGCCAGGGCCCATTACACAGGAGAGTAGTTTTCCCCTACAGACAGACTTCTCCCTAAATCCTCTTGCCCACCTTCAAACTGGGCACAGTCCAATTCCAAGCATGCACCAGCCCACCACAAATTCCTGGCAACGCTCAAAGCCCATCCGAACATACAGTACCTATGGAAAACGTGAGGCCTTTCCCCGCAAACTCTCTCCGCAGATCTGCTACAAAGTTTTGTCTTATATTTTCTTTCTGAGAAAAGCAAAAAGATACCGATTGTCTACTGCGTTGCACACTTTGACTATAACCCAAAGTGGCACCTCTTATCTTTACAAACCCAGGCTATTTCAGAAACTCACTTTGTCGAGTTCGTAGAACTCAATGCGTTCTTCTTGACTGCAGCTTCTTCCGATAGGGGACACATTTAACATCCCGTTTCGGAATTCAATGAAAGTACCCCTGGAGAGGAAAAGGGGACACAGGTTCCAGAGAAACGTTATCTATCTGGGCAACATTATAAATAGACAGACAGACTAAAAACGCTGGGCGATTCCAAAAGGCAGAGGCTGGTGTAACCCACATTTTAGAGCTGTGCTGGGCCTCGTGGCCTCCATGAGCCACGTGTGGCTGCCAAGCCCTGAAACGTGGCTAATCTGAATTGAGATTAGATTTCAAAGACTTAGTAGGAAAAAGGAATGTAATCATCACTAATAATATTTTATGTTGACTATGTTAAAAAAATTACATTTTGAATGCAGGGTTACATGAAACATTAAAATTTATTTCACTGTTCCTGTTCTTTCTTTTTTAACGTGGCTACAGAAAACTTAGAAACTGCGCATGTGACTCCTTGTATTTCTGTTGGTCAGTGTGGCGTTGGGTGGAGAATCTCATAGTTAATACAAAGCTATGAAAATGATGACCTGTTCTCCAAGTTCTCTGAGGAGTTTGAAAACGTATGTCCCAGACCACTTTGCTAGGGACCTCCTGAGGACACTGATTTTACCAGGCAACGTGGCACAGGAAAAGGCTCTGTAATTGAGGAAATGCAAGCTGGCCACTGGCAGACTGTTCCTAAAGGGTTGATTCAACCACAGAAAAAGAGAACAGCCTAACATTTTTTTAGTTACCTCAAATGAAGACGTTTTTTAAACACCTTTCCCCACCATGTTTCCAGTTTGAGTTCCTAAAAGAGTTTCTTAGATACTTAAATACTTGTAGGCTATTTACTCTGACACATGCAATGGAAGTGTTTTGTGACAGGTTATACGCCCTGACGTATCTTCCGGTCAGAGCTGTGACCCTGTGAGGCTGACACATCTTCCCTGGACCCTTTCTGCTATTTCAGTCCCACAGCCCTGATGTCCAGCTACCAGCCACCTGTAAATGCTGAGAGAGCACAGGGTGAGGGCGGAGCCCAGGACCCTACTCAAGGCCAAGGCCACCTCCCACCAGGCTGTGACTCTGGGCCCTCCCTGAGCCTCAGAAAGGGGCTATGGGCACTCGCTCTGGCTACCTCTGCAGGGTCCTGTGAAAATCAAATGCACCAGTGTAGGTAAAAGTAATCGGCACTGGGAAGCAGTGACTACTCGTTAAGGAGAGCGGAAACAGTAAAGCTAGGCTGACCTGGGATATACGACATCTCCCTGCTGTGCTCACCTGCAGAGAAGGAAGGGACAGAACACGAGTGCCTAGGACACTGTCTCAAATGCCCTGTGTGGGCGGTCCTGGCGTCGGACAGACCAGCCCTGTCCCTTCCACCTTCTACATGTATGCTGGGGGATCATTCCCAGGGTGACCCTAAACTGTCAGAAAAAGAGCTCAGTTCTTTTTCTCCAACTTAGGGACACAGTATGACTCTCATCCCCACAGCATGGAGGGAGGCCGATGCATCTTAGAAAGCCTCCTGTCCTGAAAATCAGGATGAAGGCCGTTTGCAAGGATTCAGCTCCTCCCTGAGTCTTCCTGCACCTGCCTGACCCACGTGGGGCACATAGCTATAACACTGAGCAATGTAGGCAAATGCTGACCCAGGCGGGTCTCGGTTCTGCCTCCTGAATCCAGCAGGCAGGCCATGCTCATTGGGAATCACAGCTCTGCACATGCCCCCCCTCATTAGGTGACACCTGTCTGAGGACTGCATCCTGCCTTATCTTTTTTTTTTTTATCCTTCCTTAATGCTTAGTCTCAAGTAGAGACTAAGCTGACCTGGGATATAAGACATCGTTTCACTCGGTACTACGGGGAATGTCTAACATGTTCAAAAGCAGACAGAGCAGGGTAACAGCCCCACGGGTCGCTTTGTTCAGTGCTGACGCAAGGCCTTGCCTCACCGCAGCCTCTGAAAGCAGACTGTTTGCAGTTGCCATCCAGTGGACATGCCGTTGTTTACAGAGTCATTGTTCCACCACCGGTGATACCAGAAGGCTTCCAGGGATTCTTTATGGAGCACTAGGCTCTGGACTTAAAAGAGCACCAACCCACCAAATGACATCACTCCATACTCCACTGGGGCCTCTGCTGAAAGCAAACTCACCTCTTCTTCGGGAGTTTAATTTTCGCAATGTAGCTCAGACAGTAGTTGATTAAGTCTTGGATCAGGGCCTCACCCAAGTGACCCTGAATATTCTAGGATAAAGAAAACACTGGAATTACTTGATTCAGTGGAAGGCATTTTTTTTTTTAAATTTTTATTTTTTAATCCTCACCTAAGGATATTTTTCTATTTACTTTCAGAGTGGGAGGGAGGGGGGAGAGAGAGGGAGGGAGAGAAAAACATCGACATGAGAGGGACACATCGACTGGCTGCCTCCCGCACAACCCCGACTAGGGCCGAGGGTAAACTGCAACCAAGCTACGTGCCCCTGACCAGAATTGAACCTGAGACTATTTGGTCTGTGGGCCGACACTAACCCCTGAGCCAAACTGGCCAGGGCAGTGGGAGGCAGTTTTAAATGGTGTTCAGCCACGATCAGCCGAGGGTCCCCAGGCTGAGGCAGCAGAGAGGGTGACACACCCTTCCGCCCCTCTCCTTCTTTCTCTTTGTTCCCTGGTTGAGAACATTAGGTGAACCGGAAAGGGTTGAGTCAAAAGCATTTTCTGTTTCATTAGTCGAGATTCTTGTATGCATTATCTTTCAGATGCTTAATGGAAGGCCCAAAGAGCTCATTGGTGCTGCTTTTTACTCAAGCAAAACACAGAGAAACCATGTGTGCTCCGCTCTGCCTTTTTCACACACCCTGTCTGATCAGAACGGCCTTAATGCCATAAGGGGCACACACCACTTCTTTTTATTAAATGTTATTAATTTTTGTTCCAGATGTTTCTCCCCCCTCCCCAGACACCCTCCTCCTGATCCTGCTCACCCCCCAGCATTACTGTCTATGTCCATTGGTTATGCATGCGTGCATATAATTTTTTTTTTCCTTTATTGATTTTTAGAGAGAGAGGAACAGAGAGGGAGAAAGAGATAGAAACATCAATGAGAGAGAACATCAAATGGTCACCTCCTACATGCCCCCTGACTAGGGATTTGGCCCACAACGTGGGCAAGTGCCCAGACTGGGAATCAAACTGGTGACCTCTTGGTGCATGGGTCGACGCTCAACCACTCAGCAACACCAGCGGGGCAAGTTCCTTGGTTATCTCTTTCCTCTCCCCCAACCCCGTCCTCTGAGGTTTGTCAGTCTGATCCGTACTCCTTTCTATGTCTCTTTTTGTTCATTATATTCCACAAATAAGTGAGATCATGTGATATTTGTCTTGTCTCTGACTGGCTTGTTTTGCTGAGCATAATATTCTCCAGGTCCCTCCATGTCATCTCAAAGGATAAGAGATGTTTCTTTCTTACAGCTGCGTAGTACTCCATTGTGTACATGTACCACAGCTTTTTTATCCACTCATCTACTGATGGACACTTGGGCTGTTTCCAGATCTTAGCGATTGTAAATAGTGCTGCTATGAACACAGGGGTACATATATTCTTTCTGATTGGTGTTTCAGGATTCTTAGGGTATATTCCTAGAAGTGGGATCACTGGGTCAAATGGCAGTTCCATTTTTAATTTTTTGAGGAAACACCATATTGTTGTGTATAGTGGCTGCACCAGTCTGCATTCCCACCAGCAGTATACTAGAGTCCCCTTTTCTCCACACACTCGCCAGCACTTGTTTGATGATCTGTTGATGGCAGCCATTCTGACAGATGTGAGGTGATACTTCACAGTTGTTTTAATATGCTTGTAGGGATTCAGCTTGCCCTAGTCTCTGCTTTCATAATACAGATATTAGATTGAATAGCCTTAAAAAATAATTATGAGAATATAGTCAACAATTTGGAATATGTAATAGTCCTATGGTTCAATATTCACAATGTAAAAAATACAGGGTGATGGTTCATTGCCACCCTGTTCCTCAGCTCCCAAATCTACTTCCCCAGAGGTGGTCACATCAAATATCTTTTTAGAAAACATTTCACTAGTAGTAGACAGCAGCTTGGATATTCAAGAACCTACCTGTTTACACAAGAGTTTCCCATCTTTGTATGCTACCAAGCCATTTTCTGGAAACACATAATCATATTTTTCAACCACTGCAACCAAAACGAAAGAAAAGTCAGAATGCAATGAATTGGAACTTATGTTTTTATTTCTTGATTAACACTTATCACCAATAAAACTGCTAAACTCCAGTAAGAACTCTGATGACTAGGCTAGAGATAAGAGACTTGGTGATGGGCCATTTCATGTCTCTGCCTTCACCTGCCTGTTTGTAAGGGAATACCTCATCTTCACAACTGGGAGAGCGAGAAAAAGTTCCTTAATTTTTTAAAAAAATTATACTCCGCTGGTATGGCTCACTGGTTGACCCATGCACCAAGAAGTCGCTGGTTCGATTCCTGGTCAGGGCACATGCCCAGGTTGTGGGCCCAATCCCCAGTCGGGGGCATGCAGGAGGTAGCCAATTGATGTTTTCTCTCATCAATATTTCTATCTCTCTCCCTCTCCCTTCCTCTCTAAAATCAATAAAGAAAAAATATTTTTAAAAAAATAAAGGCTCTTCATTACATATTTTAAAGATGATGACTAGGCTAGAGATCACAGACTTGGTGATGGGCCATTTCATGTCTCTGCCTTCAACCTGCCTGTTTGTAAGGGAAGAGAGGAGCCAATGATGGCTCCCAAACCTCCTGTGAACTGGCATCACCAACACCATGAAACTGCAGATTTCCAGGCTCTGTTCCCTGAATGAGACTCTGTAGGGGCTAGGCTAAAAATCAGATTTTTTAAAAAAAAGCTCTTTCTGTGATCCTAATATGCAGTCAGATATGCAGACCCTGCCCACACATATCTAAATGAATTCGCAAACTATAGGTGCTGTAAAAATGCAGATCCCCAGGCTCTGCGTTGGGTAGGGTCCCCACCTCTGTATTTTCATGAGCTCCCCAGGTGATTCCAATACAGGTGGGTCTTCAACTTTTTTTTGGCTTGTGAATGTTTTGATTCCCTTGTTTTGACTCACTTTGAAAAGCATGACCACTGTCCTAACCTGATAAAACCTCTCTGAGCCCTTGGGGAATTATATGACCAGAGGCAGGAAAAGCAGTCAGGACCAGGTAACATGATTTCCTGGGCTTAATGCAACTCATTATGTTGTTTAGTATTTCTAAGCAGAGTACCTAGAAGGAACATTAAGTATAAGGGGAACAGAGAGTTTTAATTTTTTTTTCTTTATTGATTTTAGAGAGAGGAAGGGAGAGGGAAAGAGAGATGGAAACATCGATGAGCAAGAACATAGATTGGCTGCCTCCTGCATGCCCCCCACTGGGGATCTGGCCCACAACCTGGGCATGTGCTGCGACCGGGAATTGAACTGGTGACCTCTTGGTGCATGGGTCAGCACTCAACCACTGAGCCACACTGGCCGGGCAGAACAGAGAGTTTTAAAAGGAACACAGAGACTACTCTTTACTGGTCCAATAAATAGCCCACAGAGATTTGGACTGTAAGCTATTACATCCAAAACAGTGGTTCTCAACCGGGGGTGATTTTGCCTCTAGAGGACAGTCGGGAATGTCTGGAGACATTTTTGACTGTTACACTGGGGTTGAGTGCACTACTGGCGTCAAGTGGGTGGAGGCTAGGAATGCTGCTCAACATCTGTAGTGCACAGGACAGCACAGCACAGAGTCATCTGGCCCAAATCATAACAGACTAGATATAGAATTTAGCTTTTAAAGTTATTAAATTAGCCCTTCTTAAGAAGTATGCTTAAGGCAACAGAAGAACCCTGGCTGGGTGGCTCAGCTGGTTGAAGCGTCATACTGTACCCAAAAGGTTGTGGGTTTGATTCCTGATCAGGGCACATGCCTAGGTAATGGGTTGAACCCCAGTTTGGGCATATGTATGGGAGGCAGTGATTGGTGTTTCTCTTTCACACTGATGTTTCTCTCTCTCTCTCTCCCTCCTTTTTTCTCGCTTTCTAAAATCAATAAAATAAAAGATTACAGAAGAATATAATCTGTTAAGCATGAAATGTACAGCTCTGTTATTTTCTTTCTGCTCTTAAGATAATGTCACTGACTCACAACCCCAAGATGTCTTACAGACCTCTCCTTCTGTTCAAGACCACCTGGCCATAGTCACATAGATCTGGACAGGACGTCACCAGGAGCTTAATAAATCAGATTGCTGAAGCTTGCATAAGAACTGACCATCAACACAGCCCACGACCCTGGACTCTTTACTCAAAATTCCTCATGATTTTTGCTCTAAAAAACTCTGGTTTGTGCCCTGGCCAGTTTGGCTCAGTGGTTAGAGCGTCGGCCCATAAGCCAAAGAGTCTCGGGTTCGATTCCAGTCAAGGGCATGTATGTAGGTTGCAGTTTGATTCCCAGCCCTGGTTGGTATCGTGCAGGAGGTAACCAATCGATGTGTTTCTCTCACATGGATGTTTCTCTCTCTCTTTCTCCCTCTCTCCTTCCCTCCCTCTTGCTCTGTCTAAAAATTAATGAAAAAATATCAATTAAAAAATAAATGAAACCTCTTGTCTGTAGACCATCGAGGAGTCAGGATTTCCCAGCACAAGATGGCTGGCCCCACTGTGCAGTGCTGAACAATACACGTCGATTTCTTTCACTGCGCCCGTCAGAGCATTGCCTATCTGCAGCACTGGGCGGATGGAACTCTTTGCTTGGGTACAACGATGTTAACAGTGCCGAAAAGAATGATCAGTTCATTTACCTTTCCATCCATCCTTTCTTACAGGTCAGGCACCCTGGAGGCCCTGGGGCTACGAGATGAAATACCACAGTCCTAGTCTTCAAGACAAACTTATAACCAGGCAGTTTCCCATAATCGGTGCTACACTGGCAGGGCTGTACATTAGAATCTCTTGGGGGTAGTTGCTAAAATACATTTCCCCGGCCCTGTGGACCTATTGAGTGAGAATCTCCAGTGAAAGGTCCCTAAGAATCTCCAGCTTCCTGGGGTCCTGCACTGGGGATTACAGTTCCGTAGGTGGGGGAGGAGCCTGGATGACTCATGACTAAGGGAACTCTGGGAAACACGGTGTTAGGGCAAGAGGGAGGAAGCCCTTAGACCCAAAGGGCCCCTCCACACCTGGGTGAAGACAGTCAGGAGACAGGGCCTGAGCTGAGGCTACCAGGGCAGTGGATGGAGACAAGCAGTACGACAGGCAAAGACTAAGACACTCACCCTTCCGAGTGAATCTATCATGTATCTGAGTACCAAGCGCTCCATTAGTGACTCCAGAAACTTATTTACAGGAATGAACAAAGGAAAATAAACACAGAGAACATGTTTCCCCAACAAGGAAGCAGGGAAGAGGTTCAGGGCTGCTTAGGACACTTCCTGGCTACAGGTCTTAGTGTCCTCGTGAGAAGTTAATCTTTTACCAAAATGTAATTAATAACATATAATTTACCATCATTTCCCAGTTGCTCCTGCACTTTCTCAAAGTCCGAGCCACCTACTACTCCGATTTTGACCTTCTGCCTCAATTTTTGTAGAAAGTCATCCATTTCTTCGGTAATTTTCTACATTTCAAAAAGGAAAACACAATAGTTATGAGCCATAAAATAATCAGGAGACTAAACTCACAAGAATAATAGAATCCTTACTTTTATACATGCCAATTCTGTTTCTAGGTCCGTAGATAAGTCCAAATATTTTAGCTATACTTTTGGGACATCAACTTTTTACCAGACAAATACATGTTAAATTTACTTATTTTTACCTCATTTAAAACACATGATATAGGAATAGCTGTTGTGTACTGTTCGAGCTATTTTTCTATGCATTCATATACATATACTTGGCTATATGCACATACATATATAAACAGGCCTCAGTTTTTGAAACAAAGGGGGACTCAATCCATGTCTTGTGCAGTGACTTGCTTTTTCATGCCACATCCACACAGATCCAGTACTTCCTTCCAAACGCTACACTGTTCTCCATTTATGGATTTAAGTTGTTGACTTTAAAACAAAATAACAATCAGATTTAAAAGAAAGTTCAGACTTGGTTTATTATAATTTACATTTTTTTAGTCTCTCCTAAAAAAAAAGTTCCTATCTATAAACAATGGTTTCAATGGTATAATTTTATGCTCGCTAAATTCCAAACTGTGCGCTAATTCAAAAGAAATTATAAACTAAGATGAAAAGATATCCCTGTATTAACACAAATTGCATGCATTTTTAAGTCTTATTTCATTACTTTTAGCAATCTTCATCATATACTTATGAGGCAGGACAGTAAGAAGCTAGGGAAATTTCTTGACTAGTGGAATAAGGAAAACGGAGACAAAATAATTAAACATGGCCAAACAATTTGAGCAAGTTATAGTCAGCTAATGAATCACAAGGCTTTATCTGCCCTAACTAAGGACACGTAGGAACAAATGCCAGACTGTCCTGGGACAGAGTGAGCCTCGGTCCTGGTTCTTCTTTGATGATGTTTTTTAGAAATGAAACTAACCAGGAAATACCCCTGACCCCTCAATAGCCACATTTTGATGGATCAACATACTGAAGGACAAACCTGGAAAATCCTGTTAAGATCCCCCCCACCCCAGACCTGCCTTAGGATTCCTGCTGCCTAAAGGAAGGCAAAGCCTTAAAACAAGGAACCCACAGTGTGCTCTCTCTAGAGCACTCCCATGCCTTTCTCCCTTAGCCATGTATCTCAGCTTTCTCATAAAACCTAAGGGTCCCCACAAGACTTGCAACCAGGGGAGCACTGGGCCGCGGCAGCTCATCATGGGTTTGTTCTCTGAACCTGTCTCCAAGGCCCTTTTTTCTCTGACTTTCCAGTGAGCTAACAGCAGCCCTGCCTTGGCTCACTTCTGTCTCTGTGACTTTTACTTCTTAGTGAGTCCATGCAGCCCAGCGTGGCCCAATCCTTTCCTATAAAGTTTCTAAAAGCCAAAGCAGCCCCGCCTAGGCTCTCTCCTGTTGCTTCTTCTGTCCTAAGCCCTTCCTTGTTTCACTGTCCCCAGCTTTAATAAACATACTCTCAAAATCACTTGGACTAGTTTTGTGAAATCTTTCCTGCACAAAGTCAAAGACCCACACACTACTGGCTGGGCCAAGGCAGATCCGCTTGGGGCCTAGTCCTTGTCCGGTGGTAACACTCATATGGAATATATTTTTACAAATAAAGTTACCAGGAATTAAAAACAAAAGCAAAACAAACCACTTAAGTCAACTTCAGTATATAAACATCTGGAGTTCAGTCCTCTTTTTCTTAAAACAAATTTTTAGACTAGTACATACATATGATTAATCAAATAAAATTGTACAGAGGGCTTAAATAGAGTGCAATCTTTTTTCCATCCTCCAGTGGAATCTCAATCTAGTAAACAAAATCTAGAACTGTATTAGCAGTCTTGATGAGTCAATGACCATGAAAAGGAGTCCCTGAGGCCCCCAAGTGGTTTACTCAGTCTTGACATCAGAATGGGAGGAAGTGGGGAAGACTCCTTTGATTGCAAAATATTAAAAATGCAATACTAGACCAGCCGGTGTGGCTCAGTGGTTGAGCGTTGACCCATTCACCAAGAGGTTGCAGGTTCGATTCCCGGTCAGGGCACATGCTCAAGTTGTGGGCCAGGTTCTCAGTAGGGGGCATGCAGGAGGCAGCCAATTGATGTTCTCTCTCATTGATGTTTCTACCTCTCCTCCCCCCCTCTCTAAAATCAATAAAGAAAAACAATTTTAAAAAAATGCAATACTAACAAGAATAGCAGAACCAATACTTCCATCTTCAAACAGAAGCCTAGAGGAAACTGTATCTTACCTGTGTGCATATTGATGAGCTAAATGGTTTGTACAACCGTCAGACCTGTTCTGCAATGTGAACAGGTTGTACAAGGTGCCTTTTCACTTCCATGTGGCAGCCAATATTTTTTAACAGGAAAAATAATCCAGCTGCTTGTGACCACAACACTGTCTAAACTACATCCCACTGCAAGACAGATCTTTTGAGCAAAATTGTTGCGATGTTCCCAAATAACTCTTGTTGATTACAATAACTTGATAATTACAAGGAACTCTTTAACAATCATCCTAGACAAAACAAAACACAGAGCATGATACCAAAGGTTGAAATGAAGGGGGATAAATGTTAAAAACTCACTTTCTGGAAATAAAACAATTATAAAAGACTCTCTTGGGACAATTAAGATAAACTGAAGGAAACAGAGGAAGCATCAACAAAATAGAAGCTGTGGGCTAGAATTAGTGCATCTTCTTAGGTTTGATGATGATACTGTGGTTACAGTAGATGCCCTCTAGAGAGGCAGGCTCAAATTTTAGGGGTGGAATACTGTGATGACTGCAGTTTAGGAAATGGTATAGCCAAGAGTTTAAAAAAAGGCCCAGCCTGTGTGGCTCAATGGCTGAACGTCAACCCATGGACCAAGAGGCTGCGGGTTCGATTCCCGTTCATGGCACATGCCCCAGTTTCCGGCTCAATCCCCAGAAAGGGGGCGTGCAGGAGGCAGCCAATGGATGTTTCTCTCTAATTGATGTTTCTATCTCTCTCTCTCCCTCCACCCCTAAAAAAATCAATAAAACATATTAAAAAAAAAAAAAAAAAAGAAGATAAAGTTCATGTAAACCATTGTTGAATTTAAGTGGTAGGGATATGGCTGTTCTGTGCACTACTTTTTCAGTGGTTCAGTATGTTCTAAATTTCTCACAATAGAAAGATGGAAAACAATTAACCCAGGTTTAAGCCCCTGTTCTCTTTGCAGGCTTTTGTTCCACGTCTCAACTGTTTTTATTTTTATTTATTTATTTTATCCTCACCCAAGAACATTTTTCCATTTTTTGTTCAGGTAGAGTGGGAGGGGGAAAGAGAGAGAGAGAGAGAGGAAAACATCAACGTGAGAAAGACACATCGAGTGGTTGCCACCCATACAACCCAACCAGGGCCAGGGGACAAACTGCAACTGAGGTACGTGCCCTCAGTGGGAACCGAACCTGGGTCTCTCTGGACTGCAGGCTGACGCTCTAACCACTGAGAAAAACTGGCCAGGGCGTCTCAACTGTTTTTAGACGAAGTGACATTTCTTAGGAAATTACTCAGTACAATGAAATTCTACTAAAACAGTGACATGTGCAAAGCTCTGGACTCCATTCTAACTAGAATCTACCTGTTTAGGTCATATCCTGTTTCAGCAGCTTCAAGAACAGATAATCCATTCTTCTACTTCCGTATTGTATTGTGCTTATCAATGTTTGAGAATGCACATACTGAGAAAGGGAAAGGCTGGATAATGCATGCATCTGTTGCTAAAATATTTTTACCTAGGGCACCCAGCACATATACTTTATGCTTATATCATGTGATTTCTTCTAGGAATCAGAAGCACTTTCCTAAATGGCATACTTCTTCCACCTTAGAACAATGGCAGAAAATGGTAAATTTAGCAAATACAATGCTCTGAAGCCCAGAGATGGGTATCAGATCTGCTGTGTGAAATCAAGACGATCTTGAGTCTCAGTTTCCTTATATTTAATGTTTTTTAAAAATTGATTTTAGAGAGAGGGAAAGGGAGAGGGCAAGAGAAACATTGATTAAAGAGGAACATTGATCAGCTGCCTCCTGCACACCCCTCCCCCCCCCAGGGGATGGAGCCCACAACCTGGGCATGTGCCCTGACAGGGAATTGAATGGGTGACCTCTTGGTGCATGGGACGATGCTCAATCAACTAAGCCACACTGGCTGGTCAGTTTCCTTATATTTAAAAGGGCAGTAGCCCTGGCCAGTGTGGCTCAGTTGGTTGAGCGTCGTACCGTGCACTCGATCACCAGTAGGGGTACATTTGGGAGGCAGCCGATAGATGTTTCTTTCAAAAAAAACCACAAAACAATAAAAACATTTTTTTTTTTAAAAAAGGATAGTAACAACTATCCTACTTAGGATGAAAGGAGAAAGGTTGAGAGGCTCCAATCATAGTGTGTAAAAAGGCTTGGAATGTAAACCCTAGACCATCATGGCCAATGGGCCCAGTTGAGCAGCTGTGTGTTTTTGTAATAGAGTTTTACTGGAATATAGCCATGCTGTGTCTACATATGGTCTATGGCTGCTTTTGCATTAAAGTTGAGTAGTTACTACAAACCATATGGTCGGCAAAGACAAGAGTATTTGCTCTCTGACTCTTGACAAACAACGAACCGCTGACTTTGGCTTTAGACCACTATGGGCTTTTAACAACCCACAAGTGTGTGTCGATCACTGATCTCAGAGTCAAAAAGGGCCTTCGGAGAAACTGCAGTTGAGTAGCTTCACTAGATAACATCGGACATGCGGCTCAGAAAGGTACAAGGGCACGTCTAAGATCATATACATTTGACGTGGAACTCTGAAGCATACCACTGCTTTCAACTGGCCAAAAGTAAGGTGGGTAGAGGCAGAACTTGAGGATACAGAGGCCATTTGGGCCTCAAGTTCGGTGGGCTGGTGGTCGGTGATCAGTTTGTACAAGGAGGAGGTCAGAGTGAACTTCATCACAAATGTTGATCTTAACTGAAACCTATCTGTGCCCTATAGCAGCAAAATCCAGAAGTGTGAGGCAAGTTTCCAGGAGTCCAAGGAGGCTCTCAACAGGCAGCCTGGACCCACTGCAGGGGCTGGAGAAGGGGGTGATGGTGGGGGCTAATATTTATTGAATATTATTGAACAGAGCCTACTGTAAGCCCAGATACCTTCATGAACTTGTTTGATTTCATTCGACCCTCACAAACACCATATGGAACAGGTAAGGTCCCCATTTGAAAACATAGATGCTGAGGTTCAGAGGTTAAGTGACTTGATCAAAGTCACACAGCTGTTATGAGGAAAAGCTGACTTCTCTAGGTCTGTTCGACCTGGAAACTCATGTTTTTCATATCAGGATACAAGGCACATCCCATAGGTGACAAAACTGAGGACGGCACATAGCTGGTACGGGGGCTGAGCAATGGCTCAAACCTAGGGCTTACGGTGGGCGTCCAGGGCTGCATTTCCCAACCCAATACAAGTTTCTTATTCGCAAGAGTTTTTCGGCCCATCCCATCTCCAAGCACCCTGAGGTCTCCCCTCTCGTCCCTCCAGGGCACCCAGAAAAGCGTTCAGCCCTGCCAGAGGAGGTAGGCGATCCGCAGCCGCCCCTCGGTGCCCACCCGGGAGGGTCGTTAGCCCCGTCGGGGAGCAGCAGGAGACTCTACACCTGCTGCCTCCAGCCCGCAGGGCGCCGCCTACCTGCCGCGGGGCCGTCAGAGTCCCGTCCACGTCGAAGAGGCAGAGCGCTGGGCCGGGCGCAGCCATGTCTCCAGAGCCCATGTCGCACCTGACGTGACCCGTTGGCACCTGGACCTCGGCCCGGAACTTCCGGGTTCAGCCCCCGTGCTGCAGGGCACGCCGGGAGGAGGAGATTCCACTTCCACAACGCCTGGGGCGGGCGTCAGCTGTTCTCGCGGGACCACAAATCCCAGAATGCAATGTTGCGCACGCAGGCCTGTTACGGCCGAGCATGCGCTCTTAGAGTTCCCGACTGCAGGTGGGATCGGCAGGAGGCAGCCGGGCCATGGTAAGGAGGTGGTGGTGGGACTCGGGTTGGGGTCAGACCTGGGCAGGCGGGCCGAAGCCTAAGATTCCGGGTCGGAGAGCGGGCGGGAGGGACCTCCGGCGTGGGCTACGATTTGTTATTCCCGGGCTTCCTCTGCGTCCAGGTCACGTGCGTCAACAACAGCCATACTAAAACTCGCTGAGCACTCACCGTGCATCAAGTCCGTCAAGTGCTCTTGAGGGCTTTAAAACCATCTCATTCAGCATATTCTGAATCTCCGCTTGAAAGATGGAGAAACTGAGGCCCAGAGAGGTGGAGTAACTTGCCCAAAGACCCACAGCTAGTGACTTTAGGAGCCCAGGTTTGGAACCCAGATCTGGTTCCAAAGCCCAAAGCATCTCTCGCTGCACTACTCAAGGTGTGGAACTGTGCAGTAATCAAATCCTTGTGTTTCTGTTTGGCACCCTTATCCCTCTCTCTTCGTCCATTCTTACCCCTCCCTCTAACTAGGCTAAGAAAACACGTTTCGCCCTGGCCAGTTTGGCTCAGCGGTTAGAGCGTCGGCCTGCGGTCCGGAGAGACCCGGGTTCGGTTCCCGCTAAGGGCACATACTTCGGTTGCAGTTTGTCCCCGGCCCTGGTTGGTCGTGCGGGTGTGTCCCTTCACATCGATGTTTCTCTCTCTCTCTCTCCCTTTCTCTCTCTCCCTCCCACTCTATCTGTACAAAAAATGGAAAAATATCCTCGGGTGAGGATAAAAAAAAGAAAACACGTTTCCTTCAGATAATGCTTAACCTGACAAAATATCTAATGGATTTGTTCTCCACTGGAACAGTGATTGTTTTAGTTTCCCGCTTGGGGGAATGTTCACCCACCCTTAGGGATCCAGTGCCTCCCCCAGAGTTGGCTCTCCCTAGGTATTTGTTTCATGAATGAAGACTGTGCCTGCTTCCTAGACCTACTTGAATTGCCTGGAGGAAAGAGGACCAGTTTGAGAGTGAGACTCTGCCTGGCTCACTGGCTCGGTGTCTTTGGGTAAATTTCTCACCTTCTCTGGGTTTCGTTTCCCAGTGAAGTGGAAGTGGTGGTTTCTGTTTCACACAGCTTTTGTGAAGATCACATGGGGTGAAACATCTGGCTTTCCCTTTCCCTCCATGGCGACCTCCCAAGGTTGGCAGGAACCTCCATGTAAGATGCTTTGCAGATGTTCATTGTCTGATGAGCATGGTTGAGTTCTTTGAGAGAAATGATCTCTTTGTCTCCCTTTCAGGCTGCACTCCTTCGAGCTGTGCCGCGGTTGCCAGGGCCAGTGGTGTGGAGAAGGCCTCTCTATGGGCTGCAGTGCTGCAATGGGCAGGATTTCAGGAGGTGGGTGGGGAGCAGGTCACCCACCTCGAAGGAGAAACCAGCAGGCACAGAGACAGAGAAATTCCAGATGATCTACCGGTTTGATGCTATCAGAGCTTTTGGATACTTGTCTAAGCTGAAGGTGGCACAGACGGCCCTGACGGTGGTGGCCCTGCCGCCTGGCTTTTACTGGTATTCTCAGGGCCTCATGACTTTCAACTCCCTGTGTCTCATGGGTGGGATAGCTGGGTTTGCCCTGGCCATGCTGTACTGGATGAGCTATTTCTTCCGGAGGCTGGTGGGTATCCTGTATGTGAACGAGTCAGGCACCATGCTGCGGGTGGCCCACCTGACCTTCTGGGGCTGGCGGCAGGACACATACTGCCCTTTGGCTGAAGTGATCCCTTTGACAGAAACCCAGGACCGGCCCCAGGAGCTTTTCGTTCGGATTCAGCAGTACAATGGGAAGCAGACCTTCTACCTCACCCTGCGCTATGGACGCATCCTGGACAGAGAGCGTTTCACACGGGTGTTCGGGGTGCTGGACATGCTCACGTGAACAGTTGGATCTCCCAACAGAAGATTATAGACGGGGATCTGACAGCTGGAGACTTTGGCAGGGCCCCTGGGAAACTTGTCTGTTGGGGTGAGGAAATCCATGAGGCGATGCCAATAACCCAGTTTAGGAAAGAGGCCTTAGTGCAGATTCTTACCGCACTAATGTATGACATTTCATTAGGTAATGGCCAGCAGTTTCTGTAGTACTATAAAATGGGGAGACAGGTGTGACGGGGGAGCAAAGGATTCGGAGTTGGAAGACTTGGGTTCTGTTCATTCTTAACTCCCTGCCCTCGGGCAGGGAACTGAGTTGCTCTGAACCTTGTTTTTCACACTTGTAAAATGGAAAATCCTGCCTGTCTCATGGGATGGGTGTGAGGATAAACAATAAATGTCAAGTCCTTTACAAACTCAACAGGCAAGAGCAGACATTAAGTGTCAGTTCAGAGGTGATGGTGTGGTGGACCCAGCAGCAGATGTGACTGGGATGAAGCTTAGAGGTGGGTCATTTGGTTCTGCTGGATGGTAACTACACCACTGGGGCAGGAGTGTCATCCAAGCACCTGCAGCACCCCTGCCGAGACGGATCACTTCCCAGAGGTCTAGGGGCTCTCACGCCAGATGCCTCTGTGGACTTTGTGTTCCTAGGCCAAATTTTTGCCTGAAGATAGGTTCTCAAACCCTGGCTCCATGTGTGGAATCACCTAGAGAGATTTTAAAAAATAGTGTTACCCAGGCTTATGGCCAGGCCCCTCAGGTGGTTCTCAGGTGTAGCCTGGGTGGCCAGCTGCTGCCTGGAAGTCTCACCACACTGGGAGGTGAGAGCCTGGTTTCTCACTAGCCTTGGCATGAAAGAGCTTCCATGCATGGTCTGCCCACGCAGTACCAGCAGAGGGCACACAGAGCAAATACGTTACCCATCCCTTTATTCCTGAGCTAAAATCACAGATCTTCACGTGACAATGGGAATCAGGTTAGGGCTTCTACAATGCATGTAGGGCAGCACTTGGGAGATGTCCAAAAACCCTCAAACTAACATGAACGAAGACAACAAAATTTGCCTGTGTTCAACCCCTGTAGATTCTGTTTAGAAGCTGGGCATCTATTTTTACGCTTCCCAGGTAATTCCAAGGCACCCGAAGTTTTGAAAATCATTGTGTGAGGTTTACCCGTCCCCAAAACTATGCAGCAGCTTTTCAGAAAATGGAAGTGGTCTTTAGATTCAGGTGGTGGATATCCTGGTGATTACTCCCTTTGACAACAATTCTGAAATAGTAATGTGATAGAGATACCCAAGTATACATATGAGAATGTTCACTGAATGTTTCTAATAGCAAAACAAATGAAACAGTAGCACCAAGACTGGAAGGAAACTAAATTTCCATTAGTAGGCAACATGGTTAAATAAATGGTAAACTGTAATTGAAAAATAAAATTAAAAAAATGTTGGTACATTTATACTGTGGGATATTACATGGCCCTTAAAAAGAGTGAGGTTGAGCCCTGGCCAGTGTGGCTTAGTTGGTTGGAGCATTGTCCTGTACACCAAAAGGTGGGTTTGATTCCCGGTCAGGGCACATACCTAGGTTGTGGGTTCAATTCCCAGTCGGGCATGTATGGAAGACCAATGTTTCTCACATTGATGTTTCTCCCTCTAAGATCATTTTTTAAAAAGGTGGGGGGATGGGGAAAAAGGTTGAGCTATATCTACTAATGTGGAAAGGTCACCATGGGGTAGCATATGTAGGAAAAACAAATCACAGAACAATAGTTTGGTGTGATCTTATCTGTGTTCTTAAAAATGCAAACATTTCACCCGGCATGTATGGCTCAGTGGAGAGAACTTGGCCCATGGACTGAGAGGTCCGGGTTCAATTTCCGGTCAGGGCACATGCCTGGGTTGTGGGCACGATCCCCAGGAGGCAGCTGATTGATGTTTATCTCACATCAGTGTTTCTATTTCTCCCTTCCTCTTGCTCTAAACAAACAAAAAATCAATAAAAAAAACAAAAAAATAGTTTATATAAAAAATGCAAAAATTTGCCCTGGCCAGTTTGGCTCAGCCGTTAGAGCATCAGCCTGCAGTACAGAGAGACCTGGGTTTGGTTCCTGCTAAGGGCGCATGACTTGGTTGCAGTTTGTCTCTGGCCCTGGTTGGGTTGTGCAGGTGGCAACCACTTGATGAGTCCCTTTCACATCGATGTTTCTCTCTTCCTCTCCCTCCCATTCTACCTGCAAAAAAAAAAAGCAAAAATTTCACTTGTAAACAGTACCTGTGGGGAGGGGATTGGAGGTGGGAGGGGGTGGATGACAGGAAAGGAAGACTTCCACTTTCAACTTTATAACCTAGTATTTAACATTTTCATAATGAGCATGTCATCCGTCTTAACAAATGAAGAAAAATGCTGTGATAAGCACAGTCTTCCATTCTTTCTGCCTCACGTTAGCTTTGTAGGTAAAGAGTTTCTTAGCCATGAACTCCCACTCTGGACTTGGAAGCAGAGTTGACAGTAGGAAACATTCAGTCATTGAGAGTTTCAGTGGGATGTAACTGTGTTTGTCCCTTGTACACTGGTTTTCCTCCCTGTCTGCCGAGAACCGCACACCCCTCCAGACCACCCCTGGGCTGTATATGATTTAGATGCAGCGGTGGGGTGGCCTGTAACGTGTTCATTTTCATGTGGTAGCTGCTGTGGACTGAGTTGTCCTCCCTACAGTCCCTGTGTTGAAACCATAACCCCCAATGTGATGGTTTGTAGGTGGGGCCTTTGGGAGGTGCCTAGGGTTAGATGAGGGTCTTAGGGTGGGGCCCTCACAATGGAACTCTGGTCCTTGTAAGAAGAGGACGAGACGGAATGCACTAAGGAAGGCCATGTGAGGACATAACCCGGAAGAGGCCGTTGCCAAAAATCTGACCGTAGACTTGCAGCCTCCACAATTGTGAGAAGAAAACGTTCGCCGTCCAGCCTACAGTGCTTTGTTACAGCAGCCCGAGCTGACTAAGACAGGGTCCTCCAGACCAGGGTGAGGTCGGCTCTGGCTGGGGACATTCACATTGTGCACAGCAGAAAGCTATTGTCCTTCCCACGCTGGTTACCAAAAATGAGACATCATAGGGCCAGACTTCCCCCCAGCCCATCATCAAATGACCATGTTCAGTGCACTCCCCAGAACCGATCTGGCGTGTTTGCTGCTGGCGGGGCCACCCTGGGGTAAAGTGCTCAAACAACTAGGGTTGGAGTTTTCCTTTTGCTGTTTTACCACTTCAGGACTTGTGAGTCCCCAGATGGAAAGCGAAGTCCTCCTTTGACCCCCAGGCAGAGTCCAACTTTTATGGCTTTGTTTTGATCCTGCAGCATTCAACTGTAAAATCTTGGCTGATTAGAGTTAATCAAGCAGGGCCGATACCATCTGGCCACGTTTGTACCCACTCCGGTGACAAAACATCCGTTTTACTTATTAACAGTTGAAATATATTCCAGGATTCAGGTGAGTTTACCTGGGTTGGGAAGAAGATTTACAGAGGAGGAACTTCACTGTGACAGAAGTATGTTGTTACAGTGAATATATACCTATCTACCCACTGTACCTAGGAGTAGTGAGGCAGCAGGTGTGGGCGAGGCATGTGGCTTTGCAGCAAGATGTCCTGCCTGCTTGAATCCCAGCCCTGGCACTTCCTAGCCATGACCTTGGATCATTCTGCAGTCTGTGTGTGCCTTGGTTTCTTCACCTGTGAAGGAATGATAATAAAAGCACTGGCTTTGAGGGGACTGGCTTATTACTACACGAAAAGCACTTACAATACCTCTTGGTCCACGGCAGCCCTCAATAAGTGTTAGCTAGCCTGACTGTTATTAACCTCATTTTGCAGATGAGGCTCTGAAGGGTGAAGTGACTTGCTCAAGGTCACCTAGCTAGAAAGCAGCAGAGTTGGGTCATTCTACTGTCTTGTCCTGCCTCCTGAGTGGGGAAGAAGTATAGAAAATAGAAATCAGTGGTTGTTTTTAACAGATAGTATTTGATCGTGAGGTTCTAGTACCTTCCACCCACCTGCCTTAGGACTGTATAGAATCTCGCACCAGGCTGACCAGTTCAAGTTTACGTTCCAAGGCCGGTGGCCAGGCCGGCTATGAGAAAGGTTGTTGAGTCACTGGTAGTCTGTACCCTCCACCAATCCCAGGCTGACTGCGTGTGTGCACACACAAACACACACTTGATTACACACACCATCTTTCATATGTCTGTGTGCATCCTGGCTTCTGAGCTGTGTGAGTTTGGCAAGTTCCCCTAACCTCTCTGAGCTTCAGTTCCCTCGTATTAAAAATAGGCACACAAATGCTTAGCTCATAGGTTTGTTGTGAACACATTACAAAGCCCCAGAATATGCTTGCATATTGTAGATGCTCAACAAATGATACTTATCACTAAGTGTAAGAATTCATAAATACATTTAATGGTAGATAGTGCCTTCCAAGTCATTTGTTTCATAGTGATGTTGGATGTCTGAGCTGGGAGAACCTTGGAAATCAGTGGTCCAAACCATACATTTTAAGGTGAGAAAAATAGGGTGATAGAGCCACGGAGACAGCTGGGAGCTGAAGTGAGACAACCCACCACCCTGCTTCCAGGGCAGGACATCAGGAGGATGGAGATCCAGCTCACAGGTACTTGCTGAGCCTCTCTTCTGGGCTTCCTGCTGATTCCAGTCAGTCATCAACTTACCACCTCAAGCGGCCATGGAGAGAATCGGATTTAATTGGTTTAGGGTAGGGCTCAAGCACTAGGATTGTCTGGAAAGCTCTTCAGCATAACTTGAAAGTGCACCCAGTGTTGAAAGTCACTGTCCTGTGTGTTTTTGATCCTGCGCTTCTTTTCCCCTCTCCATCCATCCCATTGCCCTAGTCAGACCACCAGGTCCTCTTGATTGTGGCAGTGTCCCGACTGGTCTCCCCACCTCCCTGTTTGTCACGGTGAACACTCAGGACAGTGTTTCTAAAATGCATGTTGGGATATGCCCCTGCTCCAAACCTGCAGTGACTCCATCACTGTGTGGCTGCATGGAAGGCCCACGCCCCTCACACAGCATGAAGGCCCTCTGGGTCGAGCCCCGCCCATTTCTTTGGCCTCTCTCCAGGCTGCTCTGGAACCCCTCCCTTCGTGATGGACAATACTAAACTGTAGAAATGCCTTGTGCCTCCAGTGAGCCATTCTCTAGATCGGGAATGCTTTCCCCTCCGAGTCCTGGAGCAGTGCCTGCTCAGCCTTGAAGAGGAAACTCAGGGGCCCAACTTCCATCCCAATTTAGGGTCTAGAAGCAGGACAGCATCTAGGGTTTTCCTGTTCTTAAGCGGTTTCTGTGACCTTTGCCCCACTAGCAGGTGAACTGAGGGTAAGGACCACACCTTCTCCATCCCTATCATGTGGTATGTCCTTGATGCACCCTGGTGAAATTAATGGCCTCACGGTGCTTTCCCAAACCCAATGCAGACTAACGCAGGTAGAATGTTTCCCACAGATGTCCCTAAGAGGTATATAATAGGTAGTTAATAAGTACTTCCCCAGCCCTGACTAGTGTGGCTTGCTTGGAGCATTGTCCCCTGCACCAGAGGGTTGAGTTCAATTCCCGGTCAGGGCACATACCCAGGTTTGATCCCCGGGGCCCATATTGCAACCTATCAATGTTTTTCTCTCTCCTTCTCTCTGAAATCAATTAAAAAAAATACTTGCCAAATAGTTACTTAAAACCATTTCCAACCAAAAAGGCCACACTTACTCTGATGTTTCCATTATAAATATATTTTTTTAAATTTAGCAATACTGATTAACACAGAAAACAGATTTAATTCATGGAATTGTGCATATGGTCATCAGTTACATTGTGACATGTTAATTTCTTTATCATTTATTGGCACTGTCAACAGAATACTGTAAACAAGATCACTTTGTATGCATACGTCGGCGATGCTCCCTAGCTATGGTTTTCTACCATGAGCTAATATATAGACAGATAGGTACAGATACATTACTGTGCACAATTTTGCATGGTTACTGAGTGTCAGTAAAAATTATAAAAAAACACCCATTTATAATAAAAGGGAGGATGTGCTAAGACTTGCTATTACTGGACCTTGTTTTCTGTAAAAGTGATGAGATTTGCTAGAGACATTTACTAAACTCTATGGCACTAATGTATGATGGACCCATTTCCAGACCCTTGGCCACAGAAGCACTTCTCCCTGGGCTCTGCCCCACTTGGTAATCTGTCCACTGCCCCCCTCCCCCGAGTTTTCACCAACCTCTTCCAAGTTCCTACTATCTTGAGCTCTGCTGAGAATTCTTCTCCTTGAAATTTTTCCAGCCAGACCCCATGCTCAAAAGCAGATGTCTCAGGAACTCTTTATGCCCTGAGCCAACAAGAACTTGATAAATGGCTTGAAAAGTTTTACGAGAATAACTTCTCTTAGTAAGGAATGAATAAGCCTGGAAATGACTTTCTAGATGAAGCAGTTTCATTTTTCTGTCGATGCCCTCTGAGGACAGAACAAACGATTGGAGCCGCTCTCTCCACCAAAGAGAGCCAAGTTTCTGGTTATGCCTTAGCTTAAACACCGCCTGGACTCCAGGAATCTTATTTTATGTTTGCATCCAGTGCTAAAGTTCTTGGGAGAAATCATACTCATGCCGATGAATGAACTGTGGTTTGGTTTGTATTTTGCTTGTTAAGTAAGTCCTTGCTTGAATCCTGGGCTATTGCCTGTTGAATCTGGATCCCCAATCAAAGGTGTGGGACCATGAACTGGTAGGTCTTTGCACATGCTGTTCCCTTTCTGCAGCACTGTTCCTTGCCTTGTCTGTCTGCAAAACCCTGCTCAAATGTCACTTTCTCCTTGAAACCTCCTCTGACCCTTAGGTGGATTGAGGCACTCCCTGATATTCTGATGTTCCTATGTACATACCTCTGTTACAGCACTTGCCACTCAGCTTTAGTGATTGGTTTAAGAGTCTGTTGTCCACAGTAGGATGTGAGTCCCTTAAGAGCAGGGACCATGTTTCATTTTAGGTTGGTAATCCTAGTGCTCAGTACAGGGCCAGGGACAGAGTGGGTATTTAATGCAAGTTTCATGAATGACTGCCTGAATAAAGAAATATACAAATGAGTGAAACCTCGCAGAGAGGGGGAGGCACACAGCTCCATTTAGTTGGCAGCGTGAACACTGCAGAACTCCTTTAAAGCAATGGATTGGCACTGACTGCAGGAATGCAAAGGGAACCGGAGCTCACAGGTCTGTCCATGGCTATTCAGCATGTTAGTGCCTTTTGTTCTCAAGAGACACAGGTCGGTGACCAAGTCTGCTGAAGAGTGGAAGCTGGAAAAACCACTTTGTGATCTTTGGATGATTAGTTATTAAAAGAGCAAAGTGCTGAATGGATAACCTTGATAGGCTCATCTCCCCAAACGGTCAACCAAAGCATCAGGAGATGAAGTGACTTCCTTTTGGACAGAGGATGTGACAAGCCAGACTTTGTCACCTTCCCACAAACAGTCCTTCATTGCTGTAGGAGCACCGGATGCTCTTTTCAGGAGCCTGTGAACTCCTATCAGCTCCAAGCACGCCTAGCCTTCAACAGAGTTCCCTTAGCCTTAGCCTTGGTGCAGTTAAGCCTTTAGTACCATGTGCCTGTTGCCCCAGGCCCTGGGCTCACGCTCCCAGAAGACTGGCTTGTGCTTCTGCTCTTTTGGCTCACGTGTGTCCCTGTGTGCCCCCTGCTTAGGCTACAGTTTTGTTTCCAGAGGTCTTGGTTGGCATTTAACAGAAGGAGAGAGCTTGGGGGAATGGAGGACGGCAAGTAAGGACCATCCGTGGTGCCACCCAGAGAGTCTCCAAAGCCCCATCAAGGACAGAATTCACAGTTTACAGGAAACCCCCAGATGCACTGGGAGGAGTGGCCTAAGTCTTCAGCAGGTGGGGAGACCCCTTCCCACACCCCCTGGCTCAGTCCTAATGTTCCTACAGTCTTGCCTTCATATGACCTACCCTGTCCTTGACTGAACTGTGTGTGGGCATGCTCAGAGCTCCAGGGGTTGAATGGGGGGTGTATGTTTGCCCAGGGTGAGGGAGCCAACATCCTCGGTCACACAATATGGCACTTGAGAGGGACAGGAACCCAGGAGTCCCAGCCACTAGTCCCAGGAGCAGGGATCCTTCCCTTGACTGGCTTCCAAAGATATTGTCGGGGTCAAGGGTGGGCAGATATATGGCCAGGACCCTCACGGCCCATCCTAAGACTCTGTCTGAGGCTCAAACCAATGGGCACCATTGGCTCTGCAGGGAGGAAAACCAAAACCAGTCTCTCCATCCTCTCCCTCCCCCAAGCCACCCCAAAGGTCCCCTCCCACACACCACCCTTCAGTTGATGCATTCTCCTCTGATACTTTAAGTGAAAACATGAATTAGGCAAACTAATCAATTTGACAACTGTTGAGATCAGGGCTTTCTCAGAGCGCAGTGGAAATGGCTTCTTTACTTGAAGTTAGCTAAGATGTCGCTGAAGATATTGAGGAACAGGTGTGCGTGGTGATCCCTGAAGACCAGAGTGGGGCGGAAACGGATGGATTTGTCACCACAGCCCCCCAACACCACGCCTGAAAGAAATGGCAGGCCGCCAGTTAGGAGCTTGGGGTCACAGTCACAGGCTGTGAGAGCCAAGAGGGGGCTGCACACAGGGAACCCCCACCCAGCTATGTCATTCTCCCCATCCGGCTTCCAGCTGTCCTGCCTGCCATCCCCCATCCATCTGCATTCCCTTTCTCTCTTCCTTCAGCCATTTCATCCCTCATTCTCCCCCCTCCCCCCTCACTCCTGCTCCGCTGCCCTGAACGAGGTCTGGGATAGAGAAATCCTGAGATAAGTCCTCGCCTTCCAGAGACTCCCGGTGCGGTGGAGACAGGACATACTAACCACGTAAATTACAGAAGTGAGGCAGGTCAGAGGCATGCATGTGGGCAGAGCTTTCCCTGAGGAGGGACAGACGCCTATTTATGTCCACTCCTGGTCACCTTACCTTTGTTCCTGGCTATTAAAATGAGTTTATTCCGTATGGACTCATCTGGGGTATCGAAGGAGCAGAAGGTGCCTCGTCCCCTCACTCTGCTGATGAACTGGGGGTACCGGGCCTGCAGTGGGGAAACAAGGCTGGCATCAAAGCCTGTCACCCTGTACCAGCCAGTTCAGGGGCTATGGTTCCTCAGTGCTCCCAGGGTCTAGCCTTTGGGCCTCTGCATAGACTGGCAGGACCAGTGTGGGGTTCGGAGCTCTGGTTTTGGAGATGTCCAGTCCTGGGTACAAAACCAGGCTTGGCCTCTTTCTCACTGTGCGACCTTGGACAAGTCTTTTAAGTGGCCTCAGTGTCCTCTTCTGTAGATGGAAGGATATAAATGTTATTGATCCCAATGTGCTATGGAAAGAGTTGAGTGGGACGAGGTTTAAAGCCCATGGCCTGGCACTTGGTAGGCACTCAGTAGATATTAGCCATCTTTATTTATTAGCAATTCTTCTGGAAAACTGATTGATTCTTTTTTTTTATCCTCACCCGAGGACATTTTTCCATTTTTGTTTAGACAGAGTGGGAGGGAGATTTTGTTTAGACAGAGTGGGCTGTCTCCCACGTGACCCCAACCAGGGTCGGGGATGAATCGCAACTGAGGTACGTGCCCTTGATCGGAATCGGACCCATGACTCATTGGTCCATGGGCTGATGCTCTAACCACTGAGCAAAACTGGCCAGGGCGTGATTGATTCTTCTAAGAAAAAGAGCTCATCCTCACTCAAGGCTTTGAGTTTGGGATGAACAGTGGCCCCCTCCCCAGATTTATGTTGACTTAGAACTTGTGAATGTGACCTTGTTTGGAAATAGGGTCTCCACTGATATAATCAGGTCACAGTGGATTAGGGTGGGCCCTAAAGCCTGTGATGGTGTCCTTATACGAAGAGGAGAACTTGGTCACAGACACAGAGAGAGGGGAGAACACCATGTGAGAACAGAAGCCGAGAGGAGAGGGATGCAGCTACCAGCCAAAGAACCCCACGGCCGCCCGGCAGCCCCGAGGCGCTAGCGGACAGGCCTGGGAAGGATTCTCCTGCAGGAATCGGTATTGCCCATGTCCTATTTCAGACTTCTGGCTTCCAGAACAAGGAAAACAAATGCTTGTTTTAAGCCACCCAGTTTGTGGTCATTTGTTAACGCAGCCCCAGGAAGCAATACAGTCACCCAGAGCGAAGGATCTCGGTTCCTCCCCACTCTCCATCGTCCATGTGAACGGATAACCCCAAATACGTTCAGGCACCGGGGGCAGAGATGGTGGACAAGCGTCATTTTGTTACAGCCCCTTGGTAAAAACTGGAGGTAAAGTCACATTCCGGTGAAGGCACTCTGCTAGACACCTCCCCGCATGATCTGGACTCCACACTGCACTCGTGAAGGACCTGTTTTGGTCTCCACAGGAGAGGAAATGAGCGTAGAAGACAAACCGGCACTCACTCTATTCATCCTTGCACTTGCTGTTGGCTGGGAGCTAGTGACTTGAACACATCCTCTCTCCCATCAGAGTGTGGAGGCCAGGAACAAGGTCTCTTCCATTTGGACACCCCTTTGTGGCCCTTGTGACACACACGCACACACACACACACAATAGGACATAGTAATCGTTTGATTAATTCATGCAGCAGTGGAAATCCCCATTTCCTCCTCACTGTATGGCTTTGCCTGCTGCATCTAGGCCTTCACATCCACACGCGTCCTGTTGTCTCACCCACTTGTCTAGATCCCTGGGTCAGGGCATTCCTGCAATCTTACCTCCTTGCCTATAGCTTTGTAGGGCCCAGATGAGGATGCCTAACTGCTCCCATCCCTGTAAATGAGCCGGCTCAGGGCTCCTAAAAACAAGATGTCTGTCTTGGTTGGCTCTGGGATGTTTCCACGGAAGCCTTTTTTGTGCCACCATTCTCCATATGGAACCCACTGTGGACCCTGAGAATGAAGGGGTTCTGGTGGCTAACTGGGCTCAAATTAAAAAACAACAACAACAAAACCCAACAACAACAACAACAAACCCCAGAGCCTAACAGCCATTTCTACACAGGAGCCTCTCACACAAACTGCACTCGGAGAAGCTTGCACTGGCTGCCTGTGCTGTTCCTGTCCTCTGAGCCCCCTCTGAAGGAGCTCCTGGAGTCCAATTTCAACCAACAGGACTGAGGCTTTCCCCATCCAATTGGAACTGCACAGCTCCAACCAACCAGAGCAGCTCTATTCTGACCAATTAGGACAGTGCCTTTTGGACCAATCAGACTTTTAGGATTTGGACTCCTCATTTGCATGAGGACAGACCAATCAGGGACGGGGTGGGGGTGGGGACTTCTGTCTATATAAGCCAGCTCCCCTCTAGCTCTGGGAGTGGACTTTCCTTTTCTATGGAAAACTGAAGACTCCCTTTCTCTAGCTGACCAGCGTGGCAGAGCAAGCTGGCATGGAATGGAGAACAGAGGAATGGAGCAGAACAGACCAGCGAGGAGCTGGGGATTCCTGTTGGCACTGAACTGGTGCCAACAACCATCAGTTGACATCACTTTGGGAAACACTTGTCTTCAGATCAGGACAGGGAGCAGCCACGTTTGCGACAGCCCAGAACAACCAGATCTCCACCAAGCCAGGGCCTGGTTGCATCATCAACCAGGGAAATAAAGGACACCTGTCACTTATCCTATACCACTGGAGGACAGTGAAAGAGCACCCCGGCGGGAAGGAAGGGACTGACCCATTGCAGGGGCTTTTCTAGTGCCTGCTCCTATCCAACCTCAGTTCAAATGCAAACCCACCCCAAGAAAAGGAAAAGAAATTCTACCCAGAAGTTCTTAGTCCTCTGAACAGCCACACTAACCCCTTCAGTCTTTGTAACCAGGTACATCTGGGTTTAAAAAGCTGGCTCCCTCGCTGCTGGCCACCTTTCCAAGTCTCCCTTTTCTTATCCAGAAAATAAGGATAATCACATTTTCCTAAGTTCGAATTGCTCTGAGTTAGGGTTGCCAGGTAAAATACAGAATGCCCAGTTAAATTTGAATTTCAGAGAAATAACATAACTTTTTAGTATAAGTATGTCCCAAATGTTGCATGAGGTATATATTTTTATGCTTAAAAAGAAAGTTGCTGTTTTTCAAAGTAAACAGGCATCCTGTGTTGTAATTTGCTAAATCTGGCACCCTGCCTGAGGGCCAGGTGTGGTCCCTGGAGCTCCTGCCTCTTCACCTGCTGGAGGAGCAGGTGCGAAGCCATGCTGGAGGTCTCAGAGGCTACCCTGGGGGCCCTGGGAGCCATGGGTGGGTTCCTGGGAGAGTTGGGGTAGGGCCGCGCTGGGTGGGTACCTGGAGGTCCAGCAGCCCCGTGAGCAGGGCCTTCCCGGCGTGGGTTGCATTATTCAGCAGGTCCTCCCGCTTGATGACATTGATGACCTCGGCCAGCAGCAGGTTCTTGGATGGGTCCCCCAGCCAGGTGTTAAAGATCCGGTATGGCTGGAACAAGGCACGGGGCATTGGAAAGCTTCACACACAGACACACCCTGCAGGGGCCCACTTCCCCAGACACACCTTGGCTCCATTTAAGAAGAGAGAAGCTAACTCAGCATCTACTAAGGGCGGGGAGGGAAATGGTCACACCTATTATCTCATTGAATTTTTTCCATAACAACAGCCCGATAGGGAGGTATGACTATCAATATGACTATCAGGGAGACTAACTCCTCCAGGTGCTGGAGAAATCAAGAAAGTTGGCCCTTAACCGTGATCTTCATTTTATAGAGGAGGAAGTTGAGGTTCTGAGAGGCTAAGTGATTTGCCAGACAAAGTATAGCTCATAGGTGGTGGACTCAGGAGTGGACTGAGGGCAGTCTGGTGAGACCACCGATTTGTTCCTCCGTGACTTAGGGTGTCAACGCAGCCAACGAGAACACACTGCCCAGCCTCTCTTGCTGTCGGGAGTGGCCATGTGACCAGATCTGGGTCAGAATGTTAGAAATAGAAGTGTTGTGGGATTTCTGGGAAGGCCACCAAAGATAAGGAGAAGGTCACCGTGCTTCCCTCCTTTGTCCTTCCTACGGCCTAGAATTGGGATGTGATGGCTGGAACCTCAGGAGCCATTCTGGACCATCAGGCATCCTCGGGGCTGGAAACTACACGCAGGGAGGGTCGAAGGAAGGATCCTAAGCCTTGATAAGTATGTGTGTGTGTGAGAATCCCTATGTACAAATGGTACTAGAGTATAGCACTTAAGAGCAGGGCTCTGGGTTTGAATTCTGGCTTTACCACTTAATGGGCTGTGTGACCTTGGACAACATACTTAACCAATCGGTGCCTGATTCCTCATTAGTAAAATGGGAGAGAAAAACAACACCTACTTGGTTAGGTTGGTATAGGGACTAAAAGTCCATGAGAACTGGGCCAGGCACAGAGCGAATGCTCAGTTCACAGCAGCAGCTATTAGCACACAGTCTTCTAAGAAAAACGAGAAGACTGACAATGGACTGATAGGAAGTCAGCCCTGCAGAGAGAGCAGGGTGATCGTGATCACTGGCTAGTTAAATCGATGGGAACTGGCCTCAGAAAACTTCTGTGACACATCAGGTGTCCACTCAGTTCCTGGTTGGTGAGAATGGAGCAGTTATGAGAAAGCGACGCTTCTTCACCCACATCCCTCCCTTGTCCTGGAGAGAAGGGAAGGGCTGGCACGTACGGCATTGGGCCTGAACTCCTCCTTGTGGAAGAAGCCCCCGGTCATCATCTTCTTGCTGAAGGTCATCACGTCTGCAGGGTCATCCAAGCCCCAGTGCTCATGGGCCCAGAACTTGCCAGTACAGCCCCCTCCTGTCTGGACCTCATCCACCAGGAAGGCACAGCCATGCTGGAGAGAGAGGAGGGAGAAATAAAAACCCATCACCGTCGAACAACCTCCGACCCCTCAGCCAGCCGGAGAGTCCTTGCTTTCTGAACTGCAAGCCAAGCCCATGTTCTTGGACAAAAGCAAACAATCACTTAAGCAGGCAGTTTCACCAGAGCTGCGCCTGCCTGTCGCCTCTGGCTGCTGAGCTGGAACCGAACCAGAACTCCGAACACCCTCTGAATCAGGGCACGGCAGCATCTCGCCTGTTTCCCGTCCCCGAGCAGGCTGACCCGTTCAAGAGGAAGCGTGGCCCAGCCGTGAGACCCACTTCCCCAAACGTCTACATCACCAGGACGATTATTTACTTAGTATTTGTGTTTAAATCAAGTTGCCATACAACCTTCATCTCTGAACTTGCTGGTTGGACGGGCCATTGTACATGCAGAACATTAAAACAAACACGATAGTCACATAATGTCTGTTCCTTTTGCCCCTGTTGAATGTGGACCACACTGGGCTGAGAGATGAGGTGGAGGTCTCCAGAAAGGAAAGGGTGGAGGCTCAGGCCTTTCCAGAAATCTGTTGATTACGAAAGCCTCTGACTAAGGTGGCAGATTGGATGGAGGCTGGTTTTGCAATAAGATTTCAAGAAAGAATTCTCTCTCTGCCCCCACCCCCAACTTCTCTACCCGTGAGGCCAGCAGGCAGTCTCTGGACATCTGGAAGTTTACAAGGACTCCAAAGCCACCCTTTGCCCTGGGAATCCGGCTGGAAATGGCCTGAGACCCCATCCAACCTTGGCCCGTGCACTGACCTTCCTGGAGATATCTCTCAGCTTCCGGAAGAAATCGTCTGAGGCGTGGTTGTCTCCACCCTCAGACTGGATGGGCTCCACGATGATCCCGGCCACTGTCCTCTTCTTTTTCCGATATTTCACAATCAGATCCTCCACCTGCAATCCAAAGCGGGAAGTGACAATGGCTCATGGAGGCACTTGAGCAGCACCCATGGATGGGCACGTGGGGTCCCACCCACGCGATGAAAATGTGTTTGTGTGCACTTCCGGTGAAGACTGGGATACCCACTCAGAGCCACACGTGTGGATGGGGATGTGTCCTGCCTAGGCCCTGGGTTAGCCCCTGCAGGGATGCAGACTGCTGACGCAGAGCAAATTCTTTAACTTTCTGAAGCCTCACTTTCCTGATCTGTGCAATGGGCACGCTGACAGCAGCAATTGTTGTTATTGTTATATTATTATTATTGGTAGGAGAGTCCTTTCTGTGCAGAATTTGGGATGAATATTTGTTTGTTTAGAAAGCTGAGACCAAACTCATCTATCGTGATAGAAACCCAAGCAGTGGTTGCAGAGCGGGTGGGGTAGGGTGGAGGTCCTGGACTGACTCCTCAGACTGACCCACGGAAATTTTCCAGGGTGATAAGATGCCCTTGACTGGAGTGATGGTTACATGGGTACATTTATTGTTAAAACGCATTGAACTAGGCATTTAAATGAGTGCATTGTACAGTTTGTAAATTATTTTAATAAAGTTGAAATAGATTTTTTAAAAACCTGTTAACAATGATGGGGTTGTAAGAAAAGCACCTCATTGTCTCTATATTGCTTGAACTCTTGTTATAATATGGGCATTACCTTATAGATAATTAAAGAGTAGTCATTGTGATACTTGATTAATAATTTAATAAGTATACATAATTAAAAAACCCCAAACCATACACCGAGAGAGAATGACAAGGGCGCTCTTTCTCTGTTACGCAGAAGGAAGGAGAAAGCTGCTGTCTGGATGACGACTGAGGCCTCGGCCTCCACCGTGTCCCCACGGGGGCTCTGAGACGCGTCTCTGCTTTCAGAGAACCGCTTGCGAGGCGTCATCGCGCGGCTCTGTTCTCATCTGTTCGGTGCTGTTTCCTGCGAGCTGCACTCTCCAGGACGGTGGCCCCGAGCCACGTGTGGCTGCCGGGCACTTGCAGTGCAACCGGCCCAAACTGACACGTGTCGGAGTGTAAAACACACCCAGGATTTCACAGGCTTAACGTGAAGAAAAGAATATGAAACTGTCTCATCGATCATTTTTTTAATCCTCACCCGAGGACATTTTTACATTTATCTTCAGAAAGAGCGGGAGGGAGAGAGAGAAACATCGATGTGAGAGAGACATCGACTGGTTGCCACTCACATGACCCCAGCCGGGGCCGGGGACAATCTGCAACTGAGGTACCTGCCTTTAGTGGAAACTGAACCCGGGACTCTCTGGTCTGTGGGCCAACGCTCTAACCGCTGAGCCAGACTGGCCGGGGCTCTCATTGATAGTTTTTAAGTATTAGTTACATGTTGACGTGATACTATTTTGGATGGATTGGGTTTCATAAAGTATTATTAAAATGAATTTCAGCCCTGGCCGGTTTGGCTCAGCGGTTAGAGCGTCGGCCTGCGGTCCGGAGAGACCCGGGTTCGGTTCCCGCTAAGGGCACGTACCTCGGTTGCAGTTTGTCCCCGGCCCTGGTTGGTCGTGCGGGTGGCAGCCACTCACGTGTCCCTTCACGTCGATGTTTCTCTCTCTCTCTCCCTCCCACTCTATCTGTACAAGAAATGGAAAAATATCCTCGGGTGAGGATAAAAAAAAAAAAAAAAAAAAAAAAGAATTTCACCCATTTCTTTTTACTTGTACAAAATGTGATTCTTAGAAAGCTGTAATGACATCTGTGGCTTGCCTTATATTTCTATTGGACAGGCTGTACTAGACTCCATTATCTTGTCTCTCTTATTTCCCACAAAATACCCAGCACCTAGCACTTTGCTGCGCACCTAGTAGGCACTAACTCATACATGAAAAGAGTGCTGTGGCCCGGCTGGTGTGGCTCAGCGGTTGAGCGTCGACCCATGCACCAAGAGCTCGCCGGCTCGATTCCCGGTCAGGACACATGCCCAGGTTGTGGGCCTGATCCCCAGTCGGGGTATACAGGAGGTGGCCGATCGATGTTCTCTCTCATCAATGTTTCTGTCTCTCTCTCTCCCTCTCCCTTTCTCTCTCTCTAAAATCAATAAAGGAAAAAATATTAAAAATATGTTAAAAAAAAACATCAAAAAAGAGTGGTGTGCTTAAGAGGAAACCAGCCTCAAATTAGCCTTGAGCTCAAATCCCAACCGGAAGAGTGAAAGCCATTTCCCCCAGCAACAGAATCCCTCCGGTGTCTTACGTGGAACCCCAGTACATGGCAGAGGGTTGAAATGGAGGCACGGTGACAGAGGTCCGTGTCCTCAGCCCTGCCCTGCCCCCTGCCCCGCGAGGCTTCCGAAGCAGCCTCAGGCCCCGAGAGAAGGCTGAAAACCGGGGGCCCAGGAGCCTGTGCAATCACTTCTTCTCCGAGCTGCCCCGTGTTCTGCCCGTCAGTTCATTTTCTCTTTTCCAGAATCACTGAACATTGCCTCTGAAGAAACGTGGTACCGAAATTGGTACCAGTAGGGGGGTGAAGGACGCGGGGTGGCAAAATCCACGTGCCATTACCTCTCTGGATATGGAACACTGGGGTAGAAGCCTCTCTGCCCCGATGTCCCTCCCGGGGAGTGCCGTGCAAGCCCCAGATAAACTCTTTGGCCCTCTTCTCTGGGGCGAAGTGCTGGGGTGGCGAGGGTAAGGGACGGGGATGGGGGAAGGGACTGGAAGGGCCGGGTGATACCTCTTCTAGGCAGCGGGCCTCTTCTTGCTGGTTCTCCTTCACAAACTCCTCCAGAGGGTACTTCAGCCGTGGGAATGGTGCAATGGGCCAGTCGAAGGAAGGGATGTCGATCTTGTGAATGGCTTTGGAATGCGTGGTTGCTAAGCAACCTAGGCCCCCCCCAAAACAGAAGAGAATCGTTGGTTTGAGGGAGCACAGTGAAGAGTCTTCAAAAAGGAGATGATGGGCACTGCAAGCCAAGACCTCAAGTGCCCAGGGAGGCCTGTTGCCTGCAGAATCCCAGTTCCTGTAACAGCCTGAAGCCGAAGCCGAACCTGTGAGCTGGGTGTGTGTGTGTGTGTGTGTGTGTGTGTGTGTGTGCGCGCGCGCGCACTGCTTTCTCATTCATCACAGATTAAGCACAGGCTTTGCAGGTAGAGAGACAAAGGTTCAAATCCTGGCTCTACCACTGTATGACCTTGGAATGTTTCTCTCCTTGCTGAGCCTCAATGTCCCCATCGGCAAAGAGGCAATAATAATCCCCACTCTGCAGAGCGGTGTGGAGTCAATGAGACAAGGTGGGGTAATCGCCAACTCGAGATCAAAGGCAGCCGCCGCTATTGCTTCTGCTATTATTGCTAACTCCCACCTTGGGATCCCAGTGGCCCCTCCTTACCCATGGTCCTCCCGTGGAAGGCACCCATGAAGGAGAGGATGCTGTAGTCGGGGCAGCCAGGGGCCTAGAAACAAGAAACAGTGGTTATTGGGGCGGGAGGGAGGGGAGGAGGGTGTCAATGGGGGGAAAATGAGAAATATCTGTAACAAAAACAAATTAATAAATAAAAAATTTTGAAAAAAAGAAATAGTGGTTATTGGTCATGGCTGTGAGTAGTGGGGGGCTCTGTGGTGGCCCCCCAGAATGTGGAGGAGCACCCAAGTCTATCAGAAGAACCAGACATCCCTCCTCAGGCCGAAGTCACAAACTGGACCCCTGCTTCTATAGCCGGGCAATAGATGTTTTGCCCACATGGTCCCCCTGAATATTTTTAATCAAGAGATTTCACACAAATATCTGAACTGTCTTAACTTCTGTACCATTTGGGCCCATTTGTGTCGCACAAGCCTGAAGTCTGGGCGAGCGTGCTGCCCCAGGGCCCACTGCACACCTGTCTCCCTTGCACCACCAGCCACCTGCTGGGCTGCCTGGGGCTTCCGAATTTCCAACCTGTCTGCAGGCTCTTCCCTCTCCTACTGGCTCTGCCCCGGCTCCAGACCGTGTCCACAGCAACCAGGTGGGCCAGGTGCTGATGGTGCCCCCCACGACAGGAGGCTGAGTGGGCACCTCACAGGGAATGAAGGCCCCAGGCCTCTGGAGCAGGTCTGCTGGGCCAGAGCGGGAGGGTGGGAGGACCCCCACCTTTCTGTCTCCCCAGGGCATCTGCCCTTGTGTTCAGGAGGGACACCTGAACTCCCCGCCCCCGGTGGATGGCTCAGCTGCATTGTTTCCTGAGCCTCCACCAGGCAAGGAATCACCCAGAGGCAACCCCGGGGACCCCAGTGTCTGGGAATTCGATTCAGCATGCTCCGTGGCTGGCTGACCTCCACCAGGTACCCGGTCGCTCTGAGACCTCCTCCCACAAACTCCAGTGTATGTCTTGTCATTTCTCTTTGTTAAGGAAAGGAAACATTTTTTTTCTTGTTCCTTTGTAGAAATGTAATATGTACACATCATCACACATCTTTGGTTGTAGACATTAAATAGGAGGAATAAGATCTAAAAATATTGGTGGACTAGGATGTGCACGGATATCAGATGAGAAAGAGGCAGGGCACAATCCATTTCTTTAAAAAAACGGCCAGAAGAAAAAAAGAACAAGCTTAAGTTTATGTAGGTTTGTATGAATATGGAGAATAGTATGGCTCTATTGCTAGCAAGAGACAAAATTAGGAATAAAAAATTAAGAAAGCACAAAAGAAAAAACACAGAACAAAATAAAACAATCTCACCACCCATAGGCACCCCATTATAAACATGTGAGCAGGATTTCTTGTAGTAATTTCCTGTATACTTATTTACAGTGTCCATACAATTTACATTCCACTGTTTTCACTAAATTATAGCACACGTGTCTCTAGGCAGAGAAAAACCTTTCTAACTATTTCAGCTGCAGGATAGCGCAGTGTACGCAGTGCGTAACTGAGTCAGTGCCCCTTGGTTCTCTCTCTCTCTTTTTTTAAGTCCTCACCCAAGGATATTTTTCTATATCTTATCTTCAGACAGAGTGGGAGCCAAAGAGAGGTAGAGAAAAGGAGAGAGAGAAAAACATCAATGTGAGAGAGACACATCGACTGGTTGCCCTGGCACGACCCCGACCAGGGCCCAGGATGAGCTGCAGAGGTACGTGTCCTTGACTGGAATCAAACCCGCGACTCATTGGTCCGTGGGCCGATGCTCTACCACTGAGCCAAACTGGCCAGGGCCCTTGATTCTCTTTTAATCAGCAGGCATTTCTGTCTAAATCGCAGTGGGCCCCATATGTGAAGGGGGAAGACAGGCTGGTTGAAGCTGGTTGCAGAGCTTGGATCTACCTACTTGGTTTTCCTAGTGGTCCCCACCTCTGCTGTGCCCCACAGCGAGTGGCCGCCCTGGTGACTCCGGGAACCGGTACACTTAATCCCACTTTCCCTATTACTGGAGATATATATATATATATATCTTTTTGGTGATTGTTACTCTCAACATGTGTTGGCATTGTATGAATATGTACATGTGTGTTGGCATTTTGGATTATTCTAGAGAGTACATTAAAGCCCTCCTTAGATGGGTTAAATTCACGCAGTTGTCCTGGGAAAACTGTCCTGGGTCGGGAAGAGCTCTGCTTTGCTTAATACCAGGGGAACGAACTAGGGAGGCAGAATGCTTCGGGGCCCCTTGTGAGGGACTGAATGTTGATGTCCCCCCAAATAAATACATTGAAGCCCTAACCTCAGTGTATTTGAACATGAGGCCTTGGGGGGTGATTAGGGTCAGATGAGGGGATGAGGGGCCCCATGATGGGATTAGTGTATTTGTAGAAAGAGGCAGAAGTGAGCTTGCCAACTCTCTCCCAGACACAGAAGGACACAGCAGGAAGGCAGCTGTCTGCAGGCCAGGAAGAGATCCTGCCTTGGGGGACCAAATCAGCTTGCACCTTGACCTTGGGCTTCAGCCAGCCTATGGCATTTGCTAGGGCAGCCTGTGCTGACTATTTGAGAAGGACAGGGTCCATTAACTAGTGTCAGCCTGAGGGGCGCTGTCCGCTTACCTGGTTGACCATGCACGTTTCCAGCTCCTCTTTGGAGAAACCCGTTTGACCCCTTTCCTTGCTCTGAGGAAACAGAACAGAACAAAATCTCAGAGATGCTCTGGGGTAGGAGGGGCTTCCACTTTCCACTCAAACCCAGAGTTAGTCCAGACAACTACACAGTGCTCTCTCAAGAGTTGATCTTATATGTTGATTGAGGAATAGAGTGAAGAAGTAAAATGAAGTCACTGTCTTCAAGCTGCTAAATTATTAATTTCACGTGGGCTGAGGCATAAGGACACAACTATTCTCGTTTTAACTGACTCTGGGAACTTAAACTTTTGAATCCTCCAGTCCCACGTCAATACCTGGATGTACATCAGTGTGTTCGTTGTGAGTTGGTTGTGCATCAATGCCTGGACATACATCAAACCTTCAAAATGACCTCAAGAAGATGTTACATTGTCTAGACCACCAGACATCCGACAGTTACCATCTTGGACCAATCCAGGGGCTAGAATGCAGAACTGATTCTTCTCAAGAATGTACTTTTTACTATAAAACTCCCAGACTTTTCTTTCTTCTTTGGAACACTCTGGATATTGCCTAGTAGTGTTTCTGGTTTGTAAACCTTAAGACTCTTGAATAAATTTTTGTTATTTTATTTCTAGTCAAAGCCTCCTGACTCTCTGAGTATGTTCAACACTCGTGAGATCGTTAATTGTGCTTGTGATGAAGTACATAGGTAATTACATAAGGTGCGTTACTCTTCTATTAACAACAACGAAGATCTGCTGAGGTGGTGTATGTATGTTATTCCAGGTAACTTAGTGTGATTGCATTGGGTAAGTTTGGTGCTGAAGGCTTGGCACTTGGCACCGTTCCCCACTGGATGTTTGGAAAGCCCCGTCAGGCAGTGGTCCCCTCTGGATTTTGAGTGTTGTCCCTGATGTCCAACACTCTAGCCAGCTGGGATGAACAGTAGGACTGGGGGTGAGTGTGTGGCTGGGTGCTGGGGAGCGTGTGTGTGTGTGTGTGTGTGTGTGTGTGTGTGTGTGTCTTCGTGCCTGAAACCTTACCCGGTACCACATGAAGATGGTCTTGAAGGCATTTTCATTGGAGCAGGAGCCACAGGCCATGGTAATGATCTGGGACATCCCTTTGGGAGCCACCTGCAGGCAGAGAAACAGCTGTGGCCTCAGCTCCATCTCGACTCCCCCTCCCCCAGCTGGCGCCCGAGGAGGCAGAGGGAGGCTGGGACCACACCAGGGATGTCCTTGAAGCAGTCGTCCTGGTGACTGGGATCGGCTCTTCCAGGGGTGGAAAAGCCCAGGCAGGGGAGCAGAGAAGATAAAAGGTCGAAGAAAAGCCTAGTTTATCCCTCCTGACACAATTGCCACCCCTCAAGACACCCACATTTTGTAGGTGAGAAGTCGAGGTTCTGAATGATTCTAATCATTGTAACAACTGACACCGAAATGGGAAGCGGGTTAAAGAACATGCAAACCTCCTATCAAGCGACAAATATTAATTTTTCCTGAGTTCCTTTTTCCCCTGCACACAAGGTATCCCTTGTTTTCTTTAGAAGGAAAAATACGCTTTGTGAACGACACAGCACAAAGAGCAAGCGTGAAGGAGAAACACCCCACCCTAATTGTGTGGCTCACAGTCCTTTCCGTGCCCTGCTGGTGTGGCCTCCAAGAGAAGAACTGTCTTCCAGCAGGGGACCGGGCGGAGCTGGAGGTGGGTCCCGCGGCAGATGGTTGTTCCCAGGACTCATCACTCACCGAGAGCAGGGACTCCTGCAGCTTCTCCACAAAGTTCTCCGGAGGCAGGATTCCCAGGGCAGGTCTGTTGATGAATGTGCTCTGCAAAGGGGCCCAGAGACAAACCGTGACCTCTCAGACCTGACCCAGCTCCCTGCCCACCGACCTGGCTGTTCACAGGGATGGGGTCCAGTAGGCGGTGGGGGGCTCAGAGCTGGAATGACAGGCATCCCTGCACGTTTAGAGAAACCCACTCAGATTGCTCTGGGTTTAAAAGGAAGTGCTAATTTCTTGGTTGTGATATAGCACTGCAATTATACAAGATGCTACCTTTGGGGAAAACTGGGCGAAGGGTGCATGGGACCTCTCTGAACCATTTGTTTCAATTTCCTGTGAATCTATAATTAAAAAAAAATCCATCCATCAGAATGGCTAAACATTAAAAAAAAAAAAAGGACAGTAGCAAGTACTGAGGAGTGTGGGGGCACCCAGAACTCTCATCCTCAGCTGGTGGGGAGGTCACGTGACACAGCCACTTGGGGGGCAATCTGGCAGTTTCCTATCGTGTGTTACATACATGCACCCTGGGACCCCGCAATGCCACACTTAGAGTCTACCTAAGTAAAATGAAAGCGCATGCCCACACGAAGACATGAACAAACATGAACGTTTACAGAGGCTTTTGTTTTTATTTGCCCAAACCTGGGAACAACCCAAACGTCCCTCCGCGGGGGAGAGGATAAATAAACAGTGGCGCCCGCACACCACGGACCACCACTCAGCAATAGAGAGGAGCGGTGTACCGACACACAAGGCAAGGAGAACATGGAAGAAGCTCCAAGTCTCGGTGCTGAGTGACACAAGCCAGAATCAAAGGGCGACCCACAGCATGGGTCCATTTATTTGACATTCTGGAAAAGGAGAAACTATAGGGACAGAAAACAGCTCATGGTTGCCAGGGGCGGGGGTGGGACTGACTACAAATGGGCTGGGGAAATGTCTGGGGTGATGAACTGTACCCTGTCTGGATTTAAAAAAAAAAGAGTGGTAAAAAAAACACATAACATGAAATTTACCATCTTAACCATTTCTAAGAGTGCAGTTCAGGAGTGTTAAGTATATTCACATTGTTGTGTAGCCATCACCATGGTGCATCTCCAGAACTTGTATCTTGCAAAACTGAAACTCTATATCTATAATACACTAACTCCCCCTCCCCCAGCCCCTGGCAGCCACCATTCATTCCACTTACTGTCTCTTTGAATTGGACACCTCTGGGGACCTCATGCAAGTGGAATCATGCAATATTTATCCTTTTGTGACTGGCTTGTTTTCATTTAGCATAATGTCCTCCAGGTTCACCCATGTTGTAGCGTGTGATAGAATGTCTTTCCTTTTTAAGGCTGCATAATATCCCATTGTATGGATAGATCACATTTTGTTGATTCATCTGTCGATGGACACTGGGCTGCTTCCACTCTTTGGGTCTTACAAATAGTGCTGCTAGGGACATGGCGTGCATTTTGACAGTGGCTGTATAACTATGCATTTGGCAAAACTCACACAGCCACATACTACAAAGACTGGATCTGACTGCATGTGAATTATACTTTAATTAAATACACATGGGGAAAAGACATACACTGCAGCGGCAGCTCTAGAATTTCTAGATGGGGCAGGGCTTAGGAGAGCAAGCTGACAAGGGAGCCGGCTAAGTAAACAGGATGAGCCAAGTATGAGAAAAGCAATATTAGAAACATTACTTAGATTCTCTTTGTTGATTCCTCTCCCTAATTTTGATAGATGTGGGTCCAGAGAAGTATTTCCCCCTGCAAGGAAACCAACAGTGCAAGCCTGATGCTAAACACACTTGCTTTTGATACTCGGGAAGCGAGGGGAATGGTTGTTACTAAGAAGCACTTGTTTGTCGGAGGGTGGGCCAGCCCTGCCCTGTGACTGCAGAGCAGGGACACAGGCCAAGGGAGCCAGAGCCTCCAAATTTCAAAAGAAAAGGGAAACGTGGATTTTAATGGAAAATGGCCTCATTTTAAAATGTTGGCCAAATTTTTCTCAAAACAATCTCTGGCGGCGGGATAGTCCCCCAGCCAGGTAGCCGCACCCTTGAACAAAAGCAGCCCCTGCCTTGCTGGTTTCAGACACAGGCGTGGCTGCCGGCTGTCCGCACCACAGGGTGAGACACACACAGGGCCAGTGGCCCCAAATCTCCCCACCAGCTTGGCCTCAAATACTTTCCTAAAGTGAAGAAAAAGATAATGTCTGGTTCTGGCACAACAAGATCAGGGTAGAAGTTTCAAATCCAAGAGGTGATGTGGGTTAAGAGCCTTACAATATTTTGTGCTCTGACCCAGCGATCTCATTTCTAGGCCTTCTCTAAAGATACGATTTTAAACATGGACAAAGGCTAAACACTTAATTATTTGTGCAGCGTTATTTATAACAACAAAAAAGAGAAACTCTCTGCCCTCATCGGTTTGTTCAGTGGTTAGAGCTTCAGCCTGAGGACCGAGGAGTCTTGGGTTCGATTCTCGTTCAGAGCACTTGCCTCTGTTTCTCATTTGATCCCCAGCCCCAGGCGGGGTTGTGGGGGAGGAAACCAATCGACTGATATGTCTCTCTCTCTCTTTTTTTTTTGGTACGTGGCCTTAACAGGAACAAAACCCGGGACTCTCTGGTCCGCAGGCCAACGCTCCAACCGCTGAGCCAAACTGGCCAGGGCATGATGTGTCTTTCTTGCATCAATGTTTCTCTCTCTTTCTTTCTCTCTCTCCCTCCCTCCCACTGTATCTAAAATAAATAAATAAATAAACAAACCAATCAATCAATCAATAGAAAAATATTCTTGGGTGAGGAAAAAAAAACAGAAGAGAAATTCTAAATGCCAACAGTAGGTTATGTTAACTAAGCCACTTTAATGCATGGTGATATTCCTTGGCTGGTAAAATGGTGTTTAAAAAGGTTACAATTTTGCACCAGGGTTCACTCTTAGAGTCGTACATTTCGTGGGTTGTGACAAATGCACAATGACGTGTCCACCATTATAGAAAAGACAGATGGAAATGCAGATGGAACAAGAGCAGAGCCACCCCGTCCCTCGAGGTCCAGCCAGCCCTTCGGCAGGATTGGGAAGAGTCTGGGGGGCCTTGCACAGCAGACAAACAGCGAGATCACCAGGAATTGGGTTTGGGTTATAAAAGAGATTGTCCTAAATGCAATGTGGCATCCCGGACTGGATCCTGAAACAAAAACCAGACATTGTGGGGAAACGAGGGACAGCCGAACAGAGTGTAGTAGGTAATGCGCAGTGTTAACGTCTTAGTTTTCACAGGGTGCCCTGGAGAGGGGAGGTGTTAACATGGAAGGTAGAAGGGAACTCTCTTTACATGTCTGTAAATCTGAAATGAGTCTAAAATAAAACAATTTAACTAGAAAAGGAGGAGGATGGACCGAGCCTGGGATCTGGGGTCTTCTCGGGTACCTCTCTCTTTCTCTCTCTCGGACACAGTTGGTGTAATTAACTCAATGCAAATCCAAATAATGGCTTCACTGCACAGGAGCAAACCAAGGAGAGGGCCTCAGAACTCAGCCTCCTGGATGCTTGGGAATTTGGCTCCAACTGCTGGATACTGTGGCAGGTTCACACTCCGGACTAGGATAAGTGATGGGGGAAGTTAACCCTTCTCATTGTAGAGGTGGGGAAACTGAGGACCAGAGAGGTCAAGCAACTCGCCCCAAGTCACACAGTCAGGAAGGGGCAGAACCACGACTCAAACCCAGGTTTGCCGACTTCAGATTCCATCCTGTGCCAGACACTGCAGGCAGTCTCTGCCTGATCATGTTAACAATGGGTACGAGTTTGCTTGGTGCTACTCGGGGACCTTGGCTGGCCTATCGGGGCCTTCAAGGGCATTTCCCTTGGGTCCTACCTGAGTGGGCTCCTGAGAAATGAAGCCCATCATTGGCAGAGGCGGGAGTGGCTCCCACTGGGGCCGGCCAGGCTGGCTGCCAGCTTCGCTGCCTGTCTGGGACCAGGGAAGGTGTGTGGGTGATGTTCCTGCTCGACAAAGCGTGACATCGAGAACAGAAGAGATCTGGGACACTGGGTAGCAGAATCGAATGAGGACAGGTTTCTAGAACACTTGCCATCAGACTCAGCAGCCCTAAAGTGCAGTGTGGAGAGAATGGGCTTTGGTTTAAGTGTCTGTATAGCTTCAAGCAAGTTACTTAACCTCTCTGGACTTCAGGGTCTTCATCTGCCAGAATCGGGACCCCTCCCTGGGTGCTGCGAGCAGCCAGTGAGATGACACAGCACACAGAGCAGCTCAGGACAGTCCCACAGATGGGCAGGTCTGGAGGTTAGAGGATGGCACGTGTCTTACCCGAGCAGGCCAGCTGCCCGATCTCCCTCCTGGGTGCCCCGATGTCAGAGGCACTCATCATTCATCACAGTGAGAGCGGGCACGTGCAGGGCCCAGTAATCCCTGCATAACTGTGGGCATTGTAATGAGGTAGCTCGGGCGACCTAAGAAATTATAACTGGAACCCAGGTGCTGGGTCCGGAAGACATGCCTCATTTCCCGCCCTGCCACCGAAGTAATTATGTGGGAGTTTCAGGGTGATGTGATTGGGGTACAAGGGTTGATCAGCCCTTTCTCAGGACTTCAATGACTTGGCAGGAACCTGCTCAGGACAAGTAAAATACCATAACCACCGCCTGAGCAAGAATTTGGAAGACCCCAGATGTCAACCAATGGCCCCCAGCCTGATGTCCTGGGTATACCCACTGAGCGGTGGCAGTCAGCTGCCATTTATCTAAGATGTGCCCGGCCCCCGGCCCCTACCCAGTTCTCTGCAGAGCAAGGCCAGCTCTGTGATCCAGACTGTAATCTGGACCGTGATCCTACCGCCCAATCCCAGCACCAGAACTGTGCCCGGCACATAGTAGATATTCAGTCAGTAGTTGGTAAATAAACAGATGTCAGGAAATAATGCCGAAGAAGCAGGTGGCAGATCACGAAGGGCTCTGTGGGGAGGGAGGGTGGGATGTGTCCTGAAGGCAGTGGGTTCCTGGAAAGGGTTCCGTGCACAGGGCAGTGTGGAGGATGGTTTGGAGGAGATGAGAATGGATGTGGAGGAAGGAAGCGTTGGAGAGGGGTTGCTGGGAAAAATCCAAGTGGAAGATGTAGAGCTACAGCTGGTCCTGACTGGCTGAGAGGTGAGAGGTGGCAGGTGGGAGGTGAGAGGAGGGGGGAGGGTAGGGGAGGATGAAGTGTGGCTTCCGGGTTCCTGCCAGGGACAGCTAAGGGAGGCATTCCCCCAAATCAGAATCCCTGGGCCTTGAAGTCATGTGCTGTTGGGGACGATTCTGCCTCCCGAGGCAGCTGACACTGCAAATGTGTGTGACATGTTTGTTGACACATTTTTCCCCCGCACCAACTGCTGAGACATCTGGGATCTGCAAACGTTTCAAAACAAAGTTGGCTTTCAATGTAAACACGCCCGCAGAGCCTGTGCACCCGAGGCGCCCTCAGGAGTCCTCCGCGGTGGCTCCTGGACTTGTCAACTAATCCGAGGCGGAGATGTCCCCAAGTCCCTCCCAGGCAGCAAAACCATTTGTAAAGAGGAAAATGCGGTTCTTTGCTATTGTCATCCACTGTGCCGACTAAAAGGGGAGAGTTCAAGGTGGGGAGTTGGTTCCTAACGGGGTTGGGCTCTCCACCTTCCCCTGCGTTTCTTAGATATTCTGGGGGACTCACACCCCTTGTCATGTGTGGATACGTATGTCTCTGAGTGAAACGACAGCCCCCAGGGACACTCGGTGTTGGTGAGGGTGTGGAGCGACCACGACTCACTCACTGCTGTGGGGAGTGGTGATGGACAATCAGCTTGGACAACTGTCTGCTCCCTGTGACGGCCGCAGCTCCACTCCAGCCTTGTAGCCACTGGGACCATGACCGTGTTCTCTGGACGACAGGTACTCAGATGTTCACGGCAGTGGCCTTTGTGGGAATGACCCAAATGTCCATCCGCACAGGGTGGACACACTAACTGCAGGGCACCCACACAGTGGTGGCTGCCTAGCCATGGGATGGATGGTCTGTGGCTCAGCACGACAGGGATGAATCTTGCAGGTGGGTTTTGAGTGAATCAGCCAGACGTGATGACGAGTACACACTGGCTGAGTCCATTCCCCTGCCAAGAAAGGATGGCAGGACGCACCTGCGCTGTTGGACTAAGGAGTGGTCTGGGGGAGTAGTAATGGGGTGGGGCCATTCGCAATTCCTGAGTTCTCAGTGGGGATGAATAGCATCCTCCTCTGTGAGGTAGAGAGCACAGGCAGCTACAGGTACCGCCATAGCGTGTGCCGCACCTGACGCACCGTATGGTACAGGTGCATTGTAGACACAATATAGCCCCTAGGGAGATGCCACACCCTCAACCCTGGGACTGTGAGTATGTTACAGGGCAAAGGGGACTTTGCAGATGTAATTAAGGCTCCTAATTGGTTTAGAAAGGAAGATTATTGCGGATTTCTGGGTGGGCCCAGGGCAGCCACCGGAGCCCTTTGCTAAGAGTAGAAAGAGTGACGGAAGACAGAGCAAGAGACTGGCCGGGGGTGCTGACATGAGGGCGGTGGGATCACGTGGAAACCGCGAGCACGAAATGAACTCCGCTAACACCTGAGACAGCCCCACGGGAGACCCTCCCCCCCAGCCTCCAGCTGAGAGCGGATTTCAGCTTCCGAGACCCTCAGCAGAGGGCTCAGCTGGGCCCCGCTCCTCCTCTGCACCGTGGCGAGGCACTCAGTGGGTGTTGTTTCAAACCACCAGGCTGGTGGTCCTTTGTGAGGGCACCAATAGGAAACTAATCCACGGTGGTACTGAAATGTCATGATGGGGGAACAATTAGGAAAACGATGACTAAAAACACTCCTTAAAGGAGTGATAAAGAAACAAGGTCGAGAAGCACTGGGCCACAGGGGAAGATTCACTGAGCGGTGCACCTGGGCTGAACCCATGTCTCCATGTGTGATAGCCACCCCCAGGGGGCATTTGGCAATGTCTGCAGAGATGGGGGGAGGGCAGAGACCAGGGAGGCTGCTAAACACCCACGTGCATGGGCGGCCTCCCGCCTGCCCCCATCGGGAGTGATGGTCAGCCCCATCGCCACTGCCGAGGCTGAGAAACCCCGGTCTAGCCTGAAACAAAACCTCACACGTTTAGGCCTGCTCGGACCCCCTTGGCTCCCGCCGCCCTGGCCATGTGGCCACGCTGTCCTCTGAGGTTCCTCAGTCTCGCTGCTGCTCTCCACCCCACTGTCTGCTCCCTGCCCACTCCTCCTTGTTAGCACCGTCCCTTCAGATCTCAGCGCCGACGGCACTGCCCTGGGAACTCTCCCCTCACCCCAGCCCCCCATCCCGGGCAGCCCAGCTCCTGTGGGTTTTATTCCTGGCTCCTCTTACTGTGTGACCTTGCACAAATATTTAACCTCTCTGTGCCTCAGTTTCCCCGTCTGTAAAATGGGATTACAACAGTACCTGCCTCAGAGACATGTCAGTATCACAGCTGTGAGGTGCCAAACGCAGTGTTTATGCAGTCGTACCCTCTTATCTGTGGGGGAGATGTTCCGAGCCCCCACAGTGATGCCTGAGACTGTAGGCATTACCTGACCCTTTGCATGTTTTTCTGTATACATACATGACTATGATAAAATTCCATTCGTAAATTAGGCGCAGTAAGAGATGGACAACAATAACTGATAGTAAAATAGAACAATTATAACAATAGACGGTAATAAAGTGATGTCGATGTGGCATTATTAAGTAAAATAAGGGTGACTTGAACACACGCACGGTGGTGCCTCGCCAGTCAACCTGATAACCAAGACGGCTACTGAGTGATCGCTTAACGGGCAGGGAGCACCAACAGTGCAGACACGCTGGACAGAGGGACGATGCATGTCCCATAATGAGACTTCATCACCTTGCTCAGAATGGTTTGCAATTTAAAATTTAGGAATTGTTTATTTCTGGAATTTTACATTTACTATGTTTGGACCACGAATGACCACAGGTAACTGAAACTGGAAAATAAAACTGTGGCTAGGGGGTGGTTACTATGTATATTTCATGCTCTTAATGATCGTTAATCATTAATATCATTATCATTGTTTATGCCCACATAGCATTGCTTACCTCACTCTGTAGCACTTAACATGGGCGCAATTCTCGACTCACGTGCAGAGAATTACACGAATTGACTGCCTCCGTGGGAGCAGCGTGCTGGGTTTTTGCTCACACAGTATTCCAAGTGCACAGATGACAGTATGTGCGCAATAGACATTTATGCAATGAATGAATGGACTATTTCCAAAGGTGCCTCAGTGACCCTCTGCGTTGTCGTGAACATATTGGGTCTCTACTCTGTATAACCTGGGGACTCACCGCATTCTGAGGCTGCTGGACGAGTTTCATGAGCGCAGGATGGCTGTAACCTGGGGATGGGGAATATGGTTAGAGACCAACACCACCTCTGAGGGTCCTGGTGCCCCTCCCCCAGTACCTGTCCCTCCCCTCCTTTCCAGCCTCTTCTCACACCAACAGGTATTTTTAATCCTTTGCAGTCAAAAAGACCCATTCCTGGGCCCACCCAGACTCCCTGACTCAGAATCTCTCAGGGTGTGGCCCAGAAATCTTCAGAAATTTAGGTAATTCTGGGGTTCTGGTTTGAGACCTACAGAGCTAGACAGATACAAGAGGAGGTGCGTGCAGGTGAAAGCCAACTTCAAGGGCTGGGAGTGGTTCCCAGGCCAGCGTGATGAATCACCAACGTGGTCTTCACTTCCTCCTCCAGTGCCTACAGATCGAGTCAAATTGCAATCATTGCTCAGGAGCCAAGTGAGTGGTATACCCTGCAGTCTGTGATCAGCACATCCGGCTCTGCCTTCACACCTCTGCCATCCCAGAGTCCAGTCCCATTTACTGTGCAGCCTGGGCCTGCCATTCCACGATAAGGTTTGAGAAAACATTTGATTCAGCAGTTACTTTTCTGTGAATTCTCCTACATGTGTGTATGAAGACCCACGTACACACATCTTAAAGCAACCTAAAGGCCATCATCAACAGAAGATCAAGTGTTGCCAGGGTTAGCAGCAATGAAGAGAATGCCGCCCTGCACATAGTAGATGCTCAATAAATGGAAGTTTTTGTTGTAAAGGAGGGAGGAGTAAGACAGGACTGCATAGCATTGGAGCCGGGTGTCCTGTGCTTAAAGCCTTTACTTTCGTTTATTGAGCATGTACTACATGCAGGAGGCTTTGTGCTCATTATTGCAAATGCCGGCAACTCCTGCAGGAAGGTTAAATTTGTAGGAGGCATCAAGGTCAGGAGACCAGATTGTAAGACCCTCAATGGCAGTGGCAAGTGTTTGGCTCAGCAGATACTAGTTGAATGAGTGGATAATGCAGAGCTCCAGCGACACGGCAAGAACTGAAAACTGTCATATATGAGAAAAGACTCATCAGTGAATCTTGGAGCAGGAAGTAGAACTTGGAGAAAAACTCTCGATCTTCAAGCATCACAATTTGTATTGTGCATACCTTGTACTTATTTTCTTTCAATCAATTCCCTTTTTAATTTAAATAAATATACTTTGGAAGGAGACTTTAGAGCATGATGATGAGAGGCCCTACCCACGGCTCTGAGCTTGGGGCCTGCTGCCTCCTGAACACGAGACTGGCAAGTTTAGACAGGTATTAAAGACCCAGCGTCACCCCGGGGAGAATTTCTCCTCCACGGAATCAAAGCGGGAACAGATATGAAGAGCCTGTGGTTTCACTGTGCCCGCAGCAGAGAGCACAGACTGGGGAGGGGTTGGAGACCTAGGGGAGAGGGTGGTTAAGTCTTCCTACTCCGACCCTGCCCCTCCCCATGCCAATCCAAAGTGTGCTGAGCCCAAAGCTGGAAGGAGCTTATTATTCCAGGAAAGAACTCTGTGGGTTTTTTCCAACAGTTTTCTGGCGAGAGGTCTCACTGCCTGGATGGGCATGGCCTTTCTGCCTCCGTAGATGAGCAGGTTCAGGGAGGCCATATTAAGCTACAGATTCAGCTTGTCTATTGGCTTCAGAAGGACAGATGAAAGCAGAGCCGGCCCCTTGGATAAGGGAAGCCCTACCCCTGGGCTTCCAGAGCTAGGACCGCCCCACAGCAGGGCAGGGTGGCCGGGCAGGGCGGCTGTCTGGGAGGCTGCGATCACAGAAGTAAGCTTAGGAGGCAGAGACTCACTGGTTCAAATCCTTTGGGCTTCCTGGACTCTGGGCAAACCCTGCATTTTCTCGAATGCTGGCTCCCCATCACTAAACCGGGGGTGATGCTAAAACAATCGACATTATAGGACTCTTGTAGGGATTTAATAAGATAACATGTAAGGCACTTAGCAATGTGCCAGGGATATAGCAAATTCTCAAAAATTATTAGTTTAAAAAAAGCATCTCAAAAACTATAGATATGGGGAAAATGGTGGCCAGAGAGGGGAAACTTAGAACTTCTAGTGTTTTTTAAAATATATGTTTTTGATTTTTTAGAGAGAAAGGAAGGGAGAGAGCGATAGAAACATCAATGTGAGAGAGAAACCTCGACTGGTTGCCTCCTGCACGCCAGCCTGCAACCCCGGCATGTGTCCTGCCCGACCATCGAACTGGGACCTCTCAGTCCAGCGGACGATGCTCAATCCACTGAGCCACACCGGCCAGGCAGAACTTCTAGTCTTCTAGCAACTGCTGCCAACCTGACCCCCCCCCACACACACATACACTGGCTGGCTGGGGGTTCCAACCGAGGGAGCCCTGGGGGTGAGAGGGAGGATGTAGGAGTCAGCTGGGAAGACGCCCACATCCCACAGCTAATATGTGGTGGAGAAAAAAATTCAAACCCATGACCACTCGAGATCTTATCCCTTTTACTCTGACACAAAATGGAGATGGGGTTTGTCAATCTCAGCATCCAAAATGCCTTAGAAGGCCCAGGCATCTCTGAACGATGGGACTTTCCAAAAAGAATGAGTCATCCACTTACTGTCTAATTGCATCCTAATGGGGAATAAATAGGCTTGAGGGACTGGGATGGGGGAAGCAGAGGAGGAGTGGAGACCTACTTTGAGGTCTCAGGGGAAAGGCACCAGGCTGCTGGGGAGCAGAGGACGGTCCAGGGTCGTCCACGAAAGGACAGGCTTCCCTGGACACTCAGCCTACAGCCCAGTGATCCAAGGGGAATCCACAGGCCAAAGAAACGTCAAGCATCCAAGCTGCAGACACCAGCCACTGCGTGTCCAAGTCAGCCCTGTCCATGCTGTCATGGGTGCCTTCCTACAGCAGCAAGGCATGCTCGGTGTGACCAGAAGTAGCTGAGCCTGGAGAGGCAGACGCCGCCGGTGCCCCACTAGGGCACCTTTACTGCGCAGGCCAGCCCTCTCCCAGCTGCCGTGCAGGTGGCTGATGATGGCTCCAGCTGCTCCTTCTCTGGAAAATTGCCCTTGGTGAATGGAAGCCGCTTTACCCCAGAGATGACGTCCTTCCTTCTGGCAGCTGGTGGGCAATGACTGACTGGCACAGGGGTACAAAAAGGCTGGTCTCTTTGCCTCAGGCTGGGGCCAACTCTGGGGCTCAGTGTATGCTCAAGAGTGCCCTGGGGGTCAGGAACAGTTGGTCTCTGGCCAACAGCTCACCCCTCTTAGCTTTCCCTCCTGCCCTGTGCTGTCTCCCCCACCCTCTGCCAAGAGCTCTCCCTTAATGAACTACATGCACAGGATCCCTGCCTCAGGCTCTTCTCTAGGGAACACAACCAAAGCCAGCTGACATCAAACTCTGCTCACACAGACCTGAGTTCACACTGAGGCGTCCTCCGCAGGCTGCTAACCCCAGCCAAGCTTTGCTTCTCTGTCTGCACAACCAAATACTAATACATACCTACTTGTAGGTGTTTGGGGAGGAGAACATGAGAGAAGACATGTAAAGTTCCCGGTAATACACCCTCCAGGAATGACCTGTTCCTTTTCGCTGCCCTGGAGGGATGTGCCTGCCTGCTGGGACTTCTGGGGAGACACGACTGAGAGAGAGGAAGTCACATTCAAGGACTTATTTCCAGCTCTTACCTATGGGGACAGAGGAGATCTGGGAGTAGAGATCCAGCATTCGGTTGCCGTCCACATCGACCAGGTAGTTGCCTCGGCTCTCTTCATAGTTGCAGAAGAAATTCACAGCGTCTGCGTTCTTCAGAAAACCAGACTGAGTCAGACTCAACGCAATCCCTAGATTCTCAGTCTCTTAGGACTAAGCTTGAATTAGTGACAAGAACCATGACCTGGCCATTCTGTGAACACATGAAAGGTCTCTGTGGGTGCTGGAGATAATCATATTTCCTGCCCTGGGGGTAATTACACGGGTGATTTGCTTTATAATAGTATATTAAGCTGTGAATTTGTATTGCATGAAAGTTTTCTATATGTTTTACGTATCACAACAAAAATCGTCTCTGAAGACGATTTTGACAGGATGTGCGTGGTAAGCCACAGAGCACCCGCTAATTAAAAAAAACCCCGCATACTAATTATGAAAGAAATAAAATGTTACACTAGAAGTTACTCGCTTAGTGCAAAAACATAAAATAAAGAGGAACAGAGGAACAAAAAGAGTATGAGAAAGAAAAAATTTGTAAATGGAAGATGTAAATATAACCGTATCAGTAATAACATTAACTGTGGATGGACTGAGTGATTTAATCAGCAGTCAGAACTGTCAAACTGCAGTAAAAAGAGTCAACCATAAGCTGTTGATATATGACATACTTGACTTTCAAGAATATGAATAGGTTAAAAGTAAAAGGACGAGGAAAGATATATGATTCTCACAGCAGTCATTAGAAAGCTCGAAGGGTTTATACTAATATCATACAAAATCGACTGTTAAACCAAAAGAAAATGTTCCTAGATGTGAATAGAGGCATTTTATGATGACAAAGAATCAGTCCACTAAGATATAATAATCATCAACATATAAGCACCTAGTAACAGAGCCCCAAAATATATGAAGCAAAAACTAACAGAAGTGAAGGGAAAAACAGTTGTTTAAGAAAGTTCTCTATGGCCCTGGCCGGTTTGGCTCAGCGGTTAGAGCGTCGGCCTGCGGTCCAGAGAGACCCGGGTTTGGTTCCCGCCAAGGGCACGTACCTCGGTTGCAGTTTGTCCCCGGCCCAGTTCGGTCGTGCGGGTGGCAGCCACTCGATGTGTTCCTTTCACGTCGATGTTTCTCTCTCTCTCTCTGTTCCTCTCTCTCCCTCCCACTCTACCTGAACAAAAAATGGAAAAATGTCCTCGGGTGAGGATAAAAAAAAAAAAAAAAAAAGAAAGTTCTCTATGTACTGGAGACTTCAATACATGGCTTTCAATAACTGTCCAGCTGGTGGCTCAGTGGATTGAGAGGTCCCACGGACTGAGAGGTCCTGGTTCAATTCCTGGTCAGGGCACATGCCTGGGTTGTAGGCTCGATCCCCAGTAGGGGGTGTGCAGGAGGCAGCTAATCCATGTTTCTCTCTCACATTGATGTTTCTATCTCTCTCTCTCCCTTCCTCTCTCTCTAAAAAGCAATACAAACATATTTTAAAAAGTGTTTAACCAACATAAAAAAAAAAATGGATAGAACACCAGGCAGAAGAATAACGGGTAAGTAGACACGAACAATGCTCTAAATCAGTAGATCTCACCCACATCCACAGAACACCCCACCCAACACCAGGACAGTATACGCTCTTCTCGTGTACACATGGAACATTTTCCAGGATAGATCATAAAAGGCTCAACACATTTAAGAGGACTGAAATCACACAAAATAGATTTCTAACCACAATGCAATGAGATTAGAAACATAACAGAAAGAAACTTGAGAAGTTCACCAAAATGTGGGAATTAAGCAACACACAAACAATGAGTTAAAGAAGAAACCACAAGAAAAATTAGGAAAAAAGGTTCAGAATAAAAGTCAGCTGCAGTTTCTTCCTCCAAAAGAGCCAGTAGAGAGTAAGCGTCCGCGCCCCTCTGCTAAACCGTAACAGAGACACAATGGACGGAACCTACCACATCCCCACTTACCTGAATTATATTCAGCTGTTTCATTAACTCCTGTGGGCAAGAAAAGCAAGAGCATTACAGCAAGAACACACTCTTCCAAAGCAGCTTAAAATCTTTCATGTCTTCCCAAGTATGGAGGCTGCCTCCCCCTTCATGCCAATAACTTCATCATTAATGAGTCAGCCACATTACAAATATTTTAAGTGGCTTAATATAAATAGTTGGTGGGAAACTACCCCTGATAGTTCAATTATCAGTACAACAGACAGATGGGAGATTTAGACACTTGGAAGATAATAAACTAAACTCAAATATTTGACAAAAACATTTAAGCTGAAAGCATTTACCTAATGTCCATAAAAGCATGGGTTTTCTTTTTATTTAGAAAAAAAAAAAAAAAGCTTTAACACCATGTTAGGGAAATAAAATCAACTGAAAATATAAATTTGTACACAAAGACCCATTTATAATTCTAATCTGAACACTCCATAAACCACTGTGCAATTCTATATAGAAACTGGGGTTATGCACCAGCTACTTTAATATTGTAAAGATTTAATTTCAAAAAATGGTTTAACATAAAATATTAATGACAAAATATTAAATATGATTCCAAAAGTATTTCACTATTATTAAATTAAAATCTACCGCTTCCCAATAGACATAGGCACAAAAAGTCTCTCTTTTTGTTAGCAGACACTTTCCATAATAACAACAATCATTTATCAGTGCAAAGATTTCTCAATTTATAAATCATGGCACTGACAAAAGGGTATCTTTGGACACTAAAAAAGTGGCACTGGATAAAATCTGCAAAGAAAAACATTTCATTTGTATTGAAAATGTTTACACTTATTTTTTCAGTGCAAACATTAGAGCCAGTATTGCACATCACTTCACAGAATCAAGGTTAGTCAGCCTTCCAAATGTGTTACATGCAGATTTTAGAGCATCTTTGAGAAGAAGCTCCAATCTCCTTCATCACTCAACTTGTGTCTCTTCCATTTCACACGCTGACGTTTACTCCAGGGATTCAGAGCCATCCACGGTCCCTCAGATGCCATGTACTGTCACCCTGTGCACCTCTCCTCATACCATTCCCCCTTGCCTGAAACAGAATGCACTCCTTTGGCAAATCCCTCCTTTTCATCCTTCAAGGTCAAGCTCAAGGTCATTTGCTATCTGTGCCCTGTGCCATACAGCATTGCCATGTTCTTCCGTTGTTGGTGAGATGTTCTGCCCCAACCTTTAATTTACTTTGGCCAACAAAACAAGGTGGAAGAGACGGTGGGCCAGGGTGGAGCCTGGCCCTCAAGAGACCTAAAGCATACTGTCCTCTACCACCATCAGGAGAACAAGCACAACCCAGCTTGCTAGAGGATGAGAGACCCATGGAGCAGAGCCATGTCATTGCAGTGACCAAGTCAAGCCTAGCCTAGTCCAACTGATGGCCATCATTCCCCAGGCACATAGAAGGGCCCAACAGAGCTGCCTTGCCGACTCCCAGTTACCCCAGATGTACAAGCAACCTGCATGCTGCTGAGGTTTTGTGATTGTTTGTTACGCAGCATTATTGTGGAGGCAGATACTGATACATCTCTGAGAAGTCTTCTTTGACTTCTTTTGGCAGAATGGCCTCATTTAATGTCCCAGTTCCCTAGTGTTAAAATCTCTGAAAGAAGCTAATAATACAGTTCCTAAGCTCAGCTGTGTTCTTGCCTCATTGACCCCTTCAGCTCTTTTCCAAAACTCCTACTCAGGTGTGCTCAACTCACCCGAGATCTAGGCCCTGGGACTTCTGTCTTCATCAGAGGCCCGTCATAATCAAATTCAACGTCGACTTTGGCTGCAGCCTGGCTGATAGGCCTGGATCCTGCAGTAAACAAAGACAATGAGGACCCCTGGGGACAGTAGACACAGAGAGACTCTTCCCTAACAGGCGCCTAGTGTTCCCAACAAAGGCAGTTCCAGGACCTCAACCCCATCCCAACCAGACCACGCAGAGCACTGAGTCTGGCCAGACCTGGGCATCACAAAAACACTGAGATTTTTTTATTTTATTAAAAAAATGTTTTTGCTTTATTGATTTTAGAGAGAGAGGAAGGGAGAGGGAGAGAGATAGAAACATTGATGAAAGAGAACATGGATTGGGCGCCTCCTGCATGCCCCCCGCTGCGGATTGGGCCCACAACCTGGGCATGTGGCCTAACCAGGAAGTGAACCGGCGACCTCTTGGTGCATGGTCGATGCTCAACCACTGAGCCACACCAGACGGGCAACACTGAGGTGTTTCAAAGGTGGGAAAGCCCAGTGCCAGTGATGTTGTAGGCAAACGGGCACGCGCGAGTGCTGCTGGTGTGAGCGTAAGCTGAGGCCAGCGTGCTGTTCCTTTTGACTGAGCAATCTCATATTTTATGATTTATGCTAAAAAAACAATGGAACCAGTGCACAAAGGTGTAGGTTAAGAAATTATAACAGCCTGGCCGGATTTGCTCACTGGTTAGAGTGACGGCCTGCGGACCAGAGAGAGCCGGGTTTGGTTCCTGCTAAGGACATGTACCTGGTTGCAGTTTGTCCCCGGCCCCGGTTGTGTGGGTGGCAACCAGTTGATGTGTCTCTCTCACACTGATGCTTCACTCTCTCTCATCCTCCCTCTCTCTCTCCCTCTCTGTCTGAAGATGAATGCAAAATAAAATAAAATTATTTAAAAAAAAACCCATAACAGTACTGTCTCAAACAACAGAAAACGACTTAAGTGTCCGACAAAGGATGGCACATTCCCCATTTCATGAACAAAGGAATGCGGGGCACCCATTAATAGTTCCCAGATAGACATATTGAATATTTATGGATATGGAAAGATGACCACGTGCAAAATCTGATTATAAAATCATCCAAATTGTATAAAAATGTAATCTCTAGCCAAATGCATATATAGACCAGAGTTTCTAGCCTCGGCACTGCTGACACTTTGGGCTTGGTAGCTCTCTGTGGTGGCCTGTCCTGGGCACTGTAGGATGTCGAGCAGCATCCCTGGCCTCCACCCACTGGAAGCCAGTAGCACCCTCACTCTGGGTTGTGTCCTAGTTGTGACAATCAAAAATCACCCAGGAGAAAACAATCAAATGTCTAAATTTAGGTGGTCCCCACTTACAGATATATATATAAAAAAAGTTTTGGGCTTGAGTCATTTGCTTGAAACTCATTTCAACTTTTTTTGATAAAGTGATAATATTATAGAGGGTATTTGAGTCCCCAGGTTAATCTTATGGGGCTTTTTATCTCAGCATGTTGCTGAGACATAGAGGGTACCTCAATGCCCAGTCCCAGTGATCGCTGAGTGAAGGCAGCATAGTGACTCCAAGAGGAGTGTGCAATGATGTACGTGTTAGTCAGCAACCCCTAGAAATCCCTTTAATGTCCCCAGTCATCTTATCTTCCCGGTTCCCATCTGGTGGTTGGGAAATATTAGTTCCTCTTACTTGGGTTGCCGTAATTGTGTCAAACTAGGGAATCACTAGTGACTATATATAAATCACATATGTGATCTCATTTCATCTTTACACGACTCGGAGGGGGAGTCGTTACTGCTTCCAGTGCCCAGGAAAGGAAACCAAAATTCAGAGAGGTGAAGCAACGAGCTAGACTCTCTCTCTCTCTCTCTCTCTCTTTCTCTCTCTCTCTCTCTCTCTCTCTCTCTCTCTCTCTCTCTCTCACACACACACACACACACACACAGAGCTTGCCAAACCATACAAAGCCACGATATTAGAAAACATATTTAGGCCTGGGCCAATGTGGCTCAGTGGATTGACCGTCACCCCATGGACTGAGAGGTCCTGGTTTGATTCCCGCTCAGGGCACATGCCCAGGTTGTGGGCTCGATCCCCAGTAGGGGGCGTACAGGAGGTGGCTGATTGATGTTTCTCTCTCTCTAAAAAAATTAATAAAAACATATTTAAAAAAAAAAGAAACATTTAAATTCATTCTTAATTTTCTATAATTGCTTTGGATATCAAAGTTTTCTGAATTAATTACATAATGTAATGAACGTAAAGCCCAGTTAAAATCCAACATTACCCTTATTTTAAGGCATGAAGAAACCAGCTTTTGCTGTCTTTTGTTTGATCTTAAGATGAAAAAGGAATTCCTAAAGAGTTGACTCTATTAACAAAGAGTAAAAGGTCATGGGACATGTTGATGCCTTTTTTTTATTTTTATACTCAGCTGTTTATCCCTTCCTTGGACAGAACTCAGGTTACTGGTTAAGGCTGACTCCCACTAGACCTGCATGAAGCAGAGATACATACCCCGACCAAATAGCTCTTACCTGGTGCTGAACTTGCTTTGTTTCAACAAAGGGGGAAAGTAAAAAATTCAAAATTAGCAAGCTGTCCTCCAGTAAGAACGTGCAAGTCCCCCCTTCCAAATGTCTTGACAGCACATGTGCCAATTGGATTTCTGGGGAAGTGGAAAGTAGGACCACTGGGAATGGAGGCAGTGGGAGCTGCAGCTGTGACAGGCCAAGACTCTGGGCCAAAGGAGCAGGGAGGTGGGGTAGGGAGAGGCGGTGGAGAGAGGCAAGAACCTGTCACTGGGAGCGGGGATTGACAGAGTGCGGGACCAGGAGGCTGACGGCCAGGTGCAAGGCAGATGTGTCTACTCCGAGAACTTCATCGGTTCCTACCATGTGCCAAGTCTTAGTGGGTGTGGATGAAAAAGGGCCAAGACTGCTGGGCAGGGACCCTGGAAATCAGAGCCTGATAAGTTTGTTGGCAACTGCTCTATCAGAAAAAGAGAGACGGGGAAGCTGACACCTGAGCTAGGCAGGCCCTACCTAGGCAAATGCTCATCTATTATTTTAATTAATCCACAACCCCTTTTATGGATGAGGATCAGAGAGGTTAAGTGACTTTCCCGAGGTCACATAGCTAGTGAGTTGCAAAGGCAGAATTCGAAGCCAGGTCCAATATTTCTGGGTTTGTTTTTTTTCCTACTATATCTCAATTTTGAATTTTGTAGAGAAAAATAATCAAATACCAATATAATAAAATACCAAACACTAATACAATACCAATGATGGTATATAACATCCTCTTAATCCTCTTCATGATGATCTATAACATCATAAACCACAAGAGAAAAGAACAAGATCTGAATGGTCAAGGAAGCCTCTTCTGGAATCTCTTATATCAAGTCACCCGGACATCTACCCTGAGCATTTATCTCAAGCCTTTGACATGGATTACCTCATTTAATCCTCACAGCTCCCTAGGAGGTAAATGTTATTCCCATGTTACAGAAGAAGACACTAAAGCTCAGAAAGGCCAATTAATTTGTCCAAAGTCACACAGCTGGTAAGTGGCTAAACTAGGAATTTGTCTGCCCGATCTCTCCTAGGTAATATGATTGTAACGGATGCAATCTTTGATCTCATCTAGTGTAGATCTTTGCAAAACAACTTGCTTCTCCCAGAGGCAAATTACTCTCTAAAGCACCAGGAAGCAAAAAAAAAAAAAAAAAAGTCGGAGTTAATGTGGAATGATCCGGCATTTTCCTGACGAGTACAGCAGCACACCCAGAAGGCAGGGGTCTGCCTTGACACACAGGGCCAGGCACAGTGGGTAAGTCCAGTCCGCTGTGTCCAACAGAGATACTCACTACCCTCAGTGCCCAGGCCAAGGCACAGAGTCCATTTTTAACTGTAAACTATAAAAACAGCCATCAAACGTTTTTAATGTCCTCTTCACCTTTATGCTGAGAGCAATAAATAAACGTTATTTTCCCAAACAGCGAGGGTGCAAACCTGGCCAAAGTCAAGGTCAAATTCACCTGGAGTTATTTGCTCTGCTTCTCTTTTAAACAATCTTATCTCCCTCCCCCCAACTGTCCACCCCACTTATTTGCTGACAACATGCTCATTGAGGATATATCAATAAGCAACAAGGGAAAAAAAGCATGTCTAATTTCACCACCCACCCAGGGATAACCATTTGGCAGTCAAGCCTCCCAGTCTCTGTATTCTACTTGTCAATGTAAGATTATAAACTTTTTGGAGCGGGAGTGGCATGAAACGATGCCAATGGGAACACTGTCTCAGGCCATGGACTTACCCTCATGTTTAGTGGTTTTGTGGTGGTCGGACAGGTGGAGTGGCACCAGGCTATGGCTTTGGACTTGGGTGCTCTCCTGCTCTCCCTCCCTCAGAGAAAACAGCTGCCATGGGGTAAGCTGCTCCAGGAAGAGGTCCACATGGCCCTGAATCCAGCACACTCACATGAGTGAGCTTGGAAGGGGACCCGCAGCTCTGGCAGGGAGCCTCCGCTGAGACCAGCCTCAGATAATAGCTTAGCTGTACTCTCATGAGCCCCCGGAGCCGGAGGATGCCGCCGAGCCACCCCAGATTCCCAGGACACAGACGCTGTGAGATAGTGAACATGTATTATGTTAACTAGCTATGTTTGGGGGTATTTGTTGTAGGGCAATAGATAACTAATACAGTGGCTACGGGTGTGAGTCCTGGGGCCGCACTGGCTCAGGTCAAAGCCTGGTCAGCCCCTTGCCAGCTCTGGGGAAGTTACTTAATTTCTCTGAGTCCCAGTTTCCTCTGTTTTATGGAGTAGTGGCAAGGATAAGCGATTGTTCCTTTAATTTAAAAACCATTCTCCTATTGTTCCTTGCCCAGAGCAGTGTATGAGAGTGCACATATTCTGGTACCTTTGCCAACACTGTGTTTTAGTATTAAAAACCTATCTGTCTGTATATCCATCCATCCATCCATCCATCCATCCATCCATCCATCCATCCATCCTCTATCAATCATACTAGATAAGCCAAATTGATAGGCCAAAAGAAAAGAAAACATCTCATATGATTTTTCTGAACGTGGCACAAGTGTGCCAAAGATTCATCTCCAGCCGAGAAACTGCAGAGCTGAGTGTCTGATTCAGCCACTTCTGTTTTCTAGCATCGTGTCTCCACATCCGTGCTTGTAAAATGGGTTAGGACACTCCCCACCTTATTGTAAATATAAATGAAGTGATTTCGCACAAGACATTTCTTCTGCTACAGTAACTTGTGAGGCAGGGGGATAGCACTATTGTCCCCACTTTCCTGATGGGGAAACTGAAGTTTGGAGTTCTGTGCATCGGTTAGGGTCACTTGGCTAATAGGTGGTGGATAAAGCCAGTAGCCCAATCTTATGAGTCTTAATCCATTGCTCTTTCCTTGATGCCTCCTTGGGAGGGCTCAGATGTCCTTGAGAATGACCTTCAAAGACTGAGCCACATGGACCACCAGGCTGGAGCTCCCTGGGGCCATGCTCTGTTTCCTCTGATGTATCCTCAACGCCAAGTACAGCAGTCCCCACCTGACAGGTGGCTCAACAGTGCTGGTCATGGAATGAATGAATCTTCCGTGCCCACGACTCTCTCTCCTACTTGGTACACACTAGACCTGGGTTATTCTAGTTTTGTTTTATTTTTAACATAATAATGGGTGGGCATTTATATGCTTCTCTTATAATTAAATAAAACAAAACCTCAAAACCTAATAATGACCCCCACAAGGCTATCAAGATCAAGAACAAGAAGAAAAGACTGAGAAGCTGTCACAGAGCAAGGAGACGGGGGAGATGGGACAACATGCAATGTGGAAACTTGGATTGGATCCTGGGACAAAAAGAGGCAGTGAGGGAAAAACTGGTGAAATCCAAAGAGAAGCCTGGAGTTTGGTTAATAATGATGAACTGAGGTCAGTTTCTTAGTTTGGACAAGAGCATCCTTGTGATGTAAGATGCTCAAGGGAGAGAAGTGGGTGAGGGACATGTGGGATCTCACTGTGCTTTCTTCGTAACGTTTCTGTATACCTAAAATCACCCGAAGTAAAGCCTGCTAATGGTCCCGAGGGAGGAGCGAACATTCCTGCTTTTATCTCACCCAGGATGCTAACATGCAAACCAAGGACACGCCAGCCATTTGTCTTCAGAAGGCAGACAGGACCGACAATAATAAGGGAGCACCGTGATGACAAGCATGGGGCTCTTAGAGAACGGAGGACAGCCTGGAGGCACAGGCGCCCAGAGGGGGTCACTGCTAGCCTCTCCCTCTCCCAGAGCCCCACGGAGGGGTGACAACACATTTGCATTCATGTAGCTGTGTGACCTTGGGCAAATGGCTCCACTTCTCTGAGTCACTGTTTTCTCACCTGTAAGATGGGATTCACTCCTGCCTTCCTCATGGGACCACGGGGGCGTCGCATGAGATCAAGCAGGCAGGGTGCTCGCTGATGAAGCTCACTTGGCTAAGCTGCCTGAGCTCAGCGAGGAAGAGAGAAAAGGGGGCATGTGGGAGAGGCTGAGTGCAGATGAGCCCCTGGTACTGCTGGCCATTGGGTGTGGGGTGTGAGGAGGTGAGGGAGAGGGTAGCGGGGGTGGGACATTCCAGGGAAGCCACCTCCTGTCCAGTGGCCTTGATGCACAGCCAGCCTTTACATCAGTGACAGGGACTTTTGCTACTTTCTTTGTTTCTTGGCAGCAGCCCCAGCTGTGTGTTTTGCTGGATGGTCCCTGGGGGACAGCCTGGGCCCTTCTAGCTGTTCGGGCCACCACCTCTGTGCAAGCCCATTGCAGAGCTGGGGACACAAGCATGTGGCAGAAATGGGGGAATGGGAGCGGATGGTGATGGCGACCGTTTTATGGGGGTGGGTGGGACAGCCCAGAAGCTCTGGCTGACCCGTGCTTTCAGCCCAAGGATTCTTTTTTTTTATGCTCACCCGAGGACACTTTTTGATATTTTGTTCAGATAGAGTGGGAGGGAGAGAGAGAGAGAAAAACATCGACGTGAAAGGGACACACCGAGTAGCTGCCATCTGCACAACCTAACCAGGGCCAGGGACAAACTGCAACCGAGGTACGTGCCCTTAGCGGGAACCAAACCCGAGGCTCTCGGGACAGCAGGCCGATGCTCTAACCGCTGAGCCAAACGGGCCAGGGCCCAGCCCAAGGATTCTTCCACCCATGATCCCTAACCTGCATGGTGCCTTTTGCTAGGACCAGTTAGTTACTATCAAGACCCCCAGGGCTTACCGGGCACGAGCAGGCGGTAGCTGTGCTGGAGGCTGCAGGCCAGGCGCCGGGTGAGCAACATGGAGGCCATGACCCCTCCCTCGGGAACAGAGACCTTCACACGCTCCCACCTGGAAAGGGAGCAGGGAAGGATTAGACCAGTGAAGCCCACGCCCCCTCCGGCCACGTATTTCACCCCCCACATTTCCCCACATAGTGGAGACGGCTCTTCTGACATCAGACCCTTTGCTTTCATACTGAATATACACTTTAAATCAAAGCCCGCTCACGTGCATTTCCATCTGACCTTGACCATACCCCAGTGTCAAGGAGAAGAATAAATGGAGCCACTTGAAGGTGGAGTGGAGCTGCGTGCCGGAGAGACTGCCTTGCATACCTGACGCCTCAGATCTTGGAATGCTGGATGAAATAACCTTTGCACTGAGGCTAAGCAACCTTGTTTCCCCAAAAACTGTTTGCAAAGATAATAGAAAGCAGATAGGACTATGGGACTGATGACTAGAGGACTAAAATGAAAAACATTCTTTAGGCCCTGGCTGGTGTTGCTCAGTGGGTAGAGCATTTGGCCCAAGGAGTGAAGGGTTGCAGGTTTGATTCCTGGTCAAGGGCAAGTACCTGGGTTGCCAGTTCGATCACCTGCCCCAGTCAGGGAGGCAACCAATCGATGTGCCTCTCTCACATTGATGTTTCTCTTTCTCTTCCACTCTATCTAAAAATCAATGGGAAAATATCCTTGGGTGAGGATACCCCATTCTTTAGAATAAGCATCACGATGTTATCTGCATCAATAGATAGATATGCCTTCCTCCTACTGATGTAATTGTTCCCTGTACCCGTGCATCAATGCCCATTGCCTTTGTCGCTAATCAGAACACTATTGGGACTTATTCCTGAATCAGTGTGTGTCTCCCGAATAGCTATTCCTTTTTATTTCAAACACATGCTTGTTTGCCTCTCACTTTGAAAGACCTTTTCATTTTTAAGTTAACATCAGCTGGGATGATTACACCCATTTTCTAGATGGAAAAACAGAGAGGGGGGTAAAGTTGGCTTTGAGACGCCCCTGGAGACGAGTTCAGTGCATTATCCCCCTGGGACAAGCTAAGCGAGGCTGTGTTCTGCACCACGGAAGGACCAAGACGGAGGTAACTTCAGAACAGACGTCAGTGTGGGAAGCTGGGCGCTCCCTCTGCCTTGTTCCCACACAGAATATTGGTCGTTGGGCTGTGAGGGAATCCTGCAGACCCAGGGGAGTATCTGGTGGCCCATTTTGGGGGGGGGGTGTACATCTCCAGTGTGACCAACAATCCTGACTTTGCTTGAGACGGAGAGGGTACCAGGATGTGGGATTTTCCAATATGAAACTGGAACAGTCCTGGCAAACTGGATAGTTACCCTACACAGCACCGAGGAGTCAGGGTTCTCAGCTCCCGCTTCACAGGTTGGTTGATTCTCTCCAGACTGCTCCTGAGTCCTGCCCCCAAACCCCTCAGCTTAGCTTTATTGGTTGCCTTTTGCATCATGGGCCAGGGGCAACCCCCTATTATTTGTTTGTTTCTTTTTATCACCTCTTCCCACTCCCCTCCCCTCTCTCCAAGCCACCATTCAGACGTGCTCTCCGTGCTTTCGTTTGTGGGTCTTCTTGCTAAATGCCCACTTTGTTATTTGGCACGTGTATTTTCAGTTGTATTGTGCTGCATCTAAGAACAATGACGGAAGCGTTCACTTTTCACTTCTACTTGTGGGCCCTGTTTCCCGAGCTCCTTCTGCGTGCCACACATTGTGCTAAGCACTTCACCTACAGGACTATTTTTATTTGTCATTATTATTTACACTCACAACAAGACTAAGTGTCCCCTTTTTACAGATGAGGAAACTGAGGCACAGAAAAGTTAAGTGGTGGATCTGAAAATAGAACTCAGACATGTCTGGCCCCAGAGTCAGCAAACTTCACCCTTACATAATACTGAGCCCAAATACACCATAGATGTCCATCCACTCATTCTGCAACAAGGTATCCCATTGAGCACTAATTCCATGGCAGCATGGAGGAAGCGTCAACTAGAGGTGATGGACACAGATCCGGAGAGATCCCGCTGTGCAGAATGGAACAAGGAAGGGGGACGGGTTGGTTTCAGAAAGCCGTGCGCACGTGGGCTTAGCAGCACAGGTGAGGGAGTTGGGCAATGAGGTCTGGGTAACGGGTTGGCAGTACCCCCACCCCAGTGCCCTCATAGCTAATGGGAGGTCAGGCTGTATTATTAGAAGCAGAGTGAATGAAGGTGGGAGGTGGTTGGCATTGACGTGAGGATTCAGTTATTCTGTGAATATTCGTGGTGCACCTACTGTGCGCCGGTCCTCCGATGCGCAGCGGGGACAGGGATCGGTTCGATGCAGTCCTTGACCTCTAACCATTATCGTGTACCCAGCACTTGCCGTGCGCAGGCTGGTGCCACAGACACCATGCCATCTCGCCCTCAGAGCCCTGGCTGCTGTTTAACTCTTAACAGATGAGGCAACTGAGGCTGCCTGGGGGAAGGTGCAGGAGACACCTTCTGGGGTGCTGGCTTAGCACACCACGCCTCCCCACTCTCACAAACTACCATTCTGTCTGCAGGGGTGCAGACCTGGCAGCCATGTCTGTTCTGTGACCCACGGGCCCACGTGGACTGGATCAGGTTGGGCCCCAGTCCAGGGAGCTGTGGGTCAGCTTCCTTCTACTGGCTGAGGAGCCAGCTTTCAACAGGGTCTTTGGATGGAGAAGACAGCGGCCTGTGCACAGAGAAGCAGCGTAAGAGAAAGGAAGTGGACGTAGAGGACTGTTGGTTCCATCTCAAGCCTACAGCCCACGGCTTTGGAGGCAACACTCACTCCCGAATCTAGTCGGGTGACCCTGCGTCCCCCTTCCCCTGGGGGCGAGCGGGTGAGAGCCAGGGGGGTCAGGCTCACAGATGTCCCTCCACATGGAAGGAAACATCAGGAGCCGGGGAAAAGTAGTCCACCTAACAGTGCCTTGGCAGGAAAGTTTGGAGAGCACCCTCCCTTTTTGGCTTGCTTGCATCACCTTGAGTGGATTTCTGTTACTTAGAGACCCAGCTAACAGTTTGATGAGAGTATCAGACTGATAAACCCCAAATCTTGGGAGTACATGGGGAGTAACAGTGCCTCTTCCGCTCAGCACTCCAGGTGGAGTGAGGCCCGGCAGGGCAGCTGAGGACAGACTTCAGGGCCGGAAAAGCTTCCTTTCTCTGGGGGGTCAGGGACTCCTCCTGCGTGGAAGTGACTGTGGTGTGCGGTTGCTGGGTGAGGTTCTGCAGGGTGCTGCATACCCCTCCTCCTGCTCAACCACCCAGTGAGTAGGGCTCCTTCCAGCTCATATATGAGGAGAGGGAAGTTTGGAGGGTTGTGGTGTTGGCCTTGGACAGAGGATTGGGTGTGACTGTGTGACCCCAAAGCCCTTTCATTATAACACATCCATTAATTCAGCAAATAACGAAACACCCAATGGTAGTAGATACAGAGTTTGATGAATACAAATGATTTTGTTCTAAAAATTTTTTTATTGCTCTTTATCAGAGGGAATATTACTGAGAAAAGCAGGGCTTGGAAATCATCCTCTTTCCTTGATAACTCAATGAAATTTTTTTTTTTATCCTCACCTGAGGACATTTTTTTTCCATTTTTTGTTCAGAAAGAGTGGGAGTAAGAGAGAGGAAGAAAGAGAGAAACATCGACTGAAAGGGACACTTCGAGTGGCTGCCACCTGCACGACCAACCAGGGCCGGGGACAAACTGCAACTGAGGTACATGCCCCTAGTACATGCCCGGGTCTCTCTGGACTGCAGGCCGATGCTCTAACCACTGAGCAACCGGCCAGGGCCTCAGTGGGATTTTTGATCTATTCCAGAATATTTAACCCAAGGCAAGCCTGTTAATTTGCAGCACAGTGACTATACAGAAAGAGCGGTTGCTGGTTCTCGTGAAACCATTTGTCTCAAACAGGAGCCCTTAAGACTCCACACAATCCAATTTCCACGGACAGCATTTTTAAACATCCGAGAATCTCAGAACTGGAGTGTTAACATTTGAACACTCTGCAAAAGGGGAAGTCACCCCCGCACACTTTCAGTGATAAAATGTCACATTGTGACACATCTCACGGAGACATTTTGGTGGCCCACAGTTGAAACTGACCTTATAACAAAACCCCATCTCTATCTCAATGCATTTAGCACAATACATTTCCAACAAATCAGAAGCGTTAATGCCACTTGTTCACTTTCTCTGGCCCGTTAATTCAATCAACACAATTAATGAGCTCCTGTTACAGATGAGGCACTGCATTATCCAGGTGCAGGAGAAACGAAGAAGAATAAAATGCTTCTCTCTTTCCGAAGCTCATGATGAGTGGTAGAGGAATGGGGGGAGGCAGGTGGGAGAATTTAATGTACTAGGAGGCTTTACCAATCATGTCAATAAATTCTTCAAATCACCTGGCAAGATATGTACAGTACATAAAAATTTTCCAGTTCACTGTCAACAACTAATTCAGCGTAAGACAGACTAGAATAATGGAATCATGACTACCAGCTGGCGTGAGCAAGGTGCCGCGGAAACACAGAGAGGTTCATTCTGGCGGGAGTTACGATGCCAGTAAGGTGTCATCTGAGCTGCACCTTGGAAGGCTGGGAGATTTCAGAAGCCACAGAAGAAGGGCGGGGGCACGGGTAAGGCCTGAGCAAATGCTCAGAGGCGAGAGGACGTGGAATGGTCAAGGATTCGGACAGCGGTGGAAGGGAAGATAAGGGGCAGGTTCTGGGGTGCCCCAGGAAAGGGGCCCAGCATGCAGGCAGACTCTCCTGGCAGACTTGCTCTGTAGCAAGCCAGCCAGCCTCCCTTTCCCAGGCAGAGCTGCCTGGAGCAGGAGAAGGGGGCGCCCAGGGTTCCTGGGGCCCCGCTGCTTAGGGGCAAGTCCCTAACTGCGCTGGTGCAAGTGTCTCTCACCTGGACGAGGGCAATGATACGTCAGTGGCTTCTTGGCTTCCTCTCTTGCTCTTTCATCTGTTTCTACTGGAGCCCCGACCTTTTCAAGGATAATTCATCTCACATC